TCATGGGTAGATCCTTAAATTTTGAAAGATTTTGATTTGACACTTTTACAAATTAAATATTTATGAGGCTTAAAGTTTGTACTAGAACCTGATGATCAAATACTCACCAAATCAGGCATCATTGCCATCAAAAGAAATCTTAGAGTTGTCGGCGCTCTTTTCATCAATCGATCCTTTAACAAAAATGCAGTTTGATCATGATTTTTCCAGGAGGGTAAGACGAACGAGTCCTGAAAAGTAATGTTGATACTAACGACTTTTGATTTTACCTTTTGATAGACATCAACAAAAAAGCCATCTTCCTCGATATCTGTTGGGATTGCGAGAGAAATGCCGAGACCACGATAGTGTCTAAACGGAATCGTTTATCCCTTTCGAAAATTTTCAGCTTACTTCAAATGTGTTCCATAGAAATTCATTGATTGTTGGGTCCAAGGCAGTGCTCCGATACAAGTCACAGAATAATAGGCTTGAGCGCCTTTCCAAGGAGATGTCGTTTTGACTGGTTGATAGATCTGAAAGCAAAAGAGCGTTAAGTGCTTGGTCAAAATATTGCAAATGTAAATCCTCTATTGTTTTATCGTTTCCTCAACCTGAATCTCATCCGTGAAAGTCAAAAAATAATAAAACCACCTTAGAACGCTTGCTCACCTTTACTTCCCCATCAACTTCATCGTACAAAATGATTTGAGAAGAGTCTGCACTTGATAGCAATTCGGGAATATTTTCTTTCGAGATTTGAATCCTCCCCAGGTACACGGATTGTTTCGGTTCCCTTCCATCAAGTTCCAATAAGAAGCAACTCGTACGAATTAACCACTAAAAATTGATTGTTTTAGACAAACTTTTTTAAAAATGAACCTCAATAGTTGCCTTTTTCGGTGGGTTCTCTTCTGGCAAGACCATCTCCACATCTGAATTCGAGGAATTTTCTGATTCGATGGTTTCGACATCGGAATCCGAATCTGGCGCTGGAGCTGGGTTACGGGCAGGACCACAGGTAATAAGTGTTCTACTCATCCTGAAAGTTATGACTAAAAGGGTTAAAATTTCTGTAGAAAAAAAACAGGAAAACAACAAGATAATGAGACGTTGATAAGGAAACAAATCGAAGTGCGAAACAATCGTCAAAAAATAAGAATTTCTTTGAAATCGGCAATAAAGGCACCTATTCGCCATTTATGAAACTCGCTTTTCGTGCAGTAATTGTTGCTGGAAAGGGAGATACACAACGGGTAATTGAAAAGGAATTGTTGATGGAGCAGAGAGTTCTTCTGTCGATAGAAGCTTGGCGAAAAAACGTGTTCTATTAGTTCTTTTCGTTTCTTTTCGTAATGCACACCAAGAAATGCACCAATTGAACTACGGTTTGTTGTACTTGAAAGGTCAATTATTTTTCTGCAAAATACCATTCAAACTGGTTTAAAATGTCTTATAATTGGATTTTTTTGCGAGCGTGAAGTCGGGTAGTCAAAAAGCTTGATGATGGCTTGATGATGCGGAGACTTTAGTTAAGGAAACCTATTTTGGTATCATAGATAAAAGATCGAGCACAAAAAGTTGGATAGCCAAATTTTCAGAGTTTCATTCAGCCAATTACTTTGTAGAGGTTTTTATAGATTTTTATGAAAAACACGTTTTCACTCTCGAATTTGCTTGAAAGTGAGCCGAAACTGACTTAAAAAGATGGGAAATTGAACAATAAATACTTTTTATTTAGAGTAAACCATAGACGAATTGGTGACTTTGTTATTTTTCAACGGAAGTACGAAACGGGACGAAAAGACTTTCTGGACAGCCTAATAGTTGATAAAAATGCAAATTTATTTTGGTATTAAAAAAAATTAATGAGGCTTCGGTAGTGCACCTTTAATAAGGTGCACTACTATTAGAGATCTCTGCGTTAGAAAAAATATTTAGAAATAGAAAAGATATCGAATTTTTTTCAAAAAATTCTTTTAGAACGAAGGACTTTCTATAAATTTATTAGCATGAAATTCAAAAATGAAACAACAAAAGATAATAAAAATTAACTACCTACCTAGTCAAAAATCAACAACAGAAACATCACTTGAACCATTATCTCCACTCAATCCAAAATTGCCGAGTTTATCCTTTATTCCATTAATCGATTATTCAAGTCGCGCGTCGGCGAGAAGATTTGCTCCTTTGGTCATCAAGGGACACATTCAAGAGGAAATCGCCAAATTGAAGGAATCCTTGGTGAAACATATCGACTAGTCAATCAGCGACATGAAGGACGAAATCGTGCGCGAGATTCAAAGTGGAAAGCGCCGAGGTAGCGACTACAAAGAAGCCCCAGAGGTCAAGAAGGCACCAATGATGTTTATTCCAAAGAATTGTTTCTTTTGTGAGAAGGGCGATTGCAAGGATGCGACCAAGTGTGCTCTTCGAATCAATTATGTGAAACGAATGCGCATTGCAAGTCGACATGGACTCTGTATTTCACGGAATTGCCTCAAAAATCACGGAGGAACCTGCTTGAAGCCGAGAGTGCGATGCAGTTTTTGTGATGGGCCGCATCACGTAGGCTACTGCGAGGAACTGGAGCGCCAAGGATATCGCGGCCAAAGATCAAGTCGTCTTGATAACTTACTTGATAACATAAACTAGCCCAAGTTTCCCCTCATACCCATTTTTATGCCAAGTTTCCAAAATTTTTTTTTCCATTTACAAGCCATTAGGGCTCATTGTTCGATATGTTACATCCTTAGACATTAGTGTCAAATTTATGCCAAGTTTAGTGCCAAATTTCACATTTATCACCAAGTTTTCAGCTTCCGCAAGTTTTTCCCAAAGTTCAACAATCGAGGCCAAAAAGGAAGAGTGACCCCTCATCAATAAAATTTAACGCCCATTATGGGCAAGTTAAAAAGGTTTCTTCGGGCGGGGCAATCCGGGCTTGCGCCCAGATTTCTCATCGGGGCGGAGTGTGACGAATTGCTACTGCTCTGCAGTTAGTCAAAATTTAATACACAAGTTAAAATTCAAAGTTGATGGATAAACTACCGTAATCAGCCACTAGACGATAATCAGTTGTCCGTTTGTGTACTTAAAAACCCATTATTTAACCATTGTTTTGAGTCAGTTGTGTACTCCCTTTTCCATTCATCGCTTTTTTCACACGCAAGTGTTGAAGTAATTGTGGTAGTGCCAGGTTACTCCAGTTTGAGCGAAGTTTGCCCTAATAAAGGAAAGTCTTGATAAATTGTGCGTTTTCAAGACATCTACCATTGAACCACACGGAGACACGGTCTCACAAGAAATTATAAAGATCAAAGTATAAATATATTTCTTTAATTTTACACACGTTTAATTATTTTTGGCAAAGTAGCGAAAATCAGGCACGAAGAATTTCAAGTCCTCCATCAGCCATAGATCCAATGCAACGCTTTTCCCGTAGGAATTGTGGGAGATGAAAAAGCATTAGATGAGCTTTAATAGTAATTTCGGTAATTTGCTCGATTACTTCATCAGTCTTTATCCGTTGAAACGACAAGCTCAGAAAATTTTGTGAAGTGTTCTAGAGATCTCATTAAAAGTTTATATCTCGTTGTATTGATCAATCCATTAAATTCATCTTTCCTTGAACATAATTTTTTGATCTTAGGTCCATTTAAATCCTCAGATTTAAAGCACTTCACAAAACCCAATTTCTAACAGAGAAAATGGAAACTAGTTTCACCTGTTCCTAAAAGCCAAAATCCATGTTAGCCAGGTCAAGTAAGACCAGGCGAAATCAAAGCCAAATCCTGGTACGACCTAGGAATCTTAGTGCAGCAATAGCCATGGTTTCACCTGTTTTCACTTTTATCGCTCGTTATTTATTGATAGTTGATTTCCCCAGCACCGTGCATCAAATCTTCAAAAATCAATAACCCGAAATTGTCCAATTTCCCATTCAATTCTTGTTCTCTTTCTCACTATCTCGTTTATTTTTTGAGCTAATCGAGCCGTTGGCACAAATTGTCTCTTCTCAACCCCCCTTGGCCAGCAGATGCCGTAGCGATAGCCAGTATGATGCAGATGTCGCAGCCAGTAGCGATATAAAAGAAAAGATCGCTCGAAGGAGAGATAATTTCTCTTCACTTTTCACTTTCAAAACCTTTTTCTCTTTACCTATTTTTCAATTTAGATTCGCCAATCTTCGAATTTATTTTGGAAATCTCTCTTTTCGAGCGAGCTTTCTCCTTTTTGAGGTGCACTCGTTGCCAAAAGTTCAGACAAGAGAAGACAAATTTGAGATTGATTCTACAACCAAAAAAATTCAAGTTTGGGTTGTGCCAAAGGGGGTCGCGGCATCTGTTCATGACGAATCGGATGCGGAGGAAGAGGACGATGATGATGAAGGGACCCACTGTGCAGAAACTCAATGTTGATTAATTTCAAAGAAATTTTTATTTTTTGACGATTGTTTTTCACTTCGATTTGCTTCCTTATCAACGTCTCATTATCTTGTTGTTTATCTTTTTTTCTACAGAAATTGTAACCACAGAAGTCTTAACTTTCAGGATGAGTAGAACACTTATTACCGGTGGTTCTGCCCGTAACGCAGCTCCAGCGCCAGATTCGGATTCCGATGTCGAAACCATCGAATCAGAAAATTCCTCGGATTCAGATGTGGAGATGGTCTTGCCAGAAGAGAACACAACCAAAAAGGCAACTATTGAGGTTCATTTTTTAAAAGGTTTGTCTAAAACAATCAATTTTTAGTGGTTAATTCGTACGGGTTGCTTCTTATTGGGCCTTGATGGAAGGGAACCGAAACAATCCGTGTACTTGGGGAGGATTAAAATCTCGAAAGAAAATATTCCCGAATTGCTATCAAGTGCAGACTCTTCTCAAATCATTTTGCACGATGAAGTTGATGGGGAAGTAAAGGTGAGCAAGTGTTCTAAAGTGGTTTTATTATTTTTAACAAGGCGGAGAATGCTGATGTCCTCTTTGCTCGCCTTCATCTCCGTGGCCGACGACATTTAATGGACAAGAATCGGACTCTGATCGCAAATCGGCATGGTGATTCACAAAGACATAAATAGACATTTATTGACTAGGGGTTCAATCTCAAAAATCTAGGCGAGAATTGCTAAAAATCAATTCAAATTTTACTTTCAGGTCTCGCCGGGCTTCATTTTCTCTATGGGAATCTCGATGAAGCATTCGAAGTCTACAAACAAGCTTGGGATGTAAGATATAAATCACTGAGATTAACCAAATTCCTGGTTTCCTTCCTGGTGCGCCATAGTGCGCCAAAAGTTCTGTCACCTCACGTATAAAAAGCGTCAAATAAAAGCTTCCTAGAACGATTCTATTTTTTAATAGTAACAAATTTATAAATAGGGAGTCTGGTCGCGGACGATTTGGCGGAATTTCAAGTATAAGAATTTTTTGAGACTATCTATGGTCCTCATTTTTTAAATAAGCTGAACAGCAAATAGATTTCAATAAGCAAATGTAATATGTGTTTTCTAGAAAGCCAGCATCAAACAATACAATTTTAAGAGCCATTTTTGGTAAAGTAATATTTGAAAATTCAGAATACAACTAAATTCTCTAGCTCTCACAATTTTTTGCAGAATCATCTATATCATTGAGCCTCGCTACTAGATAGTTTAAAAGCTCTACTATTTGCTACGATATTTTTGAGCTTTGGCCAACTTTATGAAAGTGACAGAACTCTTAGCGCACCCTGTATTAGGTTGATGAGTAAATCTTTTCGTTCCGCTTCATACTTCCGTTGAGAAATAACAAATTCACCGATTGAACTACGGTTTGTTTCAATATTATTTTGCAGAAAAATAATTGGCCTTTCTAATGAAACAATCCGTAGTTCAATTGGTGCATTTGTTGGTTTTAAACGGAAGTACGAAAAGGAACGAAAGACTTTCTGGACAGCCTAACAGGCCAATGTTTTTAAAAGTCCTAACAAAGTAGTGAGATTAAAACAATTCTAGATAGATCTATAGATCTCTTTTATATTATAGATTTTATTGGACACAAAAAGAATCAACGAGAAACTAGGATTGGCGAGTAATTCGATTGAAGATCTTTTCACAGTCGAAGAGCTAGATCTTGATCGAAATGAGAACGAAGGAGCTGTTGAAGAAGGTAGGAAAGTAAAACTACTACTTTATTTTGCAATTTAGCCAAAATAAAGCCAATTACTGTTGATTCAACCCAAGTGATCCATTGTGGAAAGTTTGTTTATCTGTTTTGATTGGTTCAAAAAGATTTTAGGGCTCTTAAAGCTTTGGCTGAGGTTCACGAAGGAGCCCGGCGGTTCTTCGAAGATGAGCGATGAAAATCACGAAATTGCGATCTTTAAAGCGATAGACGACATGAGAGGAAAGGATTCACTTGGCAAGAAAAGTGCAAACGATCCAGCGCGGTTGAGGACAACTAACACCTTGCATAGGTAACATTCAGGACTGACCGGCTTACTAAACAGGACGATAGCAATACATACTATCTTCCATTCAAACGATCAAGCATTTTAATTTTAGCAATGAGGCAAATCAAATCAGATAACACGCTTGAAATTGCTTGAAAGGGAACACAAATGGACTTAAAAAGCTGGAAAATTGAAAATAAACACTTTTTATTCAGAGCAAACATAGGTTGATTGGTAAATTTGTTATTTTTTAATGGAGGAAGTATGAAAAGGTACGAAAAGACTTCCTGGACAGCCTAATACTTCAGAGACTTCTACCAAACTGATATATCTGGAGCAGTGACCCCACTCAAAGGAGATTCCCTGCGGCAACAAATCTTTTCCGCTGTCAACAAAGCTTCGGACGAGATAGCTTTCATTTGTGAAGAAACTGTGGCGATGGTCAACGCTGCCTTAGAATCTGTAAGTCCTAAAAGCCATTAATAACTGAACAATTCTAGGAGAAAATTTCTGGCAATCTGAGACAAGTGATGGAATGTGATTGTTACAAGGAATTCATGATGACAGCTGAGGAAAGAGATGCGATGAATGCGGAAAGAGTGCACAGAGCGGGAAGGGAAGGGAGAAGGATGCCGAGAGCCGAAAGAAGCAGGAAGAACGATGAAGAACAGTCGTTTATGATTCTCACCGATGATTTGGATAAAGAAACGTGAGTGTTAAGTTTTCAAGTAATTTGCTCCAAATTTCACCGAAGATAAATCGTCAGAAGCCATTGAGCCAAGTGCTTTAGACTCCTCAACACTCGATGTGCGTCTTGTCGAATCGGTCGACGGATCCGTGACCTTCGAGAACTACTGGGTGGAACTCGGGACGCAAGTCTTCAAACAGACAGGTTTGCGCAAGATTTTTGGGCGAGTCAAGAGTCTTGTTAAAAAATTCCCCATCTAACATTCTGAACTTGATCTTTCAGCCGCTTCTCCTTCGAATTGCTGTGTGCTCACTTGTTCCGTATTGCTATCCGAGTACCAATGAGTCAAGCAACGAGCACAAGTACTTTTGGTGCTTGTTTAATGTTTGGAAATCTGAGTTTTAGAGTTTAACCAAATGTACGATGACTTCTGCGCATGGATTTCTCAGATTCGGCCGTTCTTCGAGGCTTCGCTCTCTGCAGTGCAAGCGGTGCAGGAATTGGCCCACAAACTGTAAGTTTCGAAAGCTTCAAGCTCTTCTTAATGCACGTAATTGAGAAACCAAACTACCGTAAAAACTAATAGAAGCGCACATGCTTCTATTTTTCATTCTTTCTCTAGACTGCGCTTCTATTTTTCGATGCAAGAATGAAAAATCCAACAAAACAAATCGAGAAATTTCATGCAAAAACCCGGTTAAAATTCAAAACGTTTGAAATAGTTTTTGAACAACAGAAACTTAGGTACAAACAATTCATTAAAAAGTTAACATTAAGCAACGAAAATAAAGTAGGTAGACCCAGCTTTGCTTCAGTTTTTTTCAAAAAACTTGTTGATGATCGAGGCTTTCTTTTGAATCGTCTTTTTCTCTCGAAGGACATCGGAGTTGTCTTGAATAACCTCGAAATCTTTTTGGACCACGTGATTAACGTTGTCCTAATCAAGATCCTCATGTGTTCGCGTCCTTTCGTCCTTCCGTCAAGGAATCCAATTTCGTTGTCCAATCCAAAAAATCCAAAATTGACGTTGTCGTTTCGCAAAGGAGATCCCTCATGTTCGCTTCCTTTCTGAAAGAATCCGTGTTCTCGGTGATCACGAAATTCTTCGAGTCGATTCGAACTTCCAGATGGCTCCGACATCAATCTAAAAAAAGAAAACATTATTCTTCAAACCAAAAAAGAAAATAATAATAAAGAAAGTAAGTAAGAGTAGAAAGTTAGTTAATTAAAGGTTAATTGAAAGTGGAAAGTTTTAAGCAGATGCTTAAAAGAAAGAGATGCATCTCAAAATACATATTTTTGCAGCTTAGTACAGTAACAAGGTGCGCGAAATAAAATAGAAGTGACGCTTCTATTGGAGAGTGCGCTTCTATTTGCGAGTTCGAGTTTTTACGGTAGTCTTGTTCAAAATCATTAGCATTTAAATTTCAGGGTCGAACTTGAGAACGCGTCAAAGAGGATCGAAGAGGGTATGGAGATTTTCGTTCCTAGAGCCTATGGAGGAACGCTGGAGATGAAGACGGTCGTGAACAAGAAGAAAGATAATGTAGGTTTAAGAATTACTTCCATTAAAATCAGTTGTTTACCAAAAGCTTGTTCAGCGGCTGCTTCAAGCCTTCAGAATCGCAGATCAACAATTCGCCGTTGAACGTCAGAGAGAGATTGCTTTGATTGTTTATCTTCATGCGTAAGTAATTTCGAAAAACAGCCAATAACATAGATAAATCAAATCTTTTGTGAACTAGACTAATAATTCGATTTTTTTTAGAACCAATATCGGATCGCCAGGAGACTGTCCCATTTGCTACAATACTCTCGAGAATGAGTGGATGGTTTTCCCCTGTGCTCACGCTGTTTGTCTAGGATGCTGGAAGCGATTGTAAGCATTTTTAGAAAGAAATGAAACTTGAAACATCTTCAATTGTAATTTTCAGAAAGAGAATAGAGAAGAAAAAAATGAGAGAAAACGTTGAATGTGTCAGATGTCGGTCTAGGGCTATCGATTACAAAGTGACCAAGGTGAGTGAGACTCATTGGAATGAATTTAAAACATCAATAAGACTCATTAGGTCAATAAAGGTCAAAACTAACTGGCCAAGATCTTTCATTAACTTGATTGTCACAGGTCGTTTCTCGTCCAAATGTTGCTATCAACAACGAGCAGATGCCTGGATCGAGCAAGAAAAAACTAGAGGACTTGGGAAAACAGCTCCCCAAAGATGTTTCACTTTCTGTCAAAGTCTCAGCAATCGTTTTGAGAATTTACGAGATCACCAGAGAAGATCCAAATGCAAAAGTACGTTCCAAAGGCAAAAGCTGGCCGAAATCCGAGTATTTTGAATGTTGTTCAATAGTTGAGGAAAAAGTAATGTCGGTTTTTTTTCACAAAACTGTTTATTGATAAAAACATAAAGAAACACACATCAATCAATGAGATATTCTCCTTTATTATTGATGACTTGTTCCCATCTTCGTCGTAAGTTCCTGATCCCATCCTCAAAAAATGTGGGGTTTTCGATTCTCAATCCACAAAAAATGTGGATTGAGTTCAATGGCATCAACCAAATTCCCATCTGAAATCTCTTCAGGTCGTCCAGACCGTTCCTCGCCTTGGAGACTTTCATTTCCATCTTTGAACCGCTGAAACCATCTTTGGCTTGTCTAATGCTGTCTTCCCCAAAAACTTCAATGATTGTCCGATGCGATTCAGCCGCAGATTTCCTTTGTTTAATATGATACCACAAAGCGGCTCGAAGTCGAAACTTTTGGTCTTGCATTTTGTACCTGAAATAATCGTTAAATTTGTAAAAATTTCTAAAAGTCAAATATAATATGAAAGTATAAAGTGTCTAGCTGATATCTATTTGAAAAAAAATCGCATAAGCAAAGAACTGAAAAATTGCCTACAACGGGAATTCAAAACCGATATTACTTTTTCCTCAACCTAATAGATAGGTTTATTCGGACTATTAACAATTGTATCAAATGAAATAAGCAAATGATATAATTGAAAATTTTGATGGATCAGGAACTTGATTCTAAAATACTGAATACAAGAGGCTAATCAATGGATACTTGAGGCTAATCTCGTTCAAAAGAATGATAAAGACAAGCAGCTGAATGACCTCGACGAAACATACTCAAACATTTTCCAAAACACCCGCATTTCGGTCAGGAGCCCAAAATTTTCCTCAAACATTTAATCTAATTTCAGATTCTCGTCTTTTCTTCGATGGATCCAGTGCTCCGGGCTCTACACTCAGCCTTTTCGCAATGTCAGATCGCCTTTGTTGAGCTGAAGACGAACACCAAGAGGAATTCTACGTTGAAAGAATTCAAGTTGTCTCATGATTTGAAGGTGGTCCTAGAGGAATTGCTAGAAATTAACACTGAAATACAGGTCTGTTTGATGCCGTGATGGTCTGTTTGAAGCGGTGCCAATGGACTCAACCTCACCGAAGCAAATCATGTGATTTTTGCGGAACCGATTGTCGAAACAAGTGTTGAAGCTCAGGTAAGTGTAAGAAAAACAATTTTTAAAGCTTTTCCGACTTTTGGCAACTAGAACTCGTTTTAGGCAATTGGTAGAATTGATCGTTTTGGCCAAACAAAGCCGACTACCGTGCACCATTTCGTCGTGCAGAACTCAATTGAGGAGGTTTGTTGATTCGAATGTAAAGAAAATTAAAATCTAGCAACTAACAATATTTTAATGTTTAGGAAATCTATCGAATCACCCAGAATCATCTATTCGAAGAGGGATGGACAGTGCAAACGCTCAAGGATGTCTTCGGGATTCAAGGAATTCAATAAGACACCAGCTCTAGCTTTATTTTCTCCAATAGTCTACTTTTTATCTGACCTCTAATCCAGTTCCACATTCCGAATGTTTCAGCTGATTCGCAACTGGAGCTGCCATTGATTATTAAAGTTTTAAAGTTTATTTCACTTGTTGTTGTGTTGTTTTAATTTACTAATAAAGTAATTTTTCACTTGAGGGTATAATTATGTGGATTAACCAAAAACAGTTTTTTGGAAAATTGCAAAATAGAATTTTTGCCTGTTTGCTATGCAAATTCCGTGTTAATGTTAATTTTAGTACTCAAATTTGTCACATATGCTTATTAAGGACCAAAGAAAACTGCGGGTCATAAAAACCATCCACAAAAATCCACCATTATCGTGTCGTGACTCTCTAAAAAGGGTAAAAATTCGGTTTTCTTCGTAAAATTCTTTTTATCTCGTTAAAAAGAGTAGTTCTTGAGGTTTCTAAAAATACTAATCAACCCGAAAAAGCTTTACTTACAGGGGTTCTATGGTGGCTTTTTGGGGTAGGCTGATTTCCGCCATTTTATTTGCGCAACAGGGTCATTTGTGCAAGTACGTTGGCGCAACAAGGGTCATTTGCGCAACTTTAACACTGTATTAGTGATAAAAGTGAAAACAGGCGAAAGGTGCAGGCTATTGCTGCACCAAGATTCATTGCATTGGATCTATGGCTGACCGAGGACTTGAAGTTCTTGGTGCCTGATTTTCGCTAATTTGCCAAAAAAAATTAAACGTGCAAGGAAAGAAGAAATTTACCTACACGCAGCAAAAGTACACACTATTAATGTTTTAATTACATGATCAAGGTTATTTAATTCAAAGTTTTAAAAAGTTAAAATGTACCTGTTATTTGTTGCCATTCCCTTCTGTTTATTCGGGGTAGGCTAATTTCCGCCATTTTATTTGCGCAACTTTAACACTGTATTAAGCACTCGGGTTTTTTATCATTATTTTCATTTTTGAGCTTTTTTATTGTTTTTTTAAAATTTTCTTCGATTCTTTATGAAATCTTCCAATTTTTTGCGCAATCTTCCAATATTTATCTAAATTAGTCCTTTCCAGGAGCGAATAACCATTAGTAAAATATTTTATAGCTTGAACAAAAAAGTGCAACCGATAACAATGAAATTTAGGACAACAATAAAAATCAAATTTTTTTAATCTAAGTCAAAAGCTGAGAAAGATGTTGCACAAGATCGCAACCGGGCAAGCGACCATTAGAAATAGCAGTAAAACGTTGCTTTTGTCTAGCCAATACAGTTATCTTCCGTGCGTAGTTTTGTCCAACAGTGAGATTGATAGCCGATGAAAGCTTGAAACGGTTGATTATTTGCGTCATTTCTTCGTTAAGTCTGACCGCAGTATGAGATGGATGCGAGTATGAGATCCAACTAAAGCCAATGTTTGAATACAAAAACTCAACAAACTTGCACTCCGATGATAAAAAGTTGAGCAAAGTCCTTAGGGCACGAGAAAAACGTTGCATCAGCTGCCCAGAACTTATTCTAAATTTATTTACTACAAAGATAATGCACGTAATTGTAATGACACCCTGCTTTAGTAAAGCTAGACCGACATTGTGCGCAAATATCTTCAAGGCTTTTGCATCTCCTTTTTTGAATTGGGAACACGTATCCTTTCGTAGAAATTTTGTTGCTAAATAAATAAAAATGGTTATGTAAATGTTATTTTAAAAAAGCCCTACCAAATAAAGAAACGTCAATGTTGTGCGGCCAGTTAGTGATCGATCCTTTCTTTTTTATTCGCTTTACCGTTTGAAGCATGGCCTCTATCCTGGTCTAATAGATTTTTTTTTAATCCAATTAATTTTAGAGTACTGACTAACCTGCTAAGGCTACCAATTACTCCGACTCGAGATGGAATTCTGCGAGAAGCGGCAATTCAAAGGAATTTTTGAATTGGCCAGCAACGAGACTCAAGCCCTTTACAAACTGATGGAGAAGAGCTTCAAGCCGAATTTTCGCGTGAAGATTGCTGAAGTGGAGTTGGGTAAAATCGTCGAAAAGAAATGCCATGATCAATACGTTGAATCGCTCCGAAACGCTTTTGCCACCAAAGCTTTGAATCAGGTGCCTTTTATTGCTTGTACTCTGTACATGGTTGGCTTTAGATTTCCCTCATTTATGAGTCTCTGTCGTGAACTTGTTTGCGTGCCGTGCTTCCATACTTTAATGATTTGCAACTTGAATATTTTTTGGCGGATGCAGGAAAGCGGCGTTTGATCAAGGTATAGAAATTTGAAGGGAAATACATAAACAGAAATTTAGGCAAACATTAATCATCAAGTAAATTGCGTCAAGTTTGGAAGTTATGATGTGGCGACTTTGGCTGAGAATGTCGATCTGGAAGACGCTCGTGATTTTACATGGCACAGCACACAAGTAATTAAAGTCTTTTTTAAGAACGTGGCTTCTTATAGCTCGGCATTGATGGTGTTCGTTCTCATCTACAATTGATACATTATAAGTTGCAAAAAATGGTCGTGCATCTGGACGGTGAGGAACGACGAGTAAAGATTGTCGGACAAATCAGGAAATGCGCGGGTGTCTACGATGCATAAGAGCGGCGACTATGAAAGGATTCAACAACGAAGGTAACAGTTTTGATATTAAGATGATTTGAAATCATTTTAGACGCAAGATCGAGATGTATAAAGTGGAAAGGGAGAAAAGGGCGAAACTAATTCTCGAGCAAGAGCTCACCGAGCGCAACACTTTTGAGGAACAGAAGCGCTCTGAAGAACAAATGCGTTTGATCAAGTTAGGCAAGGAACACAAGCTTTTGCGTCAAAAGGTTTGGTAAAAGTCACTCAACTGTTTACAGATGATGGAGTATCATGAAAAGTTGGAAGCGGTTCGCAAGCATCGTCTTGCGGTACGTGCAGCTAAAAGGCGTCTCGCACGCGTGCAAGAATGGGAAGATGTGAGCTTTTAATTTTCGATTTGTAATTGTTTGATATTAGAAAAAAGCTGAAGATGAGAAGGCACGTCTAAAGGCTGAAGAGAAGGCAAGGAAAAGGAAATACGAAGATGAATGCAGGGAACGGCGTGAACAACGCATTGTTTTTGGGCATTTTGCCCATTATTCAAGCAACTAAATTTAGCAAAAGCGTCAACAAGCAATGATCGCCACTTCACGAGCTATGGCTGATAACAACCGTTTCAAGCTTTCATCGGCTATCAATCTCACTTTTGGACAAAACTACCCACGGAAGAAAACTGTATTGGCTCGACAAAAGCAACGTTTTACCGCTATTTTTAATGGTCGCTTGCCCGGTTGTGATCTTGTGCAACATCTTTCTCAGCTTTTGACTGATATTAAAAAAATTTGATTTTTATTGTTGTCCTAAATTTCATTGTTATCGGTTGCACTTTTTTGTTAAAGCAATAAAATATTTTACTAATGGTTATTGGCTTTCACTTTTATCGCTCGTTATTTATTGATAGTTGATTTCCCCAGTACCGTGCCTCAAATCTTCAAAAATCAATAACCCAAAATTCTCGAATTTCCCATTCAATTCTTGTTCTCTTTCTCACTCTCACTATCTCGTTCATTTTTTGAGCTAATCAGGCCGTTGGCACAAATTGTCTCTTCTCAACCCCCCTTGGCCAGCAGATGTCGTAGCGATAGCCAGTATGATGCAGATGTCGCAGCCAGTAGCGATTTAAAAGGAAAGATAGCTCAAAGGAGAAATAATTTCTCTTCACTTTTCACTTTCAAAACCTTTTTCTCTTTACCTATTTTTCAATTTAGATTCGCCAATCTTCGAATTTATTTTGGAAATGTCTCTTTTCGAGCGAGCTTTCTCCCTCTTGAAGTGCACTCGTTGCCAAGAGTTCTGACAAGAGAAGACAAATTTGAGATTGATTCTACAACAAAAAAATTCAAGTTTGTGTTGTGCCAAACGGGGTCGCGGCATCTGTTCATGACGAATCGGATGCGGAGGAAGAGGACGATGATGATGAAGGGACCCCCTGTGCAGAAACTCAATGTTGATTAATTTCAAAGAAATTCTTATTTTTTGACGATTGTTTTTCACTTCGATTTGCTTCCTTATCAACGTCCTATTATCTTGTTATTTTCCTGATTTTTTCTACAGAGATTTTAACCCTTTTAGTCATAACTTTCAGGATGATTAGAAGACCCTTTCGGATTCGGATTCAGGCGCCAGATTCGGATTCAGATGTGGAGAACATCTCTCCAGAAGAGAACCCACCGAAAAAGGCAACTATTGAGGTTCATTTTTAAAAAAGTTTGTCTAAAACAATCAATTTTTAGTGGTTAATTCGTACGAGCTGCTTCTTATTGGAACTTGATGGAAGGGAACCGAAACAATCCGTGTACTTGGGGAGGATTCAAATCTCGAAAGAAAATATTCCCGAATTGCTATCAAGTGCAGACTCTTCTCAAATCATTTTGTACGATGAAGTTGATGGGGAAGTAAAGGTGAGCAAGCGTTCTAAGGTGGTTTTATTATTTTTTGACTTTCACGGATGAGATTCAGGTTGAGGAAACGATAAAACAATAGAGGATCTACATTTACAATATTTTGACCAAGCACTTAACGCTCTTTTGCTTTCAGATCTATCAACCAGTCAAAACGACATCTCCTTGGAAAGGCGCTCAAGCCTATTATTCTGTGACTTGTATCGGAGCACTGCCTTGGACCCAACAATCAATGAATTTCTATGGAACACATTTGAAGTAAGCTTAAAATTTTCGAAAGGGATAATCGATTCGGTTTAGACATTATCGTGGTCTCGGCATTTCTCTCGCAATCCCAACAGATATCGAGGAAGATGGCTTTTTTGTTGATGTCTATCAAAAGGTAAAATCAAAAGTCGTTAGTATCAACATTAGTTTTCAGGAATCATTCGTCTTACCCTCCTGGAAAAATCATGATCAAACTGCGTTTTTGTTAAAGGATCGACTGATGAAAAGAGCGCCGACAACTCTAAGATTTCTTTTGATGGCAATGATGCCTGATTTGGTGAGTATTTGATAATCAGGCTCTAGTACAAACTTTAAGGCTCATAAATATTTAATTTGTAAAAGTGTCAAATCAAAATCTTTCAAAATTTAAGGATCTACCCATGATTCAAAGCGAAGAAGCCGAGTTGCAACGGGAGGATTTCCATGGCTACTTTGAAGAGTTGAAGGAAGGCCGAAGGATTGCACCACGATACGAGCTTCAGATGCAGGACTTAACCGCAACTTTGAGGCCGTACCAAGAAGAGGCTGTGAGGTTCATGATACACGTAAGTTACAACTCATATTAGAAAATTAGCCGCTTCAAAGCTGCAGAAATTTTGTTGCATTAAGAATGAAAACATGGCCAGCCTAATAGATGTCAAATGTCTAAGCATTTCTCGATTTAGAAAGAGTTACACCCTCAACTCAAAGCAGCCACCGAATTCTCTTCAATTGAGGTTCAAGAAGGTATCTACTATTTTCCATATTGTGGCCTATTTGCGAAACAAAGATGGGATATCGAACTTTCTCTGCAAGGTAGTGAAATGCTCGCTGATTTTTAAACCAACAAGTTTCAGGAGGGATTTTGGCGGAAGAAATGGGATTGGGGAAAACAGTAGAACTGCTCGCTTTGATCTCCACTCGAAACCCGAACAATCCAGACCCGGACATCATTAAGAAAAATCATGTTAAGAAGAGGTTAGTTTACTTGTCTTCTTACTTGTTATTAAAACCCTAATCTGCACTGAACACTTTCAGAAGAGAAGATCCAATTGTGGAGACGGTTGAGTATCTCGTTTCTTCTGTCACTGCTTCGATTGAAGGAGATATGGGAATCAAAGAAATGGTAAAGGAAATATTTGATATTCGACTTGATCAGTCAGTTAGAAAGTTCTAGTTCATTCTAAAGTTCAGGACAAAATCCGAGCAAAAAGTGTAAAAGGCGTCCTCAACTACAACAACCAGCTGCCAAATAAGAGCAAGAACTTTTGGGTGAGTTAAAGCTGACCAAAACGAAACTGATCCATTAGATAATAGTTATTACAATCAAATAAAGACTTTTATTAGCATCACTTATTTAGTTAACTTGTGTCTCTTGTTATGAAAGATGTTGCTCCGATCGAGTCACCTTGCCGGCAAACTATGATACAACGAATTTCAAGTGCCCAACATGCATGATTGATGAAGTCGGTTTGAGAAAACACTATTATAAGTTGTAGAATAGAAGGCTAAATTTTATGATTCATAATGCCTCGTGATTAAACAAATTTGCATAATTACGGCGGAGTTTTGAAGCGCACGCTTTAGAAAGCGCCTTAATAACGAAGAACACACTATTCCAGACAGTCGATGCCGGAGCCACTTTAATCGTTGTCCCTAGCTCGATTCTCTCACAGTGGTATGAGGAAATTCGGAGACACATTCGAGAAAATGTCACTGTTGATGTAAGTACGAGTACGAATGACTCTGAAAATTGTGAAACTATTTAGTTGTACCAAGGAGTGTTCGTTCATGGATACAAACATCCAGAGCTTCTGGGAAGTCAAGACATCGTTTTGACCACCTATAGTGTCCTTGAAAAGGAGCTCTATCTTGTTGACTGGAAACCAAAAGGTATGTCAGCTATAGAATCTAGACTTAGATTTATAATTTTTTATCCAGAAACGTTTAAATAGCTAATGGAAACTGTTTTCAGAAGGACTCCGGAAAATGGCTCGCGCTCAACTCTCCCCGTCGCCTCTTTTGTCGATCAACTGGTGGAGGGTGTGTTTTGAATCGCAAAAATAGGGGTTTTAGTTGCTAAATGGACAATGAAATGCGCAACAAATCTTGATTTTAATCATTTTGATTTCAGATCTGCCTGGACGAGAGTCAAATGGTTGAGGGAGGCACAAGAAGAGCCGCTCTGATGTGTCACAAGTTGCGTTCAAGAGCAAGGTGGTGCGTCACTGGCACTCCACTACAGAGATCGCTTTCTGGTGAGGGAAACTTAGAATTTATCTCAAGGTTTTGATACTAATAAATTTTGCGGGGAGGCACTTGGTCAGATTATTCTAGAAAAAACAGAACAAGGCTAGAAAAGACGCCTAGAACAGGATCTGACAAAGTCGGCTCCAAGTGGCTGCCGAAGTTTCTTAGTACCAAGATCTTGAAATTTTTAAAACAGAAGGTTTAAAAAGTCCCCATTTCATCTCTAATTTAAAGTTGAAAGGATACTCCGGCCTCAAAGTTGACTTTCAAGAATCGCGGTGATCTTTATACAGTGGTCCACAAAATTAACGTCCCAGCCATCCAAAAGTTTCTTTTCGAAGGAAAACGACATTCCAGAAAAAGCTTAGGGCCTTTTTACTTACCCATAAGATTCTACTTTTCCAGAATATAAGATTTATCTGTACACATTGCATACAAATTAAAGTATAAAACAAAGACAATAAGTTACTTAAAAATTAGCTCCACAAAAGTAATGTCCCATTTGCAAAGAAGTGAGTTGAAATGGGGAATTTTTTTTGAACACCCTGTATTTGCAGACATTGGCGGCCTACTCAGTTTTCTTGGAATCTTCCCATTCAGCGTCCCCGAGATTTGGTCCAAACTTCATTGGGTTCAATACACCCACGGTGACAAGGATTTCCTTCTGAATTTCATTCGCCAGTTTTTCTGGAGGAACAACAAGCAAGATGTGATAGATCAAGTTAGGAATGAAACTTGATTATCGAATTTCAATCTTTAGCTGAATCTCCCGCCAAGAAATGCCAATCTGACCACTTTGGATTTTGCCCCGTTAGAGGAGAGGACTTACCAGATTGGACTTGAAGTAACAAAGCAAGCTCTAAGTAAGTAAAATAAGCAAAAATAAGTGAAATGAACGTTTATTCAACATTCTCAAATTTCAGGTAGAGATCTTCGAACATCGACTATTGAGGAAAACCCGGAAACTCTCTTGAAAAATCTCAATCAAAAGCTGTTCACAAAAATTTGGAGTCGATTGTGTTACGTAAGTTGACTATGAGAGTTGCTTAACGATCATAAATTTCAGTTGAGAGCTTCAATTGTGACAGCGACTGGCGAAGGACTTGGTTTGGGTACAGTGCTGGGCAATACACCGAATGTCCTCTTTGCTCGCCTTCATCTCCGTGGCCGACGAGATTTAATGGACAAGAATCGGACTCTGATCGCAAATCGGCATGGTAATTCACAAAGAAATAAGTATTTTATTGGCTAAGTGTTCAATCTCGAAAATCTAGACGAGAATTGCTAAAAATCAATTCAAATTTTGCTTTCAGGACTCGCCGGGCTTCATTTTCTCTATGGGAATCTCGATGAAGCATTCGAAGTCTACAAACAAGCTTGGGATGTAAGATATAAATCACTGAGATTAACCAAATACATAGTGTGCCAAAAGTTCTGTCACCTCGCGTATAAAAGGCGTAAAATAAAATCTTCCTAGAAGAATTCTATTTTCTAATAGCAACAAATTTATAAATAGGGAGTCTGGAATTTCAAGTATAAGAATTTTTTGAGATCATCTATGGTCTTCATTTTTTTAAATAAGCTGAACAGCAAATACATTTCTTTGTAATATGAGTTTTCTAGAAAGCCAGCATCAAACAATACAATTTTAAGAGCCATTTTTGGTAAAGTAATATTTGAAAATTCAGAATACAAATAGAGTACCAAATTTTCTAGGTCTCACAATTTTTTGCAGAATCATCTATATCATTGAACCTTGCTATTAGATAGTTTAAAAGTTCCACTATTTGCTATGATATTCTTCATTGCGCTGACACAAAATTCAATTTTTGAGCTCTGGCCAACTTTACAGAACTCTTAGCGCACCGTGTATTAGGTTGATGAGTAAATCTTTTTGTTCCTTTTCATGCTTCCGTTGAGAAATAACAAGAAATAACAAGAAATAACAAGAAAAATTCACCGATTGAACTACGTTTTGTTTCAATATTATTTTGCAGAAAAATAATTGGCCTTTCTAATGAAACAAACCGTAATTCAATTGGTGCATTTGTTGGTTTTAAACGGAAAAGTACGAAAAGGTACGAAAGACTTTCTGGACAGCCTAACAGGCCAATGTTTTTAAAAGTCCTAACAAAGTAGTGAGATTAAAACAAATCTAGATAGACCTATAGATCTCTTTTATATTATAGATTTTATTGGACACAAAAAGAATCAACGAGAAACTAGGATTGGCTAGCAATTCGATAGAAGATCTTTTCACAGCTGAAGAGCTAGATGTTGATCGAAATGAGAACGAAGGAGCTGTTGAAGAAGGTAGAAAAGTAAAACTACTACTTTATTTTGCAATTTAGCCAAAAGAAAGCCGATTACTGTTGATTCAACCCAAGTGATCCATTGTGGAAAGTTTGTTTATCTGTTTTAATTGGTTCAAAAAGATTTTAGGGCTCTGAAAGCTTTGGCTGAGGTTCACGAAGGAGCCCGGCGGTTTTTCGAAGAACAAACCATTGGAGATTATCTTGCTGGAGCCGCTGGAAGGTTGAAATCTTAAAAGAAAATATTTATCTTTGTCAAATTAATGAAAGAATTACATCTGTGCTTTAGATTTCTGGGACAATCACTTGGAGCCATCCACCTAGCATCTGCTGACATCATCAAAGCCATAGAAAAATACAATGATGTAAGAAAAAAGTGAAGTCCTTTACAATGAGAAATTTCAGGGCCAATCAAGACTGCCGGAAAACGAGAAATTCTCATGGTTGGCTAAAGCTTTGAATCTCGTGATGAGCGATGAAAATCACGAAATTGCGATCTTTAAAGCGATCGAGGACATGAGAGGAAAGGACTCACTTGACAAGAAAAGGGCAAACGATCCAGCGCAGTTGAGGACAACGAACACCTTGCATAGGTAACATTTGGGATTGGCTGGCTTATTGCTCAAGACGATATCAATACATATTATCTTCCATTTCAAGCACCACGCATTTTAATTTTAGCAATGAGGCAAATCAAGTCAGATAACATTCACTCTTGAACTTGCTTGAAAGTGAACCCAAATTGACTTAAAAAGATGGAAAATTAAACAACACTTTTTATTCAGGCAAACTTGATTGGTAAATTTGTTACTTTTTAACGGAGGAAGTATGAAAAGGTACGAAAAGACTTTCTGGACAGCCTAATACTTCAGAGACTTCTACCAAACTGATAGATCTGGAGCAGTGACCCCACTCAAAGGAGATTCCCTTCGGCAACAAATCTTTTCCGTTGTCAACAAAGCTTCTGACGAGATCGCTTTCATTTGTGAAGAAACTGTGACGATGGTCGACGCTGCCTTAGAATGTGTAAGTCCTAAAAGCTATCAATAACTGACCCATTCTAGGAGAAAATCTCTGCCGATTTGAGGCAAGTGATGGAATGTGATTGTTACAAGGAATTCATGATGACAACTGAGGAAAGAGATGCGATGAATGCGAAGATAGTGCATGCAGTGGGAAGAGAAGGGAGAAGGATGCCGAGAGCCGAAAGAAGCAATATTGTTCCTGATCAAGAACGGTCGTTTATGATTCTCACCGATGATTTGGATAAAGAAACGTGAGTTTTAAGTTTTCAATTAATTTACCCTAAATTTTACCGAACATAAATCGTCAGAAGTCACTCAGCCAAGTGCTTTAGACTCCTCAACACTCGATGTGGGTCTTGTCGAATCGGTCGACGCATCCGTGACCTTCGAGAACTACTAGGTGGAACTCGGGACGCAAGTCTTCAAACAGACAGGTTTGGGCAAGATTTTTGGGCAAGGCAAGAGTCTTGTTAAAAAATTCCCCACCTAACATTCTGAACTGAAACTTTCAGCCGCTTCTCCTTCGAGTTGCTGTGTGCTCGCTTGTTCCGTATTGCTATCCGAGTACCAATGAGTCAAGCAGCGAGCACAAGTAGTTTTGGTGTTTGTTTATTGTTGGGAGTCTGAGTTTTAGAGTTCAACCAAATGTACGACGACTTCTGCGCATGGATTTCTCAGATTCGGCCGTTGTTCGAGGCTTCCCTCTCTGCAGTGCAAGCGGTTCAGGAATTGGCCCACAAACTGTAAGTTTCGAAAGCTTCAAGCTCTTCTTAATGCACGTAATGGAGAAACCAAACTACCGTAAAAACTAATAGAAGTCATAAATTCAGTCAAAAGTTAACATTAGACAACGAGAACAAAGTAGGTATGCCTAGTTTAGCTTCAGTTTTTTTTCAAAAAACTTGTTGATGATCGAGGCTTTCTTTTGAATCGTCTTTTTCTCTCGAAGCACATCGGCGTTCGCTTGAATAACCTCGACATTTTCTTCAATTTTTCTTTCTTTCTTGAATCGATCAACGTTGTCCCAAAGGAGATCCCTTATGTTCGCTTCCTTTCTGAAAGAATCCAAGTTGCTCATGTTCTCGGTGATCACGAAATTCCTCGAGTCCATCCAAACTTCCACATTGCTCCGACATCAATCTAAAAAAGAAAACAATAATGAAAAAAGTGAGAAAATAGTACTTCAAAGAGTGAGATGCCTCTCAAAATGCATATTTTTGCAGCTTAGTGCAGTAACAAGGTGCGCGAAATAAAATGAAAGTGACGCATCTATTGGAGAGTGCGCTTCTATTTTCCGATGTCCGACCAGATGACGCTTTTTATTGGACAGTGCGTACCCTTGTTTAAAACCATTAGCATTTAAATTTCAGTGTCGAACTTGAGAACGCATCAAAGAGGATCGAAGAGGGTATGGAGATTTTCGTTCCTAGAGTCAATAGAGGAACGCAGGAGATAAAGGCAATCGTGAACAAGAAGAAAGATAATGTAAGTTTCAGAATTACTTCCATGAAAATGAGTTGTTTGCCAAAAGCTTGTTCAGAGACTGCTCCAAGCCTTCAAAATCGCGGATCAACAATTCGTCGTTGAACGTCAGAAAGAGATTGATCTGATTGTTTATCTTCGTGCGTAAGTAATTTCGAAAAACAGCCAATAACATAGACAAATCAAATCTTTGGTGAACTAGACTAATAATTCGATTTTTTTAGAGCCAATATGGGATCGCCAGGAGAGTGTCCCATTTGCTACGAGCCTCTCGAGTATCAGTGGATGGTTTTCCCGTGTGCTCACGTTGTTTGTCTAGGATGCTGGAAGATATTGTAAGCATTTTTAGAAAGAGATGAAACTTTGAAACATCTTCAATTGTAATTTTCAGAAAGAAAAGATCAACAATTCTCCATGAAGATCAACTTTACATTCAATGTATCACTTGTCGGGCTAAAGCTATCGATTACAAAGTGACCAAGGTGAGTGAGACGCATTGGAATGAATTTAAAACATTGTTAAGATTTATTAGGTCAATAAAGTTGAAAACTAACTGGCCAATTTCATTAACTTGATTGCCACAGGTCGTTTCTTGTCCAAATGTTGCTGTCAACGACGAGCAGATGCCCGGATCGAGCAAGAGAAAGCTAAAGGACATGCGAAAACAGGCCCCGAAAGATGTTTCACTTTCTGTCAAAATCTCAGCAATCGTTTTGAGAATCTACGAGATCGTCAGAGAAGATCCAAATGCAAAGGTACGTTCCAAAAGCAAAAGTTGGCTGAAATTCGGGTATTTTGAATGTTGTAATTGTTAAATAGATAGGTTTATTCGGACTATTAACAATTATACCAATTGAAATAAGCAAATGATATAATTGAAAATTTTGATGGATCAGGAGCTTGATTTTAAACTACTGGATACATGAGGCTAATCAATGGATACTTGAGGCTAATCTCGTTCAAAAGAATGGTAAAGACAAGCAGCTGAATGACCTCGACGAAACATACTCAAACATTTTCCAAAACACCCGAATTTCGGTCAGGAGCCCAAAATTTTCCTCAAATATTTAATCTAATTTCAGATTCTCGTCTTTTCTTCGATGGATTTAGTGCTCCGGGCTCTACACTCAGCCTTTTCGCAATGTCAGATCGCCTTTGTTGAGCTGAAGACGAACGCCAAGAGGAATTCTACGTTGAAAGAATTCAAGTTGTCTCATGATTTGAAGGTGGTCCTAGAGGAATTTCTGGAGATTAACACTGAAATACAGGTCTGTTTGATGCCACTCTCAAGCGGTGCCAATGGACTCAACCTCACCGAAGCAAACCATGTGATTTTTGCGGAACCGATTGTCGAAACGAGTGTTGAAGCTCAGGTAAGTGTAAGAAAAACAATTTTTGAAGCTTTTCCGACTTTTGGCAACTAGAACTCGTTTCAGGCAATTGGTAGAATTGATCGTTTTGGCCAAACCAAGCCGACTACCGTGCACCATTTCGTCGTGCAGAACTCAATTGAGGAGGTTTGTTGATTCGAATGTAAAGAAAATTAAAATCTAGCAACGAACAATATTTTAATGTTTAGGAAATCTATCGAATCACCCAGAATCATCTATTCGATGAGGGATGGACAGTGCAAACGCTCAAGGATGTCTTCGGGATTCAAGGAATTCAATAAGACACCAGCCTTAGCTTTATTTTCTCAAATAGTCTACTTTTTATCTGACCTCTAATCCAGTTCCACATTCCGAATGTTTCAACTGATTCGCAACTGGAGCTGCCATTGATTATTAAAGTTTTAGAGTTTATTTCACTTGTTGTCTTTGTTGTTTGAATTTACTAATAAATTAATTTTCCACTTGCGGGTATAATTACACTGTGGTGCAAAAGTCTTGTCCCACTTACTTTTCTGAAACATTATGTCAAAATTCTAAAAATTCTCGAAAACAACTTTTTAAGTAAAAGGGTTTTTCTGAACCCTAAGTTGTAAGCTTTCTTATAAAAAGTTTTTAGATTTAAAAAATTTATCACCTAAAAGAAAATAACAAATAAAGTTTAAAATCAAAAAATTTATGGTGCAAAAGTCTTGTCCCACCATTAAAAAAGGTAAGCTAGATTAATATTTTGTCGGGCCTCCTTTAGCCAAAATCACTGCTTGAATACGTTGAGGCATTGAATCGACCAAATCACCTAGAATTCCCGAAGAAATTTGTCGCCAAACGTTTCTGATAAAGAACCAAAGCTCGACCTTTGTGCTGAATATCTTGGCCCTGAGTTTAGTCTTTAAATGGGCCCAAAGATGCTCTATAACATTCAAATCCGGGGAAAAAGGGAGGCACTTTGATCAATTTTACACGATAAGCAGCAAAAAGGCCGGGTAGGCGAGCTCTTCCTCCATTTGCAAGTCGGACAACTCGGCCCATCATTAGCTGGCTTTTGTGGCATGGAGCGTTGTCTTGATATAAGGCCCATCCTTGTGGCATGTTCGTGTTTGCAAATGGAAGTAAGTTGTTCTCTATGATTGACTTGTACCTTCGAGCGTCGAGTCGATTTCCATTGATAAACACTAGCGGTCCCGATACACTTCGATTCATCGAGCCTAAAAAAGACAAATCGTAGGTGAAAAATAGGGCGAACCTTACAACATAATACTCCCACCACCGAATTTGACCGTTGGCTTAACGTATTTGAGCTTATAACGTTGTCCAATTGGTCTTCTGATTAAATGGTTACCGTCCGGGTAGAATAAATTAATTCTAGTCCCATCGGTGAAAATGGCTCGGGCCCAGTCATCGGAAGTCCACCCCTCGTAGTTCTTTGCAAAATCATATCTCAGCTTCCGAGTTTTTGCAATGGTCAAAAGTCGTTTTGCTGGTTTTCTTGCATGCAATTCTGCTCGAATCAAGCGACGGTTGATGCTCCATCGAGAAATATTTTTGTTAGACATGGCCATCAACTTCAGGATTCCAAGGCTCGAAGTCAGATTCGGGTCGATTCTATGGTCAATGATAAGTGCTCGATCTTCAGTTTTTGTTGTAATCGGTGGACGACCACTTTTCGAAGCTCTATGAAGACTTTGGCCTGCTTCCGATTTTGCTGCTAGCCGATTCACCGTCCTTTTATTGCATTTGAAGAGCATCGCAATAGACGGTGATGAATATCCATATTTCTTTGCTTGCACGATCTTTTGCTTATCAGGAGTTGATAAATATTTGCGAGTCGACATCTAAAAATAAAAATATAATACAAAAAAAATCATGAGCACAAACAAAGACAAAGAGAAAATACAAATTTTCTTAGTGAGACAAGACTTTTGCACCACCTTTTTTGCTCAAGTTTTGGGGGTGGGACAAATACGACCTTTTTTTGCTGGAAAAGGCCTTAGGCAAGGCCGTAGAGCTTCGAAAATATTACCATAAAAGGGAATCGTATGCGTAGATTCCGAATTTCGACAAATCAGACCTCGCTGACACGTCAAATTTGGGCTAAAAGACAAAAACTGCCGAAAAGCGTTAAGTTGCGTAGTTTTTGCCTTTTAGCCCAAACTTGACGTGTCAGCGAGGTCTGATTTGTCGAAATTCGGAATCTACTCCAGTTTGAGCGAAGTTTGCCCTAATAAGGGGAAGTCTTGATAAATTGTGCGTTTTCAAGACATCTACCATTGAACCACACGGAGACACGGTCTCACAAGAAATTATAAAGATCAAAGTATAAATATATTTCTTTAATTTTACACACGTTTAATTATTTTTGGCAAAGTAGCGAAAATCAGGCACGAAGAATTTCAAGTCCTCCATCAGCCATAGATCCAATGCAACGCTTTTCCCGTAGGAATTGTGGGAGATGAAAAAGCATTAGATGAGCTTTAATAGTAATTTCGGTAATTTGCTCGATTACTTCATCAGTCTTTATCCGTTGAAACGACAAGCTCAGAAAATTTTGTGAAGTGTTCTAGAGATCTCATTAAAAGTTTATATCTCGTTGTATTGATCAATCCATTAAATTCATCTTTCCTTGAACATAATTTTTTGATCTTAGGTCCATTTAAATCCTCAGATTTAAAGCACTTCACAAAACCCAATTTCTAACAGAGAAAATGGAAACTAGTTTCACCTGTTCCTAAAAGCCAAAATCCATGTTAGCCAGGTCAAGTAAGGCCAGGCGAAATCAAAGCCAAATCCTGGTAAGACCTAGGAATCTTGGTGCAGCAATAGCCATGGTTTCACCTGTTTTCACTTTTATCGCTCGTTATTTATTGATAGTTGATTTCCCCAATACCGTGCCTCAAATCTTCAAAAATCAATAACCCAAAATTCTCGAATTTCCCATTCAATTCTTGTTCTCTTTCTCACTATCTCGTTCATTTTTTGAGCTAATCGAGCCGTTGGCACAAATTGTCTCTTCTCAACCCCCCTTGGCCAGCAGATGCCGTAGCGATAGCCAGTATGATGCAGATGTCGTAGCCAGTAGCGATATAAAAGGAAAGATCGTTCGAAGGAGAGATAATTTCTCTTCACTTTTCACTTTCAAAACCTTTTTCTCTTTACCTATTTTTCAATTTAGATTCGCGAATCTTCGAATTTATTTTGGAAATGTCTCTTTTCGAGCGAGCTTTCTCCCTCTTGAAGTGCACTCGTTGCCAAGAGTTCTGACAAGAGAAGACAAATTTGAGATTGATTCTACAACAAAAAAATTCAAGTTTGTGTTGTGCCAAACGGGGTCGCGGCATCTGTTCATGACGAATCGAATGCGGAGGAGGAGGACGTTGATGATGAAGAGACCTACTATGCAGAAACTCAATGTTGATTAATTTCAAAGAAATTCTTATTTTTTGACGATTGTTTTTCACTTCGATTTGCTTCCTTATCAACGTCCTATTATCTTGTTATTTTCCTGATTTTTTCTACAGAGATTTTAACCCTTTTAATCATAACTTTCAGGATGATTAGAGTACCTTTTCGGATTCGGATTCAGGCGCCAGATTCGGATTCAGATGTGGAGAACATCTCTCCAGAAGAGAACACAACGAAAAAGGCAACTATTGAGGTTCATTTTAAAAAATGTTTGTCTGAAACAATCAATTTTTAGTGGTTAGCTCGTACGAGTTGCTTCTTATTGGAACTTGATGGAAGGGAACCGAAACAATCCGTGTACTTGGGCAGGATTAAAATCTCGAAAGAAAATGTTCCCGAATTGCTATCAAGTGCAGACTCTGCTCAAATCATTTTGTACGATGAAGTTGATGGGGAAGTCAAGGTGAGCAAGGGTTCTAAGGTGGTTTTATTATTTTTTGGCCACGGATGAGATTCAGGTTGAGGAAACGATAAAAAAATAGAGGATCTACATTTACAATATTTTGACCAAGCACTTAACGCTCTTTTGCTTTCAGATCTATCAACCAGTCAAAACGACATCTCCTTGGAAAGGCGCTCAAGCCTATTATTCTGTGACTTGTATCGGAGCACTGCCTTGGACCCAACAATCAATGAATTTCTATGGAACACATTTGAAGTAAGCTGAAAATTTTCGAAAGGGATAATCGATTCGGTTTAGACACTATCGTGGTCTCGGCATTTCTCTCGCAATCCCAACAGATATCGAGGAAGATGGCTTTTTTGTTGATGTCTATCAAAAGGTAAAATCAAAAGTCGTTAGTATCAACATTAGTTTTCAGGAATCATTCGTCTTACCCTCCTGGAAAAATCATGATCAAACTGCGTTTTTGTTAAAGGATCGATTGATGAAAAGAGCGCCGACAACTCTAAGATTTCTTTTGATGGCAATGATGCCTGATTTGGTGAGTATTTGATAATCAGGCTCTAGTACAAACTTTAAGGCTCATAAATATTTAATTTGTTAAAGTGTCAAATCAAAGTCTTTCAAAATTTAAGGATCTACCCATGGTTCAAAGCGAAGAAGCCGAGTTGCAACGGGAGGATTTCCATGGCTACTTTGAAGAGTTGAAGGAAGGCCGAACGATTGCACCACAATACGAGCTTCAGATGCAGGACTTAACCACAACTTTGAGGCCGTACCAAGAGGAGGCTGTGAGGTTCATGATACACGTAAGTTACAACTCATATTAGAAAATTAGCCGCTTCAAAGCTGCAGAAATTTTGTTGCATTAAGAATGAAAACATGGCCAGCCTAATAGATTTCAAATGTCTAAGCATTTCTCGATTTAGAAAGAGTTACACCCTCAACTCAAAGCAGCCACCGAATTCTCTTCAATTGAGGTTCAAGAAGGTATCTACTATTTTCCATATTGTGGCCTATTTGCGAAACAAAGATGGGATATCGAACTTTCTCTGCAAGGTAGTGAAATGCTCGCTGATTTTTAAACCAACAAGTTTCAGGAGGGATTTTGGCGGAAGAAATGGGATTGGGGAAAACAGTAGAACTGCTCTTGAACTTGTATCTTAACTTGTATCTCTTGTAAGGAGAGATGTTGCTCGGATCGAGTCACCTTGCCGGCAAACTATGATACAACGAATTTCAAGTGCCCAACATGCATGATTGATGAAGTCGGTTTGAGAAAACACTATTATAAGTTGTAGAATAGAAGGCTAAATTTTATGATTCATAATGCCTCGTGATTAAACAAATTTGCATAATTGCGGCAGTCTTTTGAAGCGTACGCTTTAGAAAGCGCATTAACGCATAACGAGGAACACATTCTATTCCAGACAGTCGATGCCGGAGCCACTTTAATCGTTGTCCCTAGCTCGATTCTCTCACAGTGGTATGAGGAAATTCGGAGACACATTCGAGAAAATGTCACTGTTGATGTAAGTACGAGTACGAATGACTCTGAAAATTGTCAAAATATTTAGTTGTATCAAGGAGTGTTCGTTCATGGATACAAACATCCAGAGCTTCTGGGAAGTCAAGACATCGTTTTGACCACCTATAGTGTCCTTGAAAAGGAGCTCTATCTTGTTGATTGGAAACCAAAAGGTATGTCACCTATAGACTCTAGACTTAGATTTATTTTTATCCATAAACATTTAAATAGCTAATGGAAACTTGTTTCAGAAGGGCTACGGAAAAGGGCTCGGGCTCAAGTCTCCCCGTCGCCTCTTCTGTCGATCAACTGGTGGAGGGTGTGTTTTAAATAGCAAAAATAGGGGTTTTAATTGCCAAATGGACAATAAAATGCGCAAAAAATCTTGAATTTAATCATTTTGCTTTCAGATCTGCCTGGACGAGAGCCAACTGGTTGAGGGAGGCACAAGAAGAGCAGCTCTGATGTGTCACAAGTTGCGTTCAAGAGCAAGGTGGTGCGTCACTGGAACTCCACTACAGAGATCGCTTTCTGGTGAAACTTTAAATTTATCTTAAGGTTTTGATACTAATAAATTTTGCAGAAGTGATATCTTGTTCAAAATATTCTAAAAATATTGTCAATCGGTCAAGCGTATTTTATTGTCCTAGAAAATGCAAAACAGGACTAGAAAAGACGCCTAGAATAGGTTGTGACCAGGTCGGTTCAAAGTGGCCCCCGAAGTTTCTGAGTACCAAGATCTTTAAATGTTTAAAACAGAAGGTTTAAAAAAAGTTCCCATTTCAACTTAAATTTAAAGTTTAAAGGGGTACTCCGGCCTCAAAGTTGACTTTCAAGAATCGCGGTCATCTTTATACAGTGGTCCACAAAAGTAACGTCCCAGCCATCCAAAAGTTTCTTTTCGAAGAAAATCTTGCGAAAACGACATTCCAGAAAAAGCTTAGGGGCTTTTTGCTTACCCATAAGATTCTACTTTTCCAGAATATAAGATTTATCTGTACACATTGCATACAAAATAAAGTATAAAACAAAGACAATAAGTTACTTAAAGATTAGCTCCACAAAAGTAATGTCCCATTTGCAAAGAAGTGAGTTGAAATAGGGAACTTTTTTGAACACCCTGTATTTGCAGACATTGGCGGCCTACTCAGTTTTCTTGGAATCTTCCCATTCAACGTGCCCGAGATTTGGTCCAAACTTCATTGGGTTCAATACACCCACGGTGATAAGGATTTCCTTCTGAATTTCATTCGCCAGTTTTTCTGGAGGAACAACAAGCAAGATGTGATAGATCAAGTTAGTAATGAAACTTGACTATCGAATTTCAATCTTTAGCTGAATCTCCCGCCAAGAAATGCCAATCTGACCACTTTGGATTTTGCCCCGTTAGAGGAGAGGACTTACCAGATTGGACTTGAAGTAACAAAGCAAGCTCTAAGTAAGTAAAATAAGCAAATAGTGAAGTGAACGTTTATTCAATATTCTCAAATTTCAGGTAGAGATCTTCGAACATCGACTATTGAGGAAAATCCGAAAACTCTCTTGAAAAATCTCAATCAAAAGCTGTTCACAAAAATTTGGAGTCGATTATGTTATGTAAGTTGACTATGAGAGTTACTTAACGATCATGAATTTCAGTTGAGAGCTTCAATTGTGACAGGGACTGGCGAAGGACTTGGCTTGGGTATAGTGCAGGGCAACAAGAAGGAGAATGCTAATGTCTTCTCACCGAGTCTTCTCTTTGCTCGCCTTCATCTCCGTGGCCGACGACATTTAATGGACAAGAATCGGACTCTGATCGCAAATCGTCATGGTAATTCACAAAGACATAAATATTTTATTGACTAGGTGATCAATCTCAAAAATCTAGGCGAGAATTGCTAAAAATCAATTCAAATTTTGCTTTCAGGACTCGCCGGGCTTCATTTTCTCTATGGGAATCTCGATGAAGCATTCGAAGTCTACAAACAAGCTTGGGATGTAAGATATAAATCACTGAGATTAACCAAATTTTCTGGTGCCTCATAGTGCGCCAAAAGTTCTGTCACCTCACGTATAAAAAGCGTAAAATAAAATCTTCCTAGAAGAATTCTATTTTTTAATAGTAAAAAATTTATAAATAGGGAGTCTGGTCGCGGACGATTTGGCGGAATTTCAAGTATATGAATTTTTTGAGACTATCTATGGTCCTCATTTTTTAAATAAGCTGAACAGCAAATAAATTTCAATAAGCAAATGTAATATAAGTTTTCTAGAAAGCAATGCTATTTTAATATCCATTTTTGGTAAAGTAATATTTGAAAATTCAGAATACAAATAGGGTACTAAATTTTCTAGCTCTCACAATTTTTTGCAGAATCATCTATATCATTGAACCTTACTATTAGATAGTTTAAAAGTTCTACTATTTGCTATGATATCTTCATTCAGCTGAAACAAAATTCAATTTTTGAGCTTTGGTCAACTTTCTAAGTTCTAACAAAGTAGTGAGGTTAAAACAATTCTAGATAGACCTATATATCTCTTTTATATTCTAGATTTTATTGGATACAAAAAGAATCAACGAGAAACTAGGATTGGCGAGTAATTCGATTGAAGATCTTTTCACAGCGGAAGAGCTAGATGTTGATCGGAATGAGAACGAAGAAGCTGTTGAAGAAGGTAGGAAAGTAAAACTACTACTTTATTTTGCAATTTAGCCAAAATAAAGCCGATTACTGTTGATTCGACCCAAGTGATCCATTGTGGAAAGTTTGTTTATCTGTTTTAATTGGTTCAAAAAGATTTTAGGGCTCTTAAAGCTTTGGCTGAGGTTCATGAAGGAGCCCGGCGGTTTTTCGAAGAACAAACCATTGGAGATTATCTTGCTGGAGCCGCTGGAAGGTTGAAATCTTAAAAGAAAATATTTATCTTTGTCAAATTAATGAAAGAATTACATTTGTGCTTTAGATTTCTGGGACAATCACTTGGAGCCATCCACCTAGCATCTGCTGACATCATCAAAGCCATAGAAAAATACAATGATGTAAGAAAAAAGTGAAGTCCTTTACAATGAGAAATTTCAGGGCCAATCAAGACTGCCGGAAAACGAGAAATTCTCATGGTTGGCTAAAGCTTTGAATTTCGTGATGAGCGATGAAAATCACGAAATTGCGATCTTTAAAGCGATCGAGGACATGAGAGGAAAGGACTCACTTGACAAGAAAAGTCTAAACGATCCAGCGCAGTTGAGGACAACGAACACCTTGCATAGGTAACATTTGGGATTGGCTGGCTTACTAATCAGGACGATAGCAATACATATTATCTTCCATTTCAACGATCAAGTATTTTAATTTTGACAATGAGCTAAATCAGGTCAGATAAGACGCTTGAACTTGCTTGAAAGTGAACCCAAATTGACAAAAAATGGAAAATTGAACAATAAACACTTTTTATTCAGAGCAAAACATAGGCTGATTGGTAAATTTGTTATTTTTTAACGGAGGATGTATGAAAAGGTACGAAAAGACTTTCTGGACAGCCTAATACTTCAGAGACTTCTACCAAACTGATAGATCTGGAGCAGTGACCCCACTCAAAGGAGATTCCCTTCGGCAACAAATCTTTTCCGTTGTCAACAAAGCTTCTGACGAGATCGCTTTCATTTGTGAAGAAACTGTGACGATGGTCGACGCTGCCTTAGAATGTGTAAGTCCTAAAAGCTATCAATAACTGACCCATTCTAGGAGAAAATCTCTGCCGATTTGAGGCAAGTGATGGAATGTGATTGTTACAAGGAATTCATGATGACAACTGAGGAAAGAGATGCGATGAATGCGAAGATAGTGCATGCAGTGGGAAGAGAAGGGAGAAGGATGACGAAAGGCAAAAGAAGCAGTATTGTTCCTGTTGGAGAACGGTCGTTGATGCTTGTCACCGATGATTTGGATAAAGAAACGTGAGTTTTAAGTTTTCAATTAATTTACCCTAAATTTTACGGGACATAAATCGTCAGAAGTGACTCAGCCAAGTGCTTTAGACTCCTCAACACTCGATGTGCCTCTTGTCGAATCGGTCGACGCATCCGTGACCTTCGAGAACTACTGGGTGGAACTCGGGACGCAAGTCTTCAAACAGACAGGTTTGCGCAAGATTTTTAAGCAAGCCAAGGTTGTTTTTAAAAAATATCCGACCTAACATTCTGAACTTAATTTTTCAGCCGCTTCTCCTTCGAGTTGCTGTGTGCTCGCTTGTTCCGTATTGCTATCCGAGTACCAATGAGTCAGGCAGCGAACACAAGTACTTTTGGTGTTTGTTTAATATTTGGAAATCTGAGTTTTAGAGTTTAACCAAATGTACGACGACTTCTGCGCATGGATTTCTCAGATTCGGCCGTTGTTCGAGGCTTCGCTCTCTGCAGTGCAAGCAATTCAGGAATTGGCCCACAAACTGTAAGTTTCGAAAGCTTCAAGCTCTTCTTAATGCACGTAATTGAGAAATCAAACTACCGTAAAGACTAATAGAAGTCATCAATTCAGTCAAAAGTTAACATTAAACAACAAAAACAAAGTAGGTATACCTAGTTGAGCTTCAGTTTTTTCAAAAAACTCGTTCATGATCGAGGCTTTCTTTTGAATTTTTCTCTCGAAGCACATCGGCATTCTCTTGAATAACCTCGAAATCTTTTTGAACCACGTGATCCACGTTGTCCTGATCAAGATCCTCATGTGTACCCGTCCGTTCTCAAAGAATCCAACTTCCTCATGCTCTCGGCGATCACGAAATTCCTCAAGTCGATTCAAACTTCCACATTGCTCCGACATCAATCTAAAAAGAAAACAATAATGAACAAAGTGAGAAAATAGTGCTCAAAAGAGCGAAATGCCTCTCAAAATGCATATTTTTGCAGCTTAGTACAGTAACAAGGTGCGCGAAATAAAATAAAAGTGACGCATCTATTTGAGAGTGCGCTCCTATTTTCCGATGTCCGCCCAGATGACGCTTTTTATTGGACAGTGCGTGCTCCTGTTTAAAACCATTAGCCTTTAAATTTCAGTGTCGAACTTGAGAACGCATCAAAGAGGATCGAAGAGGGTATGGAGATTTTCGTTCCTAGAGTCGATGGAGGAACGCAGGAGATAAAGGCAATCGTGAACAAGAAGAAAGATAATGTAAGATTAAAAATTACTTCATTAAAATCAGTTGTTTACCAAAAGCTTGTTCAGAGACTGCTCGAAGCCTTCAAAATCGCGGACCAACAATTCGCCGTTGAACGTCAGAGAGAGATTCCTCTGATTGTTTATCTTCATGAGTAAGTAATTTCGAAAAACAGTTAATAACATAGACAAATCAAATCTTTTGTGAACTAGACTAATAATTCGATTTTTTTAGAGCAAATAATGGATCGCCAAGAGACTGCCCCATTTGCTACGATACTCTCGAGAATGAGTGGATGGTTTACCCCTGTGCTCACACTGTTTGTGTAGGATGCTGGAAGCGATTGTAAGCATTTTTAGAAAGAGATGAAACTTTGAAACATCTTCAATTGTAATTTTCAGAAAGAAAGTTCGCCATGAAGATCAACTTTACATTGAATGTGCCACTTGTCGGACTGAAGCTGTCGATTACAAAGTGACCAAGGTGAGTGAGACTCATTGGAATGAATTTAAAACATTGTTAAGATTTATTAGGTCAATAAAGTTAAAAACTAACTGGCCAAGTTCATTATCTTGATTGCCACAGGTCGTTTCTCGTCCAAAAGTTGCTGTCAACGACGAGCAGATGCTCGGATCGATCAAGAGAAAGCTAAAGGAAATACGAAAACAGGCCCCGAAAGATGCTTCACTTTCTGTCAAAATCTCGGCAATCGTTTCGAGAATCTACGAGATCGTCAGAGGGGATCCAAATGCAAAAGTACGTTCGAAAAGCAAAAGTTGGCTGAAATCCGGGTATTTTGAATGTTGTAATTGTTAAATAGATAGGTTTATTCGGACTATTCACAATTATACCAAATGAAATAAGCAAATGATATACTTAAAAATTTTGATGAATCTGGAACTTGATTTTAAAATACTGGATACTTGAGGCTACTCTCATTCAAAAAAATGATAAAGACAAGCAGCTGAATGACCTCGACGAAACATACTCAAACATTTTCCAAAACACCCGAATTTCGGCCAAGAGCCCAAGAGTTTCCTCAAACATTTAATCTAATTTCAGATTCTCGTCTTTTCTTCGATGGATTTAGTGATCCGGGCTCTACACTCAGCCTTTTCCCAATGTCAGATCGCCTTTGTTGAGCTGAAGACGAACACCAAGAGGAATTCTACGTTGAAAGAATTCAAGTTGTCTCATGATTTGAAGGTGGTCCTAGAGGTATTTCCAGAAGTTAACACTGAAATACAGGTCTGTTTGATGCCACTCTCAAGCGGTGCCAATGGACTCAACCTCACCGAAGCAAACCATGTGATTTTTGCGGAACCGATTGTCGAAACGAGTGTTGAAGCTCAGGTAAGTGTAAGAAAAACAATTTTTGAAGCTTTTCCGACTTTTGGCAACTAGAACTCGTTTCAGGCAATTGGTAGAATTGATCGTTTTGGCCAAACCAAGCCGACTACCGTGCACCATTTCGTCGTGCAGAACTCAATTGAGGAGGTTTGTTGATTCGAATGTAAAGAAAATTAAAATCTAGCAACGAACAATATTTTAATGTTTAGGAAATCTATCGAATCACCCAGAATCATCTATTCGATGAGGGATGGACAGTGCAAACGCTCAAGGATGTCTTCGGGATTCAAGGAATTCAATAAGACACCAGCCTTAGCTTTATTTTCTCAAATAGTCTACTTTTTATCTGACCTCTAATCCAGTTCCACATTCCGAATGTTTCAACTGATTCGCAACTGGAGCTGCCATTGATTATTAAAGTTTTAGAGTTTATTTCACTTGTTGTTGTGTTGTTTTAATTTACTAATAAAGTAATTTTTCACTAATAAAGTATAATTACACTGTGGTGCAAAAGTCTTGCCCCACTTACTTTTCTGAAACATTTTGTCAAAATTCTAAAATTCTCGAAAACAACTTTTTAAGTAAAAGGTTTTTTTTTGACGTAATAAAGAATGAAATTTATCCTTTCTAATCAAGGAAAATGCAAAATAGCAAGACTTAATTTAAAAAATGAATAGTAAAAAGCATTGAAGGCATTTTATAACATCAACTTTGATTGAACATTTCTTGCTCTAGCTACCGTAGCCTTTCCCGGGAAGAGAAAAGTCATTGCATGACACATGAAGGCAATCAGATCACAATTGGTCATTGAACATTATCTAGAGGTTGAAGAAGTTGATTTTAAGACACTTTTCGGAATTTAAAGTGTTTATTTTTATCGAACTGTTAAAGGAGCTCACTTTAATCGAAAATGAGCGACTCAAAACTCCCGGCTGATGGGATCTCTCAGTATACAAGAGATAAGGTAAGGGATCTTCGTTAATTTATAACTAATTAGTAATGCTAAATATAAACTTTATTATTTGAAATATTTTTAGGCAAGTCGTACAAGAATTGCGATTGAGAGCTTCTATGCACAATGTGTCACTCAAGCAGTTGAACGAGAGAAAAGAGCCACAAAGTTGGAAGAAGACATGTCAGTGAAAGGTTTGAAAATTGAGAGTTAAGTTAAGCATCAAGTTAAGCATCAAGTTTTAGGACTTAATGAAGAACAGAAAGAAGATCAACGAAATGCTTTGAAGACAAAAGAAAGCGACTTCTTGAGATTAAAGGTACTATTAATATTAGTATTAAATGTTTGAAAGTACTTTGAAAGCATAAAAATACTTTGAAATTTCTCTTCTTTCATTTCAGAGAACTCGTTTGCAAGTCTCTGATTTTGATTCGCTGAAGATCATTGGAAGAGGGGCTTTTGGAGAGGTTTTAAGAGATCTTCTGATATAAACTTAAAGTTTTGCTCAGGTTCGCTTGGTTCAAAAGGTCGACACTGGGCACATCTATGCAATGAAGATATTGAGAAAATCAGAGATGCTAGAAAAGGAACAGGTACATTTGTTGTTCGGTTTAGAAATTCGAAATCTAGATGAGGTTTTGATCTAGAAAACATTTTTCCACAAAAATAGAACCTTCTCATCTAGTAGATGAAGAAAAGAATAAACCTATTTTCTTGTGAAACAACAGTTAAAACTTGAAATCCGATTACAACTCGCCAACTTTTTTTAGCTATAAGTTTTGCGTCTCAATCAATCTGAATCTGATCAATCAATCGTTGCTATTTGTTTAGAAAGAGTTTTAAAAAAATAGGATTGCTTTTGACTGACTACGTTTAATTAGAAATTTCAGAAAATTCAGATGGTTTTTGAGAGAAATTCAAGCGATCAGGCATTTGGGTTGATTCTGGCGATATATTGCCAATTAAAAGGCTTGATCTTTGCCTTAAAGACTTGATCTTTGTCTTAAAGGCTTGATCTTTGCCTTAAAGGCTTGATCTTTGCCTTAAAGACTTGATCTTTGCCTTAAAGACCTTTTAAAGAGCTTTTGACCTTTGCCAAACCTTAAATTTAACTATAATTGCTATAATTACAAACTTTTATAAGAATATTTAGCATTGGATAGTTTTTTTAATCTTAAAAGCTGAATTTGACAATCGAAAAACAAGGTGGCTTCGAACTTTTGTGTAACTCTGTATTTACAATCAGTATAATTAGATAAATCTTAGACTAGATAAATCTTATGTATAATAAAATAATAGCATTTTAATTTGCAGCTGTTTTTTGGACCAGAAGTTACTCTAAAATGAAAGTTATTCAATTGAAAAGAAAGAAGCATAGAGGAAATAGTAATAGTAAGAACTAATAGTAAGAAGCGTTGAGAAAAACAAAACGAAAAAACGTTAACGCGCTCCTTACATACTGGCATGTTAGCTCCGCCGCTTTTTCGGTCTTGAGTCAAGAAAGGTGAATTTAGACAGCTCACGTTCGAGCCGAAAGGGATATTCTATCAGAAGCCGATTGTGAATGGGTTGTCAAAATGTACTACTCGTTTCAAGACTACGCAAATCTGTATCTCGTTATGGAGTTTTTACCAGGAGGTGAGTTGAAATGATCCGACGCAATTTTACAACTCAAGTTACAATCCCATTTAGGTGACATGATGACTCTACTGATCAAAAAGGACACCTTGTCAGAAGAAGCAACTCAATTTTACATTGCTGAGGCGGCGTTGGCTATTCAATTCATTCACAATCTCAGCTTCATCCATCGTGACATCAAACCTGATAATTTGTTGTTGGATGCCAGGGTATTTTGGCTTTACATTGCTCAAATTATCATTTTCAGGGTCACATCAAACTCTCGGACTTTGGCCTTTGCACGGGATTGAAAAAGATTCACCGAACCGAGCATTACAGGTAAAAAAAGACTAACTAACTCTTATTATTTGTAAAATAGTTTCATTTACAGTTTACAAATAGTTAGATTTAGATTATCAGTGAATTGTAAAGCAAAATTTAACTCTTAGGAACTGGCCCAGTCAACTGCCAGCTGATTTCGTACAAAAACCCTTCGAATCAAAACGCAAAGCAGAAACATGGAAAAAGAATCGACGAGCTTTTGTGAGTTAAAGCAAAATCAGCAAAATTGCATCCGAAACATAAAAATCTGAATGAATTCAGGCCTATTCCACCGTTGGCACTCCCGATTACATTGCTCCAGAGGTCTTTCAACCAAACGGCTACACGAAGAGCTGTGACTGGTGGAGTCTTGGAGTGATTATGTACGAGATGTTGATTGGTGAGTTGAACGTACAGACCAAGAGTTTTTAGAGAAAAAATGACCAATCAATTCTTTAAATTAGCGTAATTAAAGTCAAGTCATTAAATATAAATACTTTATTTAGAAAGAAATAAAGTGCGAAAACGACATGAAAAATGTACCAGATAAAAGATCACAAAGTCACAAAGTAAAAGATCTTAAAATGCAACGAAGTAACCCTTTTAAAATCAGACACCGTGGAGATCAAACGCAACTTGTCGGAAGGGCATTCCAAACTTTAATCACACGATTTACAAAAAAAGCTCTAGAGGATTTAGAGAAAGCAGATTCGGGATGCAAGATAAAAGAGCCACGCCTAGCCTCGAGTTTAGCCAAAAGCCTCGAGTTTAGCCGAAAAAAAGAGGGTTGGAAAGACTAATTGGAAAAAAAATAGTGCGTGCGCCGCAGAAAAGCTTCATCAAAATCGTCTCAATCTTTCGATTAAAGATGATATGAAAATCACTTCTAATCTTTATTTCAGTGATATTTTAATAGTTCTTTGTTTAATTTAGTTCAATTTAGCAAAATAAGGCTTCTGCAGAGGCTACAAAATGAAACAGATTGGCCTCGCGTCGTTGCACAGTCGAAGCTGTATGAGCGGGCGCCCCATCCTAATGGAAGACATATGGATTGGCCCAAAATGTGAATCTTTTCAAAAACTTAGGCCAAGGATGATCTTTTTTAATTAAAACATCACTCAAATAAAGATTTGAAGTGATTTTAATATCACCTTTAATCGAAAGCTCTGCGGCGCGCGCTCTATTATTTTTCCAAGTACTCTTCATGACTGCATTCGAGCGAAAGAAGGTCAAACCGAGTTTTATTAGTTTTTGTGGATTATTTTCATTGTTTTACAATGAAATTTATCTTGGTGGACAAGTTTTCAAGAAAATTACAAGTCTTATAGGAGCAGTCAATCATTTTCACGCCCCCTGTATATTAGGCTGTCCAGAAAGTCTTTTCGTTCTTTTTTTACTTGCGTTTAAAACCAATAAATGCATCAATTGAAACAATCTAATGTTTTTAATCTAGGTTATCCGCCGTTTTGCTCGGAAACACCACAAGAAACTTACCGAAAAGTGGTCAATTGGCAGCAGACTCTTGTTTTCCCGCCCGAAATGCCGATCTCGGTTGAAGCTAGAGCGGTAAATCGTTTTGAAATACAGTTTTGAAATAGAGTTTTGTAAAGTTTTGAGATTCTTGTTTGTCATGATTCTTTTAGTTTGTCAGAATAAGCAAGATATTGATTCATTCAGACAATCAAAAGATTCTGCTCTGAATCGGAGCGACGAATGGGACACAACAATGGAATCGATGAGATCAAAGCATGTCCGTTCTTCAAGCGCATTGATTGGAATCATATCAGGTAAAATTTGTTTTCAGCTTTGACCTCTAAATCCAAATTGCAGAGAAAAGCCGGCTCCCATTAGAGTAGAAGTGAAATCGATTGATGACACGTCGAACTTTGACGAGTTCCCAGATGCCGATCTGTCACTACGTGAGTCTAGAAAAATTGATTGATCTTTTCTTTATGTTAAAAACTTTACAAATTCGAAATTCGATTAGTAACCTTTAGAAATATACTGTGGAAATATAAATTAGCGGTTTTCTAAGCAATTTTTTAGCTCTTCCCACCCAGCGTCCCCCAGACGCTGAGCTTCCCGGTAGACGAGGCGAATTCGTCGATTTCACCTACAAACGATTCGATGGTCTCACGCAAAGAATGCGATTTGAAGGAAATGATCCGGTAATCTTTACAAAACTTATCAATCGAACCTCTTACCGTAATTATTCTAATAGGAGAGCTTTATAGAAGCGTCGCGTAGTCGAACCAGTGAATGGCACCATCTTAAGTCGGCCTTTTTCAATCGACCCTAGCTTATCTGATAGAGTTTTGAAGTTCTCTATCAGATTGAGGTTTATCTGATAGAGTTCTGATTCCAAATGTGATTTTAGTTTCACCAAACGTGCCCTGTTTCGCGAGTTATCTGGCTAAGAAGTTTAGATCGCGTTTTCAGAGCTAATATAGGCCTTCTTGTTTCCCTCAAAACGTGAACTGAATCAAAAGTCCTTGATGGTTTTCTATAAACACATTGCTTTTAAACATCTTATTTCTCAATACATATATGATAGAATGGCTTCTGTAAAGAATTAGACCAATTTCCAGATTTACCTGTGCGTTTAAAAGTCTCGAAGAGCTGATTAAAGGCCAGATAACTCGCGATACAGGGTTTGGTGAAACTAAAATTTTTATTTGCTTTGTCTATTTGGTTTTTGTTTGGTTTTTATTTGGTTTGTCGCGATATTTGGTGAAACTAAAACCAGTGCCCGCATCGATGAACGTTCCAAACGGTTTGGAATTCCAAATGCGAAAAATTCCACACCATTTTACTAAGCGATGAGTTAGTTTTTTTGAATTTATGTTTTGAAATTGTTTTGCAGTAGATAATTGTGCTCAACTATTTCAAAAAAATTATCTCACAGAGTGAACTCATCGCTTAGTAAAATGGTTTGGAATTTTTGAAAGATTTGAAATCAGATTTTAAATCCGCGTTCAAAACTCTATCAGATAAGCTATGGTCGATTCAAAAAGGCCGACTTAAGTTGGCGCCATTCCTACGTTTACTTGCTAAGTTTAATTACTAGTAATTTTACTAGTTTACTTACTAAGTTTACTGCAAGTAAGTTTACTTACTAGGGAATGCTTTAGTTTACTTCACTTCAAACAAACGCTCATATCTCAGCATCAGTACGTTTATTTCTGCGCGCTTTAGTATCAAATTAAAGTAGAGAGGATGGGTGATGTTTTGAGATATAACACAGATTTTTAGCATTAAACAGCGCTTAGAGGAAAATGATTGAAAAGTGGCAAAAAATCCGATTTTTCATCATTTTTCAATCAGTTTCTTCTAAGCGCTGTTTGATGCAAAAATTTGTGTTAGATCTCGAAAAAACACCCATTCTCTCTACGTTAATTTGATACCAAAGCGCGCAGAAATAAACGTACTGATGCTGAGATATGAGCGTTTGTTTGAGTGTAGTGTTCTTTGAGTGTAAACTTAGACAACGCAACGCTTCTATAGGGGCTTTTCTATAGAGCTAAAGAGCCTTCTATAGAGCCCTATAGGCTATAAAGTCCTATAGGGGCTCTTCTATTTGAAAATTTATGGTAATTCGATTTTAACGATTAATAAAGCAGCAAGACGTCCGCAAATTCTTTGAACTGGCCGGCGGTGAGCGATATATTTCTCCTCGTGGCTAGTCCCCTTAATCATTCTTCTCATTTCCTCTTTTTTTTGTTCATTTTAGTTTCATTAGAACGTGCTTTTTGATGGAAAAGAGTGTGCACACTATCTGGATTGATGATGTCAATATTTAGCTTTATTTAGCTAATTGAATTTTTGCTGACTTGTTAGAACATTTGCAGTTGAATTTAAGATTCGTCTGAGTACTTTGACTAGCCAGCTTTGCATTATTGACTTGCAAATCTGCAAAGCTTTGACATTATCGACAGTTAACCGAATTTAAAACTTTAAAACGAAAATTTAAGAATCTTTAACGATAGTGTTCACAGTCTATATCAGTTTCTTCTTGAAAACAACAAAATTTCAGATTCCGCGCTCTAATCTCTCTGATGGAAGTCGCCGTTGAGCCAAAAAATGTGTTTCTAATATTTGTTCGCTTTATTCAACGAGCTTTTCATAACTTCGCCCCACTTTTGGTTGTGAATTTATTGGGTTGGTGAATTGAAAACTACCGGATTTTGAACTACCGAATTTTGAACTAAAATTTATTCAACCTAAAACCATCAATTTAATTTCCATTATTATTGACGACTTCTGCCCATTTTACAGGCAATTTGCGGATTCCTCTTTCGTAGTAGGATTTTGGTTTGTGTGTGAGACAAGTGTGAGACTCAAAAATGGAGGACTGGAGATGTCAGCTGTCAGCCCAGTTTGAGCACTTTCTTCAAAAGAAACCCATTTTGGTGTCAATAGAAAAGTTGTAGAGAATCAAAAATTAGGCTTATAGCCAAATTTCCAAAAAGATACACTTAGTAGTTTCGCTTAAAATGCAAGTTTTGTGAAAATTCGTAAATTTGGAATTTCTTAAAAACCAGTTTTTGAATCGTTCTGAAAATTTGGATAGAATCTTAATTTTTGATTTTCTACAACTTTTCCATTGACACCAAAATGAGTTTCTTTTGAAGAAAGTGCTCAAACTGTGACATATGACAATAGCCGGCAGTTTTCAATTCACCAACCCAATAATTTTCTTTGTCTTTTGTGCCTTCAACGCATCGCCAATCTTACACATATTTGTATATTTATTGAACAAAAAGTGCAGTCAATTTTCTTATTCAAATCAAAAGAAATTCTCAGAGACCCGCTTGTTAATGAATAAAATTACGATTGATTTAAGAATGGCAGGGGAAAAGCGAGTGAAATTTGCATAAAAGAAAGATTTGTATTTGCACCGGAAGTGAGGTTTGTAAAGATTATAGCAAGGAAATCTAAAATAGAGCTATTTTGAGTTATTCCAAAATTCATCCAATGAAATAGCGGAGACATTGTCGAGAACTTTCATCTTCGGACGATCAAATAAGCCACCATCTCTGGAATTGCGGCGGCTTTAAACGAATTCAGCAAATTCTTGAGTTTAATAAAGTAATGAATAGCAAAGAAAGATTTCCGGAGAGGGGATTGAACCCTTAATCTTTTTGCTTTTGACCTTTTTGCTCTCCAGGCAGATGGCCTAACCACTGAGCTATCCCGGATCTTCTTGCCAGAGAAGAAAGAGGAAATACAAGGAGGAAGAGAAAGGAAGAAAAGAGAAGGAAATACTGAAGTTTAAGATTACTGACAAGGGAATATCAACTGGCTGAGCTAAATGCTATGCGACCTCTACCATTCGATGCAGAATTATATGCTGATTCCAAATATATATTCGGTTTTTGCTAAATGACAATCTGCCATATAAGCGTCTAAAGTTTTGTTAGGAAAATGCGGCCATTTGGGTCTTAGCGGCCTTAGCGGTCTTAGCCATTTGGTGTGTAGCCGTGGCCAGTGTAGCCGTGGCCAGTGTAGCCGTGGCCAGTGTAGCCGTGGCCAGTGTAGCCGTGGCCAGTGTAGCCGTGGCCAGTGTAGCCGTGGCCAGTGTAGCCGTGGCCAGTGTAGCCGTGGCCAGTGTAGCCGTGGCCAGTGTAGCCGTGGCCAGTGTAGCCGTGGCCAGTGTAGCCGTGGCCAGTGTAGCCGTGGCCAGTGGGCCGTGGCCAGTGTAGCCGTGGCCAGTGTAGCCGGGCCAGTGTAGCCGTGGCCAGTGTAGCCGTGGCCAGTGTAGCCGTGGCCAGTGTAGCCGTGGCCAGTGTAGCCGTGGCCAGTGTAGCCGTGGCCAGTGTAGCCGTGGCCAGTGTAGCCGTGGCCAGTGTAGCCGTGGCCAGTGTAGCCGTGGCCAGTGTAGCCGTGGCCAGTGTAGCCGTGGCCAGTGTAGCCGTGGCCAGTGTAGCCGTGGCCAGTGTAGCCGTGGCCAGTGTAGCCGTGGCCAGTGTAGCCGTGGCCAGTGTAGCCGTGGCCAGTGTAGCCGTGGCCAGTGTAGCCGTGGCCAGTGTAGCCGTGGCCAGTGTAGCCGTGGCCAGTGTAGCCGTGGCCGGTGTAGCCGTGGCCAGTGTAGCCGTGGCCAGTGTAGCCGTGGCCAGTGTAGCCGTGGCCAGTGTAGCCGTGGCCAGTGTAGCCGTGGCCAGTGTAGCCGTGGCCAGTGTAGCCGTGGCCAGTGTAGCCGTGGCCAGTGTAGCCGTGGCCAGTGTAGCCGTGGCCAGTGTAGCCGTGGCCAGTGTAGCCGTGGCCAGTGTAGCCGTGGCCAGTGTAGCCGTGGCCAGTGTAGCCGTGGCCAGTGTAGCCGTGGCCAGTGTAGCCGTGGCCAGTGTAGCCGTGGCCAGTGTAGCCGTAGCCAGTGTAGCCGTAGCCAGTGTAGCCGTAGCCAGTGTAGCCGTAGCCAGTGTAGCCGTAGCCAGTGTAGCCGTAGCCAGTGTAGCCGTGGCCAGTGTAGCCGTGGCCAGTGTAGCCGTGGCCAGTGTAGCCGTGGCCAGTGTAGCCGTGGCCAGTGTAGCCGTGGCCAGTGTAGCCGTGGCCAGTGTAGCCGTGGCCAGTGTAGCCGTGGCCAGTGTAGCCGGGCCAGTGTGCCGTAGCCAGTGTAGCCGTAGCCAGTGTGCCGTAGCCAGTGTGGCCGTAGCCAGTGTAGCCGTAGCCAGTGTAGCCGTAGCCAGTGTAGCCGTAGCCAGTGTAGCCGTAGCCAGTGTAGCCGTAGCCAGTGTAGCCGTAGCCGAGTGATACAGCGCTCGTTTCCAGGGCGAGAACTCACAAGTTCGACCCCCACTTTGGTTTTTCGTTTACTTTTTTCAAGAAGAAGACTAATGTTCTTTGTCGGCGCACAATCGGATTTCCATATATAAGGCCATAAGGTAATGTTGATCAATCGCGATCAACTGTTCATCAGAAAGCCACTAAGACCCAAATGACCACATTTTCAGAGTTCTAACAAAACTTTAGACGTTTATAACCCCTGGCAGATTATCATTTAGCAAAAACGAAATGTATTTTCGGAATCAGCATAAAATTTTGCGTTGAATGGTATAGTTCGATAAGCATTTGTCCGGCTCAGCCAGTTAAACTTCCCTTGTGAAAAGCCTTGACTCCAAAGTTTAAGTCGAAACCTGTGCGTCTTCAAAAACGATCTTTCCGGTTCTTTCAGACTCAAATACGTCGTTTCCCTTGTTGGCAATGGTGGGAGATCTTTTCGTGGCTGTAATCGAGCCTCTTCCGCTTTCTTCTACAACTTTCATACACTTTCAATATTTCTTAAAATTACCTCCAAGTCATCATTGATTTTAACATGTGTTTCTTTGTCAGGAGCCTAAAGAAAGAATAGCTAGAATTTAAGAAATATTCACCTTTTCCTCCTTTTCCTCTCTAGGCGATGGAGATGAGGCTAATCTTGCCTTTTCGGGTTCTCTTTCTTGAGGCAGCTCTCTATCGATTAAAGGCGGTAGTGGAAGAGTGGAAGGGGTTTTCTCTTTGACAATGATCAGATCTAAACTTTACAGTATTTTACTTTGGTTTATACTTGCGTAGCTGAAGCTTTACAGTTTGAAATCAGCTGGGCTGAAGTATAGTTTTGCCTTTTCTTTCTCGGACAATAGGAGGTATCAAAAGTGATATAGTGGTAAAGTGGTAAAGCGGCAGCCTAATGCAGAAGGGCAGAGTCGTCAGGTCAGTCAGACCAGGTCAGAGTTGTTCCAAAACCCATTTACCAAGCCAGATCAGAACAAAATCAGGTCAAAAGCCAGGTCTAAAATGCTTAAACATCCTTAAAATGTCCTTGCTTACAAAAATATTTGAATCCGTTAGAAGTCATCTGGATTTGACTCTGGATCTTGTCTGGTTCGATCCCCGTTGACTACTCTTTCTTTGCCGCTCCTTTTGCACTTTACATTCATCTAAAAGGTGTTGAAAATACCATAAAACCCTAATCAGCTTAAGTATAGTTTCTCCTCCACCAAATCAACTTGTAAACACATTTTCTGAAGTAAATTTTGCGGATTTTAACTGGATGGATGGATTTTAACATCCCAGAGCCGGATTTTGAGCCGTTTTCAAAAACTTATTGAAAATTACCCATTTCTAAGAGGTTTTCGCTCATTTTAATTGCAAATTTTAGAGGATAAAAGATTAGAAGGCTTCTTAAATTCGAAAAATTGATTGTCTTTAGAAAAAAATGGCTGAAATCATTAAAGCAAAATGACACTTAAAGCAAAAACGACACTTAAGACATACACATAAACTTAAGACAAGTAATTCTACTTTTAAAGCTTTCATGCTTCACATTTGCATTCATCACAGAATCTAATTTACATTTTTACGCTGAAATTTGCATTTGAACTTGAAAATTTGCATTTAAAAGGAGCAGAAACCTAGAAATGGGTAATTTTCAATACATTTTTGAAAAAAAAACTCAAAACCCGGCTCTGGGATGTTGAAATTCGGCGTCTACGCAAAAATTACTCTCAGAAAAATGTATTTTCAAGTTGATACAAGAAACGATACTCTTACCCGTCAGCTTGCAGCTTGTGTTCTGAGGTGCTAGAAAAAGCGCCAAATTTTTTTGCGTTACGTGTCATTTGCGCCTAATTTGCAAAATTTCTTCCGGGAAACTAGTTTTTGGTAGAGTTTTTTCTGCTACGCTCTGGGAAATTTTCCTAGAGCGTAGCAGCAGCAGCGGGAAATTTTCCCAGAGCGTAGCAGCAGCAGCGGGAAAGTTTCGGCGTCGGAAAATCACTTTCCAGCGGAAACTTTCTCGGACCTTAGCATACGGGCTCTGAACTAGCGATTTATTAAACTAGCGATTATTAAAGTGCCCTAACTAGCGATTTATTAAACTAGCGATTTATTAAAGTGTATCAATTGAATACTCTGTTTAACAATTGTAAGAGAAACATACTTGAATCCGGTTGTTTGATTGTTGGTGATGGAACATGAGATGTGCCTGGATGTGGGGTGGTCATTCTTGAAGCTGACTGATCGTCTGGTCTTGTCACACCCTTTACTTCAACGCTATTTGCTGAAAATCAATATCTGACAAATTTTAGATAAAAGAAGTAAACTTCTTCACGACTTTAATAAAAGATAAAACTGAAGCAACGTACAACTATTGATTGGCTTTGTGGTTGCTTCAATTGGTCCCACGTGATTCTGGCCACAACATCGTTTCCGGAGCTGAATTGGTATACAATGCTTGATAAAGTAATAGGTTAATAACTTCAATGTTTTACAAAGTAATAGGTTAATAACTTATTTTTCAATCATTTACCTGTTTATAAAAGAAATAAATCAATAGTAGCAATAGAATGAGAGCTAGGATGAAGATTGCCCAAATCGTCCAATCCGAAGAATTCGAGGCGTAACCCTTTCGGATCTTTTCTCTCTCAATTGAATGGGAAACTTGATCACCAGCTGAAATTAAGTCAATGTTTTTACAAGTTTTTACAGAAAGTATTCAAAGTTCTAATCAATTTTTGTGTAAAACTTACAGTATAACCGTTTACACAAAGCTGGATGACGCTCTCGACAGTCTCGAGCGACTAGATGAATCTGTAAAACTGGTTAGCTAGAATAGGATATTCGGTCCAGAATAGCTAGATTAAGGTATTGAGTCTAGATTAGGATAGAGATAGAGTATTCAGTCTAGACTGCCTGGATTACGGTATTCAATCTAGAATAGGATATTCGGTCTAGAATATCTAGATTATTGACTGACTGACTTATTTGAATGTAATACCTTTAAAAAAGTCGCAATATTTGCATTTTATCGATAAAATAGCTGTTTTGATATTCAATTCAACCTTCAACGAACCTTTTCTTCTCCATCTTTCCCTCCATTTGCGTCAAGAACAGCGCAGTCTCGTTCAGCCTCGTTCTCTCTCACTTCCACAGATCTAGAAAGCAAAATTTAAACGATTATGATTCATAATTTATGAGTTTCTGCTCCATAAAGTGAAGACGCTCTTTCGACTTTCATACTTTTTCTGTTTTCCGTCGATGCTTTGAAAATTTCCCTCCGCATTCGCATCATGGTATCCAACCCACGGGACTTGGTTGCGATGAGAAAGTAGACCTGAAAATGTGTTTGAAATGAATAACAAGCTTTCTATTTTCTATTTTGACGTGTTCTTTGATGATTGCTATTTTCAGCGATTCACTCACCAACAACAGTAGCCAATTCTTGATCCGAATCCGCTGTGAAAAGATCCCCTTTCTCATAGGAGCAGAGTCTAGAAATAGAATTACTAGAAATTAAAATCTAGAAATCAAATGCATATTATTATATTATAATCTTATCTTGGACTCTTAGAATGAATCTTAGAAGTATTATAAGACGCAAAGTTTTTGTGTGTCCGTTCACTTAATAAGTTGAGTCCCAGTGGGGATTTCGATCTGTTTTTTTGGAACAATATTTAATCAACTACGGCAATTTGGCCTGTCAAATCAGAATTGAAAAATCTTTAACCATTTTTAAGTAATGTTGAAAAAACTGAATTTGTAGGCGAGATCAAAGGGATTTAGCGGTACAATCAAAGAGATTTGGTGGCTAGATCAATAGGGTTTAGCGGCGAGATCAAAGGGATTTGTCGGCGAGATCAAATGGGTTGTCGGCGAGATCAAAGGGGTTTAGAAGCGAAAATGCAGCAGATTACTTTTAAAAATTAATTTCAGGTTCATTTTCTCTGAATATACCGTATTCTCTGTAATGTGCAGCCAGGAGGGGGGTTGAAAAAAATAGTAGTGCACCCTGCTAAAATTTGCTCTGTTGTTGTTCACTTTGACTTCCTTTGTTTTAAAAGCACACTGGTAGCTAAATGAGATGCTATTATGAGATTGTGACTATTTATTTAATACTGACTAACATGTTGTGCTTGTAATTAAAGGTATGGATCTAGTGAGAAAAAGAAAACTCTCTAATAGTAGTGCAGGCAGGAGGGGGGTTGAAAAAATATAGAAAATATAGAAAAAATAGAAAAATGAAAAACTACTATTACAGAAAATACGATATTAGGGAAAATAAACTTAACTTTTGCCACTAAAAACATTTTGAAAGTTTTTGATTTTTGAGAAAAGGTCAAAGGCGGAAGAATTCGAAGGATCGGAAGCAAGGTCAAGGGGATCTACTATCAATAAAGCAGAAGAGACGTCTGTACGTCTATCCATCTTTGCGCAAACGCGACGCTCCGTAATTACGTTTGCTCTATCGGTTAAAAGGCAAAGTATTCAGCCTTTGCGCGCGATATTTTGCTCCTGGTGGTTTTCAGCTATGGGGAATCTGAATTTTAAGTCCATTTTTAAAAAGGGGGCGGGGCTTAACATGGGTTACAGTAGTTTTAGCCATTTAAAAAAAAAGAAAGTTAACAGGAACGGGTTAGGTGTGTCGGAAGAGAGCTCGACAATTATGGCTTAAGGAATAGCAAGCTCATAGTCATAGGTTAGTCATTTGAAAGAATGAAATAGCGTCGCCAGCGGAAAGCGTGAAGAAAGTGAGCGATTTCCGCTGTTTTCAGGTAAACGCCGCGGTAAATGTTTGCCTCTCAAACTCATTTAGTTATTGAAATTCATATTCATTAGTAAAATAATGAACTGTAGTAAATTTGCTAACAATTACCGAAATTTGACTTTGCTATGCATTGACCCTTTAAACTATGCATTGATCAAAATTGGCCAGCAGTTAACCCCGGTGTTTAGCCGGGGGCTAACTGGTAAACGAATCGAACTTTTAAAGCTTTTAAATTCAAGTAATAGCTTTTAAATTCCAACCTTTGTGCCTCGAGCCAAGTCGGATTTCCTTTTTGTGTATTCGTGAGATCGATAATTTTATAGCATTGTATCGCACTATCCGGGTTCTTTGGTTGACTCCATCCTGGTGGACAGCCGGGCACTTCTAGAATTTAGATCCTTCATTCTACTTAAGCAAATAAAACTCACTGAATTCTATAAAAGACAAATTAACGCCTCTTCTCTTTATCGAAACATCGGAGTGAAATGTGATGTACATAGAATCATCACCTCCAGCCACGTTGATCGGATTCTCCTTTCCACACCATTTCACTAATTCCTCTGAGGATTGTGAGTCTGGAATTGAAAATTTCGGAATTGTGAACTGCAAGTGTAGAGTCCTATTAGGTTGAGGAAAAGAATAATGCGCGTCTTGAATTTCGCATTAGGGGATTGAAGTTAACTTCAACCCAACGCTCGCGATGTTGATCAGAAGACAATCGACAACTATGGGCACCAAGGGAAAAATTTGCTGTGGAATATGGCTCACGAACTGACTCAAGACGACCAAAACTTAGTTCAAAACTCTTGTCAACATCAGTTCTTTTTTGCTCCATAAAAGCTGCTGATTTTTGGGATTCAATTTTGAGATCTGATGAAACTTGGATTAATTACGAGAATATCAAAAGAAATGTCGAGTCAAAAGGAATTACGAGAATGTCAAATGGAAGAACCAATGGCTATCTACCGGACAGCCCTTCAAACCACTTCCAAACCTGATATTCATGGAAAGAAAATAATGCTCTGTTGCTGGTGGAACTCAAAAGGTTTGGTGCACTATGAGTTAGCTAATTCAGGAGAAAACATTGATGCTGAGCTCTATTCAAAACAAACGTATTTTCTGTAATAGTAGTGCAGTCTGTAATAGTAGTGCAAGCAGGAGGGGGGTTGAAAAAAATAGTAGTGCACCCTGCTAAAATTTGCTCTGTTGTTGTTCAGAGGTGCGGGAGAAGTTTCCGTTTTTCGACTCCAAATACATCCAAGCGCCAGATGTTGTCTGGAACGCTCCCTTCAAAGCAAATATTAGAGCACAATATGACTGAACACGACAAATTGAGGATATCAGTGATGCTGACAGCTCGGGATGATGGCTATGAGTGTAAGCCTTTTGTTTTGTTAAATCGAGTGCGACCCGATCCGGCGATTATCGCAAAATTTCAAGGCAAGCTGGAGTTGAACTGGGTGGTTCTATTTGGATGAGCGAGACATCGATCAAGGCCTACCTTCAGAGGATTATTGGAGCTCCGTTGTTTGGAAACCGATTGCTCGTGTGGGACAATTTCCGGCGCACAAAAGTGAGGCGACAAAGAAAAAGCTAAAGGAACTGCGGCTCGATTCTTGTACCTGGAGGATGTACCAAATACATCCAAGCGCCAGATGTTGTCTGGAACGCTCCCTTCAAGGCAAATATTAGAGCACAATATGAACAATGGATGGTCAACGGATCAAGGGAATCTCGCTCCACCACCGATGGAAATTTACTTGACATGGGTTTGGAACGCTTGGAATAAGAGAGAATTTCACTCCTTTCAAGATTTGTGGAATTACTACAACCACTGGCGGATCAGAAGACCACCTTTTCTACTACTTAAAAAAATGGTTCGATTCCGGAGGGACGCTGCTTTAAAGGAATTGGCGCTCAATCCATCAAAGATTCGATTTTTGCACGACAACGCGAAACCCCATACTGGAGAAATCGACGAAATTGACGAATTGACAAAGATCACACAAAAAATTGACGAGCTAAGCTGGAAGTTGTCTTCTCATGCGCCTTACTCTCCTGACTTAGCCCCGTCAGATTACTTTTTTTTTTCGGTCCTTGATACAGTTTATCATGGGAGAAAAGTTCGATGATCATGCTCAAGTCAAAAAAGCGATCGACAGCTATGTTGGCTCCAAAAATCCCCAATCTTTCACAAATGGAATAAAAGACTTGCGTCGAAGGTGGGAAGAAGTCATCGATAAAAATGGAGACTACCTTACTGATTGATAGTTGCTATTTCTTGTAGAATGCAATAAATTGTTAAACCCAAAAAAGCGAGCATTATTTTTTCCTCAACCTCAACCTCAACATGGAATTAGACTTTTAAATCTCGTGGCACGGATTACAAGGTGCGTCATAATTACTCATAATCGGAAAAAAAACTTGAAAAAGAATTTTCTTTAGATTCCATTTTCACGCCAGAAGGCACAAAAGCGAGTGGCGACTTTTCATCTGATGTCATTGCTACCCAAACCATAAGTGATGCTGGGTGAAGGATTTTTTACCATGTTTTACCATCTTGTGTGAATTAGAAACAGCGTAAATATGATCATTTTGCTGAACTTGCTTGCTCGACAAGAACTTGCTCGACAGTGAACTCTCATCCCTGAACACAATTGAACGATGTTGCTGGGCCGGGAACCGTCGAAGAAGATCTTGACACCAAGCCATTCGTTTTTGTTTGGCTGTTCTTGTTAATCCTTGATACTTCTTCTTGAAGGCTTTCAATTTGAGGTGTTTTCGAACAATTCTTCTCGGAAATCACAGACTCGCGCGCCAAGCGATGTACGCCTCGGTTTCTTCTGATCTTCACGCGCACTTTCTTGACGACGACTCCTGTAATGGCAGATCACTTCCTATCTCGTCCCAAACGATCTCTATTTGTTTCCAAGGCTTTAAACCGTGCAATCGTTTGGTAGACGATGGCTTGACTTTGGTAGACGATGGCTCCCAGGCGATTCTGTATTAAGCGTGCCGAGACAACCCTTTGATGGAGATCAATGGTTGACTGACGGTGGATTGAAGGCTTCACCATTCCGACCAATCAATTCCCTTAAGCAAAAAATTTTAGTTTTATACTCGTAAGTCATAAAAAAACAAAAAAAAGAAAGCAAACAGAAAGAAAATAGAAAAAATCGCAAGATAATTCTACTTGTGCCTTATTATGGGCAATGATGACGCACCCTGTGCAATGGTTAGTTAAAGTACAAAGGTTAGCCTTACCATCTTTTATTGACATGTAATCTGGACACTCGGAGAATAAACGATCCTCAAATTCGCTATCATAAACGGTGACATGAATTCTAAAGTTTCCGATCTAACAACTTTAAATGCCAAACCAATAAATGCCAAAGCTTACAACAATGCTTACCTTGCATTAGAATCGGCAGCATTAAGCGAAAGCGAGCAATCATAATTATCCGGATATTCTTCCGGATAGCCGGGCGTATGAAAAAACTGTTCTATCGGACCAACGGTTAAATAGGCAGGATAATCTAAAAAAGAAATCTTTTAGTTGCGAATTTTCTCTTACTTGGACAATTCTGAGCATAAATCGGAGCAAACAAGAAGAGAGTTTCGAGAAGATAAAGTGAAATTCGTGAAAGACGGGGAGCGAGCACCGCCCGTGAAGACATCAGGTTAGCATTGAGAGTCTGAAAATTTGGCTTTTTACTTTGCGTTGTTCAAAGTTTGTTTGACTTTTTTTGTTGACGTTGTTTGGCTTTCCAATTGGCTTACATAAGTAGTTACTTATGCAAAACTGTGCAAAGCTTACTTGCAAAAGAGTTAAGCAAGTAATAAAATAGATAAAAATTGGTAACTAAAGTATCCAGAAGCAATTTTATAGCTTGCAACCAATCCTTGAGTGCTTTAGTTGACAAAGAATCATCTACTATATAAGAGAGGTGTCCGTCTGTCTGTCCGTCCGTCTGTGTGTCTGTTTATCCGTCCGTCTGTCTGTCTGTCCGTCAGTCTGTCCGTCTGTCCGTCTGTCCGTCTGTCCGTCTGTCCGTCTGTCCGTCTGTCCGTCTGTCCGTCTGTCCGTCTGTCCGTCTGTCCGTCTGTCCGTCTGTCCGTCTGTCCGTCTGTCTGTCCGCCCGTCTGTCTGTCCGTCTGTCCGTCTGTCCGTCTGTCTGTCTGTCCGTCAGTCTGTCCGTCTGTCCGTCTGTCCGTCTGTCCGTCTGTCCGTCTGTCCGTCTGTCCGTCTGTCTGTCCGCCCGTCTGTCTGTCCGTCTGTCCGTCTATCTGTCTGTCTTTCCGTCTGTCTGCCTGTCCGCCTGTCCGTCTGTCTGTCTATCCGTCTGTCTGTCCGTCCGTCTGTTCGTCTGTCTGTCCGTCCGTCTGTCCGCCTGTACGCGCGAGTTCTCGACCCCTTGTGGGCCGATTAACATGATTTCTAGCTTGTTAGGCCTAGAATCCTACTGTGAATACTGTAATAGTACCCCACCCCCATAATGACGGTGCGGAGTGTTGCGTAGTCTAGCTTTGAACGAGTTTTTCTCGACGCTGGTTTAAGCTACAGTGCGCGCTTAGGTATCAAAAAATAGCCCTGAATTTCAGCTATTTTTTGATACCAAAGACGCATTTTTTGAAAGTACGGGTGCTTTGAAAAAAATGAAATACTAAAAACTTTTGCGACTACGCGACTGTACGAGTGGGTTGGGGTACTATTACAGTATTTACGGTATGTAGTTGTGCATCTTATATTTGCTTTTTATTAAAGAGCAAAAGCCATGACACAACCGGGAGTCGAACCCGGTCGTGTGGCGGGTTTTTCGACTTGGCTGTAAACATAATTTGTCATAGATTACCGTATCCTTTTGTAGATCATTCACTCTTGCTTGAGAAGTGCGTCGAAGTAGTGAGTGAATGACTACAACTAAAAAGGGACAAACTCTGAAAATGGTGAGAATGCAAAAGCTTGAAATTCTTGAATAAATCACAGAAACACAGGCATAAGTACAAAAATTGAATCCATGAATTGAAAAATGTCGTTCATGAAATCCATGAGTCAATCAAAACAATGAGACTGTTGATTTGGTTACCATAACATGAATTGAATCAAAGAATACTCCCAAGCTTTAATTAAATTCAAAACTTTAAGACAAAATGCTTCAAATGATCTGCTTCAAAATGCAAGGTGCAAAAACTATAGCTCAAAAACTCGCGGACACAAGTTTTTCAAAAGAGTGTTCACCCAGAAAAGTGACCAGCGGATAGAGCGGTCATCTGATGGAGAAAAAGAGAGAAAAGAATAGAGAAAATGTGGGGGAGAAAAGCTGTCCATCCATGAGAAGGGGAAAACGGTTGCTGGGAGACGATGGGAGCCCCAGCTTTCACCTCACCAACAAAGATGGAAAGAGGTGAACTTGGCACTCTTTTAAACCCCTTCTCTCTCCGTAGACAGTGAAAAGGACGGCTCAATTATTGTGCGAGCTAATATCTCTTTCTTTTCCCTCACAACTCTAGATTAGCACTCTTACCTGTTCAACTCATTACTAGAAAATTTCGCTGACCATTTGAGTAAAGAAATTGTATTTTTCCGCAGCTTTGTTCTGAGGATTGGGATTTACAAAGTAAAAATGAGAGCAGAACGTGATGGGAAGTACTGGCAATTTGGTCATAAGCGTTATTTGTTGTGGTAAAGTCCATCTCAAGACTCGGATCCTTGAAAGAAACCGGATCCTGAGATCCTGGATCCAATCCAAATGCTAGATCAAGCGTGGAGATCAAGGCTAGATCAAGCCTGGAGATCAAGGCTAGATCAAGCCTAGAGATCAGGGCTAGGTCAAGCCTAGAGATCAGGGCTAGGTCAAGCCTAGAGATCAGGGCTAGGTCAAGCACTTGGAGACCATTTGCCTCGTTAACTCTCGTTAGCCAAGTCTAGCCAAGTCTAGCAAAGCTAACTAGATTTTTTTATAGATTTATCAAGTTATGATAGAAGTTTATCGAACAAGCATCATGAACGACACAAAATTGAAGAAAAACCGTGAACCAATGAAAGTGAAACATTGAAACATGTAAATGTGAAGGGGAAAAGAGGATATTTAAGGAATAGCTCGATCCTCTTCATCCTCCTTTACCTTTATTGAGGCATGTGGGGGCCTCACCGGAAGACAGGCTCATCCGATATTCCACGACATATTTCCGGTCCATCCACCATCTTCTCTTTCTTGCGATCACAAGTCAAAAGCACGACTATTAACATCGAATATTTTACGAATCTTTTCTTTTCGATTTCCCGTTTTCTCTTCTAAAATCCATCCTTCAGCATTTTTTATTTGTGACTTGTGACTCAAAACATTGGAATATTGATTTATCGACAAAAACTAAAAAGTGGTAAAGTGTAAGAAATATATATTTATGATTTGATCTATATAATTTCTTGTGAGACCGTGTCTCGGTGTGGTTCAATAGTGGTCTTCTTGAAAACGCACAATTTATCCAACTTTCCCTTATTCGGGCAAACTTCGCTCAAACTGGAGCAACCTGGCACTATCACAATTAATTCAACACTTGCATGTGAAAAAAGGATGATAAAAAGCAAAAAAAGGAGAACAACCAACTTACTCAAAAAGCAAAGCTTAAAAACGGGTTTTTTAAGTATACAAGCTACAACAAACGGACAGCTGAATATCGTCTAGTGACTGATTACGGCAGTTTATCCATCAACTTTGAATTTTAACCTGTTGATTGAATTTTTGACTAACTGCAGAGCAGTGGCAATTCACCACATAAAGAGATGCAGGAGGGAAATTTGGATTAGATAAAGAAGACAAGGGTTACTGTAAATTTAATCCATAATCCAAGAGAATGGATTAAGGCAAATTTGATGGCTTTACACCAATAAATATTTTAAATATTTATTAGTGTAAAGAAATATTCTTTGCGTGCTTTTCAACTTTTGCTTCTTCATCACTAAGTCATCACTAGTTTAATGGTTAGAAAATACGAAAGTAAAAGTGAAATCGACATTTCCAACGGTACCAGATTAGTGTTACCGGTTTCTAAGAAACTTTGCAAAAAAGAAACTGAAAAAGCCCATTGTAGAATCGAATCTAAACCGTTACTAATATCTAATCATTTAATAAGTTACCCCATTGACAAACGATTTGATCGATTAGTTGAGCTCTTCGGAATAAAATTCTTATAAAGTGCATGCCCACTAACATTTTCGGGAATTATTATTGCGAGGAATAGAATAAAAGCTTGGCTTAGCAACATTTTCAATTTGGTGTTTTGATACTTTACTTTGAAAGTATTCTGGTTTGGAGTTTGACGTTTGGCGCATTCCTACAGGGTTTGGCATAATAACCCGGATTTTCTGAGGTATTAGCCTGGACCTGGACAATAACCTGGACTTTCTAAGGTATTAGCATATTTGGCATTAATGCTAATCGGCTTTGGCCATTTGAGTTCTTTTGGATTCGTGGCAGCAGGGCCAGCAGGGCCAGCAGGGCCAGCAGGTTCAATAAAAGGTTTCCGGATGTAAAGATATCTTCTTTGCGTGCTTGGTACTCTTGACTCTTGACTCAAGACACGTTATTTCTTGTTTCGAGATATCTGATCTCACTTGAACTAAAACACTTTATTCAATAGCCGACTGACTCGGAATTTTTGGGCTTGAGACTTGAGCAAGTGAGACTTGAGCAAGTGAGACTTGAGCAAGTGAGACTTGAGCAAGTGAGACTTGAGCAAGTGAGACTTGAGCAAGTGAGACTTGAGCAAGTGAGACTTGAGCAAGTGAGACTTGAGCAAGTGAGACTTGAGCAATTTTCACACAAAATCGACAATTGAATTAAAAGCGACGATAAAAACAGAAACAATTTCGTCCTAATTAGGGCACAACTTTCACACGATGAAAGGAAAGCAGAAAAAAGTAAAAGCACATCAAATGAACAACAGTTGCCTTATATAGGCTTTAAAACAAGATATTCAGCTAACCAGCTACAAAACAATAAATGATTTGGGGCACGAAATAGAGTAAAGGCACACGGATTCCCGGGGGTAGGCTAATTTTTTTTTGCGCAACAGGGCCATTTGCGCAACTAGGTCTTTTGCGCAACTCGCCTTAACTTTCTTCTAGGTTAGCCAATCTTTATGATGTTGGTGTCATTTTGTAGATCTCAATAAATGCAACAAAATGACACTAAATTCATAAAGATTGGCCGAACGATTGTGAAGTTTGTGAAGTCGAAATTGAAGGGGAAACTATCAGCTGTGACTTGTATCAGACCCATCAGCAGCTGTGACTTGTGGCACGGGGCATTGTCCCGGTACAACAACCAACCTTGACCCATATTTGCGGTCGAAAACGGTAGAAGATCATTCTCCAGAATCGTCTTGTAGCGTTGAGCCGTGTTATTTGCGCAACTCACCATAACTTTCTTTTAAGTAGGCCAATCTTGATGATTTTGATGTCATTTTGTAGATCTCAATAAGTGCAACAAAATGACACCAACATCATAAAGATTGGTCTACTTAAAAGAATGTTATGGTGAGTTGCGCAAAAGACCTAGTTGCGCAAATGACCCTGTTGCGCAAAAAAAATTGCGGAAATTAGCCAATTTTTATGCTGTCAAAGTTAGGTAACTTTTTAGTGGCTATTCGCCACAATTAGAATTACAAGTGTATCCCAAATCGTGTCGATTCGTAAACATAAAACTCTTTGTTGGGGAATTCTTTCAAGAATTTTTGCCGCCTTTCTCGATATTCTTTAACATGGATCCGTAGACTTTGGTGGTCACAGTCGAGGGCCAAACTAAAGATGAATGAATCAATGAGATGAATCAAACATTAAAGCGCAACGAACTTCACGTTTAAGGCTTTCAAATGTTATCTAACTTACAATATGATAAATTTCTTAGCATAGATAAATGTGGACCCATAATTATCTGCTATCTATCATTTGCAACTGCGAATCTTCTCTCCATGTCCATCTAATAAGTTTCCGAGCTTCCCTAAAAGATTAAACCCAATTGGTAGACAGTTCCAATTGGTAGACAGTTCCAATTGGTAGACAATCAAATGAATAACTCCAATCGATTCCCCGACCTTGAGAACCCCCGGATACAAATTTCCAGCTGAATATCTTTTTACATCATCAACACAGCAAAAAGAATCCCTATGTAAATGGCTGGCGAGGTGTACTTTGTGCTCGTAATCGCTCGCCGTCTGGCAAATCCATCGGGTAAAGAAAACATTCTGATCCCCTTTCTGTGAATTTCTTCTTTCCTTCTGCTCTCTCAAGCTCCAGAAAAGGCATATCTTTTAACTATCCCATTTCCAATTGCTATATTACTTTTAATTGCTTTCATAATCGTGGAATTCCCTACTAATTAGCATTAGAAATTTATTATTTCACCCCTTTTTTAAACGAGCAATTTAAACGAGCCATTTCTTGTCTAGCACGAGAATTGTTATTTTTCGTATTGAAATTTCTATCGCTATCTTAGTTTGTCATTCCACCGCACTTTGAGTTTTTACTATAAATTTCTTTATTGTTTTCTTTATTGTTTTCTTTATTGTTAATATTATTTTCCCTCTTTTCTATTCTGTAAATTTTGCTGGTTCATTCCAATTCCAAATTATTCATTTGCCGAATAAAGTATATGTCGCAGCCGCTCGTGATTTTCAGCCGCTAGCGGCTAGCCGTTGGTGATTCACTCAATAGCGGCTAGCCGATGGTGATTGAATCACTAGCGGCTGAAAATCATGAAAATCACTAGCGGCTGAAAATCCGATCTGATCGCCGGCTCGGATTCGGACGTAACATATATATGTCGCAGCCGCTCGTGATTTTCAGCCGCTAGCGGCTAGCCGTTGGTGATTCACTCACTAGCGGCTAGCCGATGGTGATTGAATCACTAGCGGCTGAAAATCACGAGCGGCTGCGACATATATATGTTACGTCGAATCCGAGCCGGCGACAGATCCGAATCAGACCTTAAAAGTGTAGGTCGGATACGGACGTCCGGATTCGATCTGATCGCCCGGTTGAATTCGGACGTAACTATTCGGACGTTGGCTTAGTCCCACCTTTCCCACCTTTCCTTTCCCTTTACTGATTCCAAAAGGGAAGCACCCTATATATAATATCTATATATAGATATATAATAAAGTATATGTCGCTCGTGATTTTCAGCCGCTAATAAAGCCGCTCGTGATTTTCAGCCGTTAGCGGCTAGCCGTTATTTTACCACCTTTCCAATATTACCACCTTTCCTTTCCCTATATATAGATATATAATATCTATATATAGGGTGCTTCCCTTTTAGAATCAGTAAAGGGAAAGGAAAGGTGGGCGACTAAGCCAACTTTTCGTTACTCGAGCGTCCTATTTCGTGTCAATTCTCTTGGATCAATTTTGCTTTAAATTTCGCTGTATTTTCTGCAACAAATTCGAAATCCTTCTAAACCAAAACTAGCTGAAGGTCGAAATGATCTGCGAAGCTGATTTCATGCTTCAATACCTGATAAATTATTGATAAACCGATTCACTTTAGCCATTTCTACATAAAATCCCTCCTTTTTTATTTTTAGTCATTGAATTCCCCGGATATTCTTTAACATGGAACCGTAGACTATCAGGGGGTATTAATCGCGGCCGGGTGATCATAAAAACTCTTTTAAGACAACATTGGAGAGCCTTGGAACGTCTCCAAAAATTTGTAAACTCATCAAATCACTCTAGTCGGATGATTTTTATTCTTTTTATAATAAAAATTAGCAATATTAAAATATAAAAGCAGGTGGTTGTCTTAAAAAATTTTTTATGCTCACCCGGCCGCGGTTAATACCGCCAATTCATTACTTTAAACAAAACAAACAAAAGAATTTGTCAAATACTAACCGTTTCAAATTGCGCTGATTCTCAAGGTGCAGAATGCACTTTTGCTCGATCTCGGGATCATCCTCTTTCTCTTCGTTGAGTGGGTAGTTAATGTAAAGCTTTGAAGGACGTACAACCCTAAATGGATAAATAAGATTTAATGTTTGTTATTTCTTGGTATCTTGGTACATCTTATGTCATTTTATGACAAACGCTAGAAGATCATCGAGATTCCAATCCTGAAATGAGCTGAGCGTGATTTGAAGTTGAAAACAACTCAGTAAGCGTTCTTTGAACAGAGTGATGAGTTCTGCTATCACTTCTGGCTCGACAAGTTTCTAAAAAGTTTGATAAAACTGATAACTTTTTGATCTAAACAAGACTAAAGTTAAGCCAGAGTTAAGCTAAAGTTAAGCCTAAGACAATCCTAAGCCTAAGCCTAAGCTTAAGCCTAAGCCTAAGCCTGAGCCTGAGCCTAAGCCTAAGCCGAAGCCTAAGCCGAAGCCTAAGATCTAAACAATACAAAGCAACAATGCAAAGCTTACATGTATGATTAAGAATTTGACACGACAAGCGGAGATCTTCTTTAAAGCCTTCTTTGAATCAAGGTAATGATAATACTTTGAAAGCTTCAAGTTCGGAGTGATGATGATTTGCTGAATTGAACGTTACTCAAACGTTACTTGAAAAGGCGTACAATACTCAAATTGTTCAATCATTCGATGAGATATTTAAATCAATGAGATAATTTAGTAATTGTTTCTTGAAAGATTTTCTTTAAATTCCAACATACTTCTTCATAGAATTCCACTTGAGAGATTCTCTTGAAACGAAGTGCTTTCGAGCTTCTGTAAACTCCATCAAATCGGCTCGAGATGAGTCGACAATTTTGCCGAGTGTTCTCTGGAAGAAAGCCGAGAATCTTTGTGAGCAGCTCGTTTGGAAGATCCAGTATTTGACCTGAAAACTAATCTTATTGGGATTAGAATTGAGTTTTGTCATGCATAGCAAGTAAATCAAGCTGTTTCAACTAATCATTTATCAATATTAGATTGGTGAATACCGTATTTTCTCTAATAGTAGTGCGCCCCGGCGAGCCGAGTTGATGACTATTTTATGGTTTCCAAGCTTTTGCAGAAGCTTAACACTCTAATCCCCCACTAGATCTCATCGCCAGCTACATTTTCCAATCCCACATCGATAGGTTCTGATAAGCGCTTTTCGAGATTTCGAGCAATTTAGGCGACGCTCAGGGTGCACTACTATTGGAGAGAATACGGTAAGCCTTTTTTGACGAGCTTTTTGTAGACGAGCTTTTTGTAGAACGAGCTTTAACCAAATCATTTTGGAAACGGAATTTGGTGCTTTCAGCAGGATGAAGCAGCAAGAAACATTTTCCGAATTAAACTGTTCGTTTCCAAAAGGTAAAAGAAGTTTTGAGGCACCTTGTACACACAAAAAATGACCGATAGATTGGCTTATATTGCTTCTTTCTTTCCAAACTAGCAAATCCAAAATTTTCCACTTTAGATTACCTTTCTCTCATAAATCTCATAAAATGTCATAAAGGAAAATTTCATAAAGGAAAAACTGTCGAAGAATGGTGTGGTCGAGCTCGTCCCAACTTCCCCGACTTCCCCGACAACTTCCCCGACAATCAATGCCCACCTTCATCTCCGGATCTCAATCCAATCGATTACTTTGTGTGGAAGGACTCTGTATAGCTGTCAGCCTATCTCATTTTTTGTTACAAAATCTCAAGTTCGATGTAAAACAAAGTCGCAAGGCCGGGATAGCAACAAAAGAGATTATCCGAAGCAAAGTTTTAACGCCTCTCACGCAGTCTGTAGAGTCAAAAGCTTATGCAAAAGCCCATTTCAACTTCGATTCGTTGAAGAAATCACTTCAAAAAGTATGGGACGAGCTCGACCCTCAATATTTCCTAGCCACGTTTGACGCATTCCCGAAGCGTCTACAAGATTCTATTGACTCCAAAGGCGATACCTCTGAAAAGAACAAACAAAACTGTTACACATTGTTAAAAGAATAAATTTTAATGTTTAGTTTTTTGTTTTAAAAGGTTTTTGGAAGATCCATCAAGAAAAAGATCTATCATTTCTCTATAAAATAGCTTTGAAGAGAAAGCTCAAAGCTCGCCTCAACTCCTGAACATTTTTGTGTACAATTTTCAATTGTTGTTTTAAAGAAAATAGCTGAATGGATCGTTTTCAAGTTTTACAGACTTATGTAATCAAATAAGCTCTATCTTTTTTACTTTTGCCCCAAAATTGGTTTGTATTGAAGAAAGCGTCCAAATTGGCATCGAAGCAGTTTTGGCTCCTCACCTTTGCGCCTTTGAAAATCCACAAAAACAACTATTAGGTGTGTGAAAAAGTAATCCACGTTTTTTATTTTTATTTTGTTTAAATAAATATATCTAAACAATTTTTAATTTTTTGTGAACGATATATATATCGTTTAAAAGCTTATTTTTTCCTCTTTCGAATGATATATTTATTTCGTTAAAAGGACGACAATAAACTACTTTCATTTTAGTTTGAAAATGGTATACACTGCTCCACAAAATGATATGGACACTTACTTTTTTACCAATTTTATGCTCTTAAGAAACGATAGTGAAAAAAGTTGTTTTATAGTATTTTCCTTATTAGATTTGCTATTGAAGCACGTTAGATATACTACCATAGTTTGGAACATGAATGTTTAAAAATCGAATTTTGTAAAAAATCACCTTTGGCGCTTTCCACATAATGATATGGACACTACACAAAAATTTTTATTTAGTAACAAAAAAATGGTTTTAAAAAAGAACAACAACATTTAATAATCAATAGGATCTCCATTGTTTCGAATCAATTCAAAAATTCGATTACCCATGCTGGCCACAAGTTTACCGATCAGATTTTGGTCTACTTTTCTCTAGGCATCAATTTTTACAGATTTCAGAGATTCGAAACAATGGAGATCCTATTGATTATTAAATGTTGTTGTTCTTTTTTAAAACCATTTTTTTGTTACTAAATAAAAATTTTTGTGTAGTGTCCATATCATTATGTGGAAAGCGCCAAAGGTGATTTTTTACAAAATTCGATTTTTAAACATTCATGTTCCAAACTATGGTAGTATATCTAACGTGCTTCAATAGCAAATCTAATAAGGAAAATACTATAAAACAACTTTTTTTCACTATCGTTTCTTAAGAGCATAAAATTAGTAAAAAAGTAAGTGTCCATATCATTTTGTGGAGCAGTGTACACAAGTATCGTTATTCGGTCAAATTTGCTTTATGAGTTCAAAAATGGGTTGAAAGCTGCGGAGGCTGCACGTCGAATTCGGAATGCGTTTGGCGAAGACGCCGTTATTGATGATACCGCTAGGTTTTGGTTCCGACGATTCAAAGGTGGTAATGAAAGCCTAGAGGATGAACCACGCGGCGGTCGCCCTGAGACCTGTTCTGATGACCAAATAAGACGCTGTCTTCTCGAAAACCCTCGTTCAACCTCTTCAGAAATAGGTCTTACATTAAATTGTGATGGATCAACCGTAAGGAAACGCTTGAATGCCATGAATTTTATCAAAAAGTTGGACAAATGGATACCGCATGAACGATAACGCGCGACCACATGTCTCTTTACAGACTCGACAAAAAAATCCAGAGTGTTGGATGGGAGGTTTTACCACATCCACCTTATAGTCCAGACCTTTCTCCATCTGATTATTATTTATTTTTGTCTCTGTCTAACTTTTTGGCCAATAAACGATTCAATTCCGAAAAAGATGTCAAAACCGAGGTTGATCTTTTCTTCGCCTCTAAGGATCAAGATTTTTATTATCGTGGAATGTCTTTACTTGTAGAACGTTGGCAAAAGGTTGTTCTTTCGAATGGTGATTACTTTGTTGAATAAAAATTATTTTAACGAAACTTATGGTCTATTATATTTAAACGTTAAAAACGTGGATTACTTTTTCACACACCTAATACTTTCAAGAATTTCCCAAAACTCATTTTGCAGAGAAACAATTAATCTTTTTAATAGTTTAAATAGAAATTTGGTTGGTGTCGGCATTATTTTTAAAAGTCATTTGGAAAAAAAATTGCAAAGACTTATGCACCATTCTAACGAAAAGGAACGAAAAGACTTTTGAAAAAAAACCTAATCGAATTGAGTTTTGTCATGCTTTTCAAGTCTGATTCAAGTCTGATAAATCAAGTTGTTTAAGAATGATTCTTTTAGCAATTACCTTTTCCAAGAGTTGATGAATGAAGGTGCTCATCAACAGTCTCCGGGTTTGTTCTGGGCTCCAGATTTGTGTCCACCATTGAAACGAGTTAGCGAAAACGATAGCCAAAATGATTTGCTATCTAAATCATTGTTGATTTATGCATTCCATTCGTAGCTGAATCTATTGATCTAGTTATTATTTGGCCAATGGCGCTTGTTGTTGACTAATCGTTTTCAAATGATGCTCAATTATTCTTTGTTCATTTGTTTTGAATCGTATTTTGTCAAAATCGTCAAAAGCAATGTCAAATCGTCAAAATCAATGTCAAATCGTCAAAATCAATGTTAAAATCCTGTTTTGCACTTGAAAGTTCATCGAATTTCGCAGAAAACTCTAGTTCAAAGGTTATGTACTCAAATTTCACTCACTCAACTCAAAATTTCTCAAACAAATTTCTCAAACACTTCAAAAAGTAGCCGAAAAATTGATTCAAACTCAAACTTTTTAATCTTTTCCTAAATGCTTGAAACATTTTCGACGTTTTCAAAGAAACTAATCTTTATTTTAATCAATGCCTGCTTTCCTTTGCTTCAAATATTGGTGTCTGCTCAAACTGATCTCTTGCCTCTGAAAGAATTAGGAAGAAAAAGTAAATTTTGCTATAATTTTGCTAATTTTGATGATAAAATCGTAAAACTTTAGCCAACTATACAACTTATTTAAAAGAAATCAATAATTTGTATGATGAACTTTTCACAAAAAGAAACTATCACCAGGATCTTGCTCTGATGAACACTAAGCTATTGGAAATGGACCCAGGTGTTGATTTCGGTTCAAAATTCATTTAATCAATCCTTTTCAGCCACCTATCGATTAGAAATCGCGCTTGCGATTCAAATGGTGTACATCATTGATATTGTAAACGGGAAACGAGATTCCAATCAATAAAACACTTTCAGGATGTAGCCACACAAACATTGCAGGCTTTGATCGAACTTCAACTGAAATGGCAAGACCAACGATTGGCTTGGGATCCTGAGAAATATGATGATCTTGAATCACTTTATGTTTCGTGTGAATCCCTTTGGGCGCCTGAGGAGTTTCTCGTTAGCGCGTAAGTTTTGTCAGGTTTTGATGAGAGTTGGATATCTATTTTTCTTCGATGACCATTTTCTAGTGTGCTCAGTGCTCCGAAAAGCTACTTTAGCTTTGTTTTTGGTGAATCTAAAGAATAGAAGTTACACGCTTCAAAGTTAAATTCGAATTTTAACAGTTCAGTCTTCAACAGTAGCACTTCAGTCAGTTGGAGAAGAGTCTAATCCGGATGAATAGTTGGGGTTATTTTCTACCCGATGTCTAGGGTGAACTAAAAAAAAAACAAAAAAACAAAAGTTCAGAAGAGAAACAATCCTGTGAAATTGGGGACAAATAGGGGTACGGTAGGAGGTCTACACTTTAGAAAACACTTAGAAAACACAAGTTAACAAATAAATCATTTGTGGGAAATGATGCTTAGGTGAATGATGCTTCCCAATGCAAATCATCTTTATTTTTCAGTCCAACTGTCACCGAGGTGATCCCGGATCGCTTCAAACAGTGTATTATCTATTCAAATCGAACAGTCGGATACGACTTGATGCTCAGAATCGAGAACAGTTGTGCAATGAATGTAAGCATTGCTTTTCAATTGATTTATAGCTTTTCAATTGATTTATTGCCTATTCAAGGTCAGAAAATTTCCTTTTGACACGCAAAGTTGTGCCATTTTTTTCACCTCAAATCAATACGATTGGTATCAAGTTCTTCTTTTACCCACCGCCTTCACAAAGTATCATGACAGCACTTTCGATAGAATGGTTGGCTTTATTAAGTATGGATTTTTTAATATTGCTAAATCTTTATTCAGGGTAATGGTGAATGGTCATTTGTGAATACTTCTTTTGAAGTGACATACGATGAGAAAGAAAACTTTCAAATTGTAAGAGATAGATGAATGATTGTAAGAGATAGATGATCCATTCGAGTCAAATTTAGGCCAGCTTTGTGCTCACTTGTAAGCGTGAGCCAGCTTTTTACATTTATGTGATTACGTTACCATGTTTCTTGCTGACATTCTTGTCAATTACTGGCTGTTTTTGGACAAAGAATGTCCGAGAGGAACAGTTAACGAAAGTGAGTGTTACTTTATTGCTTCAGGCTTGGATTTAGCAGTGGATTTAAGGTTTTAAATCTCCTAACCTTGACAAGAAAGGTTTAGTTGAGCATTGCTCTTACAAGCATGATGTCGATGACCACTTTTGTCGATATGGTTTCTCAACAAATGCCCAAAACATCAGAGTTTCCACTATTGGGTATTTAAGTTCACTTTTTGACTTGACTTTGCCTTGACTTTGACTTGACTTTGCCTTGACATTGCCTTGACTCTGCCTTGACTCTGCCTTGACTCTGCCTTGACTCTGCCTTGACTCTGCCTTGACTCTGCCTTGACTTTGACTTGACTTTGACTTGACTTTGCCTTGACTCTGCCTTGACTTTGCCTTGACTTTGACTTGTCTTTGACTTGCCAAACTTGACTCAACTATAACTAAACGACTGGACTCTACTCAACTAAATGCAAATTTTAGGTATTTTTGTGTTGACTTGTGTTTTTATTACATCCATTTCTTGTGTGGTTTTGGTGGTATTTCCGGAAAAGAGAAACCCACGAGAGAATAAGCCTTGGAATTGTAAGTTTACAAAATTGCCCAATCATTTTTGAAATTACAGGACCAGAAAAGAGCGATTGAAGTACTTCATCTTGTCCCTTCATTTTGCGTATTTCAGCTTCTTTCAAGGAGCCAATCTCATAAGTTTTATCGTCTTTTTATCGTTTTGGAAATGAAATGAATTTCTTGTTTATATTGTTGACAGTATTATTCATTTCTGTGAATCTGTGGGAAAATTTTTGAGAGAAAGTAAACAGTGATGCACAAAAAGAATTCCCTAAAAAGAGTTTATTATCTTTTTTTTGCGCCGAAAAGGTGTGATTTCAAAACGGTACTTAGCTGTGCAAAGCGAGAGTTTCAAAATCTCCGAAAAGGCTAAAGAACAAAAAACAAACGGTTTTGGAAGCTTTGAAGCAAAGAACTTTAGAAGAGATCGATGTTTCCAGTCCATTATTGAAGTTAGTTTGAAAGTTATTTATTCTGTAAACTTTGGGAAGCTTATTGCTGCTTTATATATGTCGTAACCGATTGTTTTTCAGCCGACTAAGATTGAAACGCTCTTAAATATGAAAATTAAACCTCAAATGTAAATGCAAATGCAAAATCAAAAGAAATTCCAATCACTTCCAATGATCTTGTGTAAAACTCTTTTCCAATGAGAACTCCCAGAATTTGAAATCTACTTCCTAGAGTTTTGATAAAGTCTATTAGTCTTGAAGCCTTTAAATTATCTGTAGATGATTTTGAACTTGCAGTTCTAGTTGATTCTTGACTTTATCTGTGCTACCCAATTATTACACCAGCGGAAAACGCTCACTAACGTTCGCGTTTTCCACTGGGGAGGTCCACGTTTTTCGCGCAATCTAAGCCCCGCCCATTTTTGTCAATGGCTGCGCGCCGGCATCTTAATGCCACGTGCGACCGGTTACTACGCACGACTTGGTCGGCATCTGACGCCATCTGCCACGCACGCACGTTAATCTACGCACTTACCGCACTTAATGCCACGCATCTTGCTAATGCATCGCACGCATCTTAATGCTACGCTAATGCTAATCTTACCGCACGTTACGCGCACGCACGCGCCATCGTACGCCAGCACGCATCGTTACGCACGCTACGCACTTGACGCACGCGCACGCACTTTGACGCACGCACGCACGCACGCTATCACGCATCTTGCCACAAGTACGCACGCACCCACGCCATCGCACGCCACGCTATCTTGCCACGCACGTTACAGCATCTTACCTAATTTACCACGCGACCACGCATCTTACGTTAATCTTAATACACGCAGACACACCTTAATGCTACTTAACGCCATCAGCACTTGCCAATGCCACGCACGCACTCATCAGCACGCACGCATCTTAATACACGCCATATCGCTAATGCACGCGACTTGCCGTTTCAATCCCACGCATCTTAACAAGCATCTTATCGCACTTACCATCGCATCGCGACAGACTAATGCTAACTTGCACGCCGCACGCATCGCCACACGCACGCACTTAACGCACGCACGCATCTTACGCACGCGCGCACGCACGCACGCACGGTTATCGCATCCAACGCGCACCATCGCACTTAATGCCATCGCACTGGCCACGCTACGCACGCATCTTAATGCGCACGCGAATGCGCACGAACGCACGCTTACACAAGTACGCACGCATCTTTGCCGTTAACCCACGCGACGCACGCTAAGACTGCACGCATCTTAATGCACGCACGCGACGCATCTTACGCACTTAACGCCAAGCACACCGGTTAATACGCACGCTAATTCCACGCACGCACAGCATCTTATCTATCGCGCACGCATCGCCATCGCATCTGGTTACCGTTAACCCATCGCTAATCTTATCAGCACTTAATGCCGCTAAGGCACTGTTACAAGCACGCACGCATCTTATCAGCACGCACGCACGCATCTTATCACGACCGACGCATCGCACGCCACGCATCTTACCGCACTTAATGCCGCATGGGGCAGACCGGTTAATGCTACGCGACGCATCTTATCGCACGCAGCTTAATGCCACGCACTGACCCGACCCTTTGACTTACTCGAGGCCCGGCCTCCATCACATATCTTGCGTTACAGGTCTCAAGGGCAAAAACTAAAAGTGGATTCGAACTCAGCGTGACCGACTCTATAAGATGGGTTTGGTCTCGTTCCAAAAGGCCACAGCAAGTGCTTGCTTTTCCCTAATAAGAAGAACACGGTTAAAAACGGTTATGGAATGAAAAAGAACGATTAAATTTATTTACCTAATTAACCTTTACGCTTTAATTTGCATTTGTAAGAGCGTTTTGTCTCAATTTTGAAAAACTGAAAAACTTGATCGGCTACGACATATTTTGTTTTGTTCTTTATGCTTTAGAATCTTGCATTCACTTGGCTCTTGCTCAAATTCCCTCATTTCTGATTGCCTTCTCAAAAGCTTTTCTCAATTTAAACACCCAAGCACGAGCGTTCACACACCGCATTTGCATGTTGTGTTGAATGGTCGGTGCCACGTGATGTGTGTCTCGGGTTTGGGCAAAGGGAAAGGGAAAAGCAAAAAGAAGGCTCTATCCGTGTGTCTGCTCTCTCCAAAAGACATGTCTCTCACCACAATTCTCTCAACTGCTCTCCTCATCGCCGCACTCTTTCCCCTCAGCAATCCCCACCTCTTCTTCCCCATTTCCCCACCCTCATTTCCCCTCGATTTCTTTGCCTCGCCACTCTATCGGCTCTTTCAAGCGATACACTCCACACAAACACGGGGGCCATACTCAAATTTTCTTCTTAAACCACGATGGCTTTAGCCGGAACTCTTGTACAGCGGATTCATGAGCGATATTTTGATGAGAATGAGTATACGTGTGAATTTATCATGGTGAGTTCATTTCAAAGGATTTTGATATGACAAATCTAACTGTAAAGTGCTATTACACTTCTTGGAATCAAGAAGATGATGAAAAGAAAGCTAACCATTCTTTTAAAAGCTAAAGAAAGCTAGTCATTCTTTTGAAAACTAGCTTTGACTGATTGACAATGAGACAATGAGACAATGAGACAATGAGACAATGATTGCAATGAGAATAAGCCTTTTACAAAACGAGAACAGTTTTAACACACAATTGATACCATTTCTACTATGTACTTCTATAAATTATTAGCTAAAAGTTAACGAAATCAGTCATTGTCAATCAGTTTCTATAAATTATTAGCTAAATCTCTTGCTTATCAAACCCAAATTGATCTTTATTGTTCAGAGTTCCTCACCAAGCAAATTGCTCCCGCGTGGCCTCGAGATTGTCGTGCTAAATCATATGCAAATCCGCGATGTGGGTGACGGAGAGCAATTGGACAAATATATGAAACATGTACAGGATTTGGACTTGGCCTGGAACGATATACAAGATTGGAATCAAGTGCGTCAAAAAAGAACAACTTGAACAACAACAACAACAACAAACAAATTTTTAATAGGAAAACAATAATCTTTCTAGATCTCCGAGCTCTGCAGCCATTTGCCCGTCCTCCGAAGTCTGAATCTGTCATTCAATCCACTCAAGAAGTCAATCGATTTATCGTTACCGAAAATGAATCGAGTGAATACATTGATTTTGAATGGAACCAAATTACCGTTATCTTCTGTTCGAACAATTGCCAGTGCTTGTCCATCACTGCAGGAACTTCACTTGTCACACAACGAGTTCAGTCCTGATGATCCGTCGACGTCAGCTGAGCCGGTGAGTTCTTGAAACTTATGAAATCTGAAAAATATGAAATCAGTTAGTTTCGTTAACTTTTACACTGTAATCGCTCCGGATTTTTTATGCTTTTTTTTCAGATGAGCAGCCCAGTACAAACAATTCATCTCAATCACTGCGGATTGAAAGATTGGGATCATGTGATGAGAATTCTCACCCTTTTCCCGAACAAACAAATTGTTTACCTCAGCGAGAATCCGATTTCGAGAATCAGAAACGGCGAAGAGCACTCGGATCCCGCAAAACACAACTCTTTGCGAGCGCTGACACTGAGCAAAACGGAGATCAGAGATTGGGAGAGGTAACAGTATTGTTATATATTGTTGCAAAAACAATAATGCTTTTAGTATTGATCATTTGGAGAATTTCCCCGGTTTACAAGAGATTCGCTTGACCAACACCCCCGTTTTGGAAAGCTATTCTGATGAGGAGAAAGTTCACTTGGTTACCGCTAGACTTCAGAAGATTAAGGTTAGTTTAGTTCGATTAGTTGGTTAGTTAGCTAGTTAGTTAGTTAGTTAGTTAGTTAGTTAGTTAGCTAGTTAGCTAGTTAGTTAGTTAGATTTGTTAGTTAGTTAGCTAGTTAGTTAGTTAGTTAGTTAGTTAGTTAGTTAGTTAGATTTGTTAGTTAGTTAGCTAGATTTGTTAGTTAGTTAGCTAGATTTGTTAGTTAGTTAGTTAGTTAGTTAGTTAGCTAGTTAGTTAGCTAGTTAGTTAGTTAGTTAGTTAGTTAGCTAGTTAGTTAGTTAGTTAGTTAGTTAGTTAGTTAGTTAGTTAGTTAGTTAGTTAGTTAGTTAGTTAGTTAGTTAGTTAGTTAGTTAGTTAGTTAGCTAGTTAGTTAATTAGATTAGTTAGTTAGTTAGTTTAGTTTAGTTTTAGATTAGTTTTGAAGCGTAAAAATTGAACAGAACCCAGTCTTCTACATCTAAAAAATAGCTTAACTAGTGTGAGAATCTAAAACAAAGAATAAACGAGAAAATGGGAATGAATTGGTCATTTAAACCTTAAATAAAACTAGTACGACAAGTATCTATACTTTTGAGACACTAGAAATGAGTAAAATGACTTTTTCTCTAAAAATCAACATTCTTTTGTCCAACAATCAGCATCAAAAATCAATTTCAACAATCAAAATCAACAAAAATCAACTTTTCCTTTATTTTTGAAGGTATTCTTTCGATCAAATCGATCTGAATCGTTTTCAGATCCTCTAACTTTGATTTTTCTATTTAAACAGCAATTTTTAAAAGGAATCTATACTTATAGAGTGTATTTCATCGTTTTTTTTGGATCGAATTCTTGTATCTTCTTCTTTGAATCAAATTCCTGTTGAGTTGTCTCCCAATTGCCCAGAAAATTCCCTCAAAACGTGATCTTTTGTCCGATCGAAATTTGCTTTACAAATCGATTTTGCTGTCGAATTTTGCTTGCCAGGGTTTTTTTTATTTGATTCCCCTCTTTTCATCTCTTTTTCACTTCAATCATCGTCTTTCAAGAGGCAAAGTCTGCTCTCGTTTCTCTTCAATATTTCTCTTCAATATTTCTCTTCAATATATTCACTCACTTCCCTCACTATTCCTCGTTGAAACTAACAGAAATCTATGGAAAAAGAGAGAAATCCTGAAAAAAGACGGAAAGCACGTGAAATGCTCAAGTCTTTTCTCTAAATTCCCATCTTTTCTGTCACGTAAAAAGAGCCAGCTGATATGAAAAAAATTTGTTGAAAAGTTTTGTTGTGTTTTTGGAAAAGGTGGAGAAACTCGGGAAACAAAAACATTGCTGTGAGCTTGTCAAATGAAAATGAGATTTAGGTATTGAATGGCTCAAATATCACCGATTCACAACGGGAGTCTTCTGAACGTTTCTTCATTCGTTATTTCCAAGATCGAGAAGATAAACCAAATCATTATCAAAGATTAGTGGATAAACATGGAACTCTTGAAAAGCTGGCAAAGGTGAGCTCTGAGCTATTGATATATTGGGTTGGTGAATTGAAAACTGCCGGCTATTGTCATGTGTCACAGTTTGAGCACTTTCTTCAAAAGAAACCCATTTTGGTGTCAATAGAAAAGTTGTAGAGAATCAAAAATGAAGCTTATATCCAAATTTTCAGAACGATTCAAAAACTGGTTTTTAAGAAATTCCAAATTTACGAATTTTCACAAAACTTGCATTTTAAGCGAAACTACTAAGTGTATCTTTTTGGAAATTTGGCTATAAGCCTAATTTTTGATTCTCTACAACTTTTCTATTGACACCAAAATGGGTTTCTTTTGAAGAAAGTGCTCAAATCAAACTGGGACATCTCCAGTCCTCCATTTTTGAGTCTCACACTTGTCTCACACACAAACCAAAATCCTACTACGAAATCCGCAAATTGCCTGTAAAATGGGCAGAAGTCGTCAATAATAATGGAAATTATTTGGAATGAATTGATGGTTTTATGTTGAATAAATTTTAGCTCAAAGTCCGGCAGTTTTCAATTCACCAACTCAATAGAAAGCAAAATGATTTCAGGTTGATCTCACCCCAAAGCCAACGGTGAGTGTCCGGATCGTTTGTGAGGAAACCGATTACGAAGGGACGATAACAGCTCCCGTCAATCGCACAATAGCACAGTTTATGAGGTTTGCTACGAGGAGTAGGAGTAATGCTAGGAAAAAAACTAGATACAACAACTACTTGGACTTTTTCAGTTTTAATTTAAGCTCAACGGTTCTTCAGTAGGATACCAATTCTCAGAACATTGTTGATTGTTTCTTTTATTCACAAGTTTCTTTTGCTATCGATCTGAATGCCATAAATGGCTCTAAAATGAGACCAAGATACAACTGGGGGTTTTCCTTTCTTTTATGGATAAATCTCTTTGATCGGACCCAGCTGGTGGGGTATTTTAAGTCATTGAGAAGCTTAAGTATCAGTCCTTTTCTTGCATTTATCCTAAAAATTGCTAAAAATGCTAAAAATGTTTAAGTATTTGGCTTTCCAGAAAGTCTTTTCGTTCTTCTTCGTATTTCTGTCAAAAAATAACAATTAATCTATGATTTGCTCTGAATAAAAAGTGTTTATTGTTTAATTTCCCATCTTTTTAAGTAAATTTCGGTTCATTTTCAAGCAAATTCGAGAGTGAAAAACGGGTTTTTTGTAAAAATCTAGAAAAACCTCTACGAAGAAATTGGCTGAATGAATTTGTCTGAAAATTTGGCTATATACCAAACTTTTTATGCTCTATCTTTTATCTATTGACACCAAGATAGGTTTCCTTTGCTAAAGTATGTCTTTTCTAAAGCTAAAGTGTCCGCATCATCGAGCCGTCGTTGTTTTCGACTACTCGACTTCACGCTCCCAAAAAAATCCAGAAATAAGACATTTTAAACCCGCTATAATGTTATTTTGCAGAAAATAATTGGCTTTTTTAATGAAACAAGTCCAATTGGTGCAATTGTTGGTTTTAAACAGTAGGAAAAAGAACGAAAAGACTTTCTGGACAGCCTAATAAGTGATGGATAAACGGATCCACGAAATTGATCCAAATTTAGGCCAACTTTGTGCTCATTTGACTTTTTGAACAGTCTAATACTTAAATATCTATTGTTGTTACTTACCTTGACGACCGTAACTCAATCCTTATTCTTTGATCTCCCAAAGTGTAATCGAATTCCTGAAACCTATGGGTCTAATGTCTTCGTTTACTTTGAGTAGATGTCAAGTTTACCCGGACGTTACCCACGGGTAAATAGAGAGAGAAAAAGAAAGAAAAGAAAGAACTCGGGCTTTGTGTCCTCTCTATAACGATGATCCATCGGTCCTCTTCTCACTGTGTTCACTCCTAATACCCCACTCCTAGTGCAAACAAAGGAGAATCTTTGCCATAGAGAGGCGAATAGCTATTTTAGGAAGCTGACTGGTCTATGCTAGAAAACCCTTTGAATTGGATGAACAAGTTAAAGTTACTTTAGCAAAGTTTATAAGCTAGAGCTATAAATCTAGAGCTTTTCACATGATTCACAGCTCTTTAGCAAGCTCTTTAGCAAGCTCTTTAGCCAACCAATTCAGTCTAAAGTCAATTAACGCGTGAAAGATCCTAGAGATAAGAGAGAATAGTGGAAGGGCAGATTGAACTCAAGTAAATAAGCTTTTATACTTCAAAAATTGATGAGATAAGATGTAGATCTTGATGTAGATCAACAATTTCAGATTCCTCGAGAAGATCACCGGAATTCAGGCGGCTCGGATGAGAATCTTCCATCAATGCGAAGAAGGATTCCCGTCTGAGGTCCGACTCTCCAATCAACCGTTTCACTCACTGCATCCAGAAGATGGGGATACTTTTCTTGTACAGGTTGGGTATTGAAAGCTTTCTTTGATATAGCAGCCATCTGAGTGAATAGAAAAACTCGCACTTACAGCTAAACTAAAGGATATAGAATAGAAAGAGATATAGAATAGATATAGAATAGAAAGAGATCTCTAGGCATTGAAAAAGCTACCCCAATCGCCCCATGATTCTGCCAATTTCTCAATCTCTATCAAAGTTTATTTATCTAACCCCCCATTTCATTTCTTTCTTTTCCATCAGTTTTGCGGCTATCTGAAAGAGATCGCATTCAGCCATTCGAATGGAGCTATCCATGCATTCGAAAGTGTTGTTGACAGAATGCCCGCCTTTTCCTTTTTTTTGAGCTCTTCAATAAAGTTCACTGCCTCACTTGACACATTAGAACTGAAATCTGGGAAATATTGATGAATAGATGAAGAAGGGAGCTGATTTGCTGCAAGTTTTGCAAAAAATTGAACAAAAACAAAGAAAAAATGGGTAACAAGCTTGCTTGATATAATGAAAAGTGAAAAAAGCTATACTTTTCCTTACTTCGATTTCATTTTATTTCTTGAAATCTTGTTTTCGGCAAAATTTCGTGATCTCATTTCATGCCAAACAAAGACGTTTCAGTGGAGGCTGGCATGCAAATCTGGCCGGTTGACCTGTCCACTTCTCTTTCCTTTCTTTCCTTTCTTTCCTTTCTTTCCTTTCTTTCCTTTCTTTCCTTTCTTTCCTTTCTTTCCTTCTTTTATTTCCTTCCTTTCCTTCCTTTCTTTCCTTCTTTTATTTCCTTCCTTTCCTTCCTTTCTTTCCTTTCTTTCCTTTTCCTCTTCATTCTCTGCATATCCCTCAAATAGACCTGTCCTTTTCTATTCGATTCTTCTGTTATTCTCGTTTTCCTCTTTTCTATTCCCCTTGACCACCTGTCAATTAGGCACCAGCACATAGGCTACCCCTAAAAAGGAGAAATGAAGGGGTGATCGACAATAGAGTGAACTCCTCTTGGTTAAATTTGCATAATTTCTAAGGTTTCTGTTAAGCTTTTAAGGTTAAGCAAGAGATTTCTAAGTTTTCTAATTCTTTTCTAAGTTTTCTAATTCTAATTTCTAAGATTTCTAAGTTTTAAGTTTACTTTTAATAAACTAGAGGGGTGATAAGATTAAAAATAAATGAACGATGCCAAACTATGAATAAAAAACAATAAATGAATCGGACGTCAGCGGTGATATGGATTCAAATCAAACGAGAATCCAAGTCTGAGACAATATATATGTCGTAGCCGCTAACGAATGATTCGTTAGCGGCTGAATTTCGTAAGCGGCTACGACATATATAAAGTATATATATATATATACAACTGCCCTGTTTCCCATTATGCAATAACCTTATCCAATTTGCTCTTCGGAATTTAATTCTCCTTTTTTCTCATTTCTTTTCTTATTTTAGATGATCTTGTACTTTTTCTAAGGATTACCATAAAGACAGGCTATCCCCCAATTACTTTATCCTCTTTTTCTTGCAAAAGTCGAATATGTCCTTGGCTTTCTTTTCTTTCCACCAAACACGTACAATATTGTGAGAAAGTGAACATTTTGAGGGAAAAGAGTAGAAAAAAAATGATGAAAATAACCAGAAAATCGATTAAAAACGGAACATTGAGTTTAACAAAATGAAAACAGCAAACCAAGCAAACAAAGCAAACCAAACAAACAAAGCAAACCAAACAAACAAAGCAAACCAAACAAACAAAGCAAACCAAATTTGCTTTACCAATGTTTATCAAGGTCAGTTAGAACAAGCTCAGCTTTCGTTCTCACTTAGAACAAGCTCAGCTTCAGTTCTCACTTAGAACAAGCTCAGCTTTTGTTCTCACTTAGAACAAGCTCAACTTTTGTTCTCACTTAGAACAAGCTCAGCTTTCGTTCTCACTTAGAACAAGCTCAACTTTTGTTCTCACTTAGAACAAGCTTAGCTTTCGTTCTCACTTAGCAAGACTGGTTACGAGAAGAAGAAATGAGAATAACAGAAGAATTGAACTAGTCAATAGAACTAGAACTAGAACCAGCAAAAACGCTTTCTAAAGTCAATTTTTTAGAGTAAAATGCTTCCATCAAGAAAGCGAGCTCAAGCAACGAAATCCGAGTCGAGTGATCACGAGGTTGACCCAAACGCAAGCCATCTACAGCATTAAACCACCGTTTTTACGATGTTTTTAGTTTCCAGCATGTTTTCATCAAAATATAGTCTTTTTCTGCGAAAATCCTGCAAAATTATGGTCTTTTGCCGCCATTTTCTCTTTCAATTCCTCCTGTGCACTTTTTTTCTGGTATTTTCTTTGATCTGTGATTTTTTCATTATGATTTTTGCATTTGATTTGTAATTTCAGGCATTTTTTTAAAGCATTAGGGTAGTTTGAACCGGTTTTCATGCTTTCAAAAGAAAACATTGATACATTATAGGACTCAAATCAAAAATCCGCCATGTAAATATATGTGTCACTAGTTTTTTATGTCACTTTTCTCATTCGATTTCGACTTTCAGTAGAAATAAAACATTTGTGACAATTTCTTTGTTGAATTTCGTGTTTTGCAATGTTTTTGGTGGGGTTTAGGGGTATTTTTTTACACAAAATGTCAAAGAAAAATTGAAAAGAGATCAGCTGGAGTGGGAAAATAATGGGAATCCAGGAAATTTTGCCAACGAAACGAGACAAATGAAACCAGCTGACGGGCAAGGAAAATGGCTGGATTTTCGAGAATTTCATGTTTTGGGAACAAAGCAAAAACCAACATTGGGTCAAAATGAGATTTACTTTGAAAACTTAAGGAAACAGCCTTATGAATAAACAAGTTTTAAAACTCTAAGTAGTAAAAGTTCATAGGAAAAGTAAGCTTTTATATTCCCGTCACTCTCTGTCACCGTTACGCAGTCGAGAGCGCGCTTGTCTAGAGGCCACACGATTCGGATTTGACCCCTCGTAGTGCCACTTAATTTTGGCTTTTAATTTCTTTATTTTAAATGGCACAACTATAATATATTCTAAGGTTTTCTAAAGAAATGTTCAAAGATTCTCCGTTCAACCTAATATAGGTATAACCTAATATAGGTATTAGAAATCTAAAATCAAGTTAAATTTTTCAAAAGAAACCCCAAGTTTAGCAGTTTTGTCAAGTCATCACTGACATCAGCGCTAAGAGGACCTTCAATTGGCCACTCAGCAAAGCTAAAGCAAAAAAGCTAGAAGAATCGTCTATACGGCTGAGAAAAGCCCGTATAGACGGACAGACAGACAGACAGACACTGCTCTTTTATATATGTCACGTCCGATTTAGAACAGGCGCTCGAATTAGAACATATTTCCGGATCGGCTTAAATAAGTTGTTCCAATTATTATCGATCGCTGCCAAGTGATGGCCATGTGGTTCGTCTTCACATATCCAAGGTAACCAAGATAAACCAAATATCAATTAAAAAGTAAAAGCGCTGACTTAGAAAAAGCGTAAAAATAAAGGAAATATCCAATAGTACAAATATACAAAAGAAAATCGAATAAGATTTTTGAGATTTAAGAAAATAGAACATTTTATGACGACCGAAATTTCTTTTGCAACCTAGTAGATAAGAATAGATGTAGATGTAGATGCAGGCAACCAGTAGAATAGATGTAGATGCAGGCAACCAGTAGAATAGATGTAGATGCAGGCAACCAGTAGAATAGATGTAGATGCAGGCAACCAGTAGAATAGATGTAGATGCAGGCAACCAGTAGAATAGATGTAGATGCAGGCAACCAGTAGAATAGATGTAGATGTAGGCAACCAGTAGAATAGATGTAGATGTAGGCAACCAGTAGAATAGATGTAGATGTAGATGTAGGCAACCAGCCTTCAGAATTTCCCAATCCTTCATAGATCTTAAAGATGAAATGGAATAGCCTTTCCGGAAGTCAAAACTGAAAAACTTTCTTTGCAACTATTTCTATTTCTCGAATCTATTTCTATTTCTAGAACCTATTTCTAGAAATTTCTAGCTATGAGCAAAAGTCTCGTGATGCTAAACTTAGGTTTCAGTGACAAAGAACAGCACCGGAATGAGCCAAAAATAGAGAACCGCTGAGAGAAATGATTGATTGGGTGGAATGGTCGATCATCGTTCATTTCTTTCATCCCCAATCCCATCTCTACTCTCTCAACGATTCATTGATATTTCATAGTTCGACGTCAAGAGATCGACCGGAAGTTTTCCTTTCCGATCCCATCACACTCCCACGATCGGGTATTTAAGATTAGGCTCGAACAATTATCAAACCAATTTTCACAATATGAACCATTCTAGGCAACTTGTTCTCTTCTTTATTGCTGTATTTGTTCTTGTCATTGTCACAGGTTCGTTCACAACTGATCATTATCAAAGTTTAAGTCAAAGATGTCAAAGATGTCAAAGATATGTCGACTGATTAAGTTTTGTATGCAGGATTTGAATTTTGGGAAATATGGGTTTTGTCTAGACTGTCAAGGCACCACTTTAACATTTGCAAATACTATAAAAACTTGATGATGATACTTCTGCATCTGCAATCAAGTCTGCAACTAGCACAAGTTGGAAAATAGGCTAGACAAACCGATACTCCTCAATACCAGCCTTATTCAAATAATATGTGTAGCTGAAATTATATTATTCTTATATTATTAACTAGAAACATTCGAAAGCATTATTTTTTGAGCATTTAATATAAGAGTTTCTCCTTTAGAATCTAGCACTTTGGGTGACGAATGGCGAGGTGCGAGACACGCAAAAACAAAGCAAATCGATGATAGCATCGATGTCTATTTGAAGTCATTGACACCAACTATTTGGGAAAGGGTGAGTGAACATTCCTCTTCTTTAATTCTTCTAGTTAATTCTAGTATCATCTCAAAGTCTTCTTTCAGATGATCCCCGAGTACCGCACCTTTCGATTCAGACGATGAGCCGATGAACGATGAAACAGCATCAAAATTGATTCTTTTTGGGTATTCGATCTCATTCTCATTTGTACATTCATTCTATTATTTGTACTTATTTGTACTATTTGTACTTATTTGTACATTTGTACGTTGTATATGAATTGATTAAACATTTTCACTTTCATAATTCAAATTTGAACGGCTTTGCACATTTCAAAACAAAAAAAAACGCCTAAAAATTCGTACACTACAACCTCTTTCTTCTACGTACAACCTCTTTCTTCTACAAGATCAATATGTAGTCTGGAGAGTGTTTCTCGAGAATTTTCTCAGGAAAGAATAAAAAGCAATAGAGAAGAAAAAGAAAAGAAAAAGAAATACTCTCTCTTTTCCTCACTTCACTTGATGGAATATCTAATTTACGCCCGTCTCTTATTTTTTTCAGACTAACGAAGAAAAAGAGGAAAAGCTTGAGTATTTGGCAGATTAGACGAGTTGAGGGGATAAAATAGCTATAGCTAAAGAGTTTTTAAGCTAAAGAGCTTTCAAAGTGTACAGTTGAAGTTGTAAAGAGTGATGTTTATTGTTATTGTTTATTGTTAAAATATTCAGCTCAATTTCCAAGCATTACATTGCTTTCCAAATATTTATCACTTTCAAATGCACAAATGCAAAAACATAAAACTTTTCATGGCGTTCAAGATTGAAATTTACGTTAAAGCTAGGCTGAATTGTAACATTCATAGATGAAAATCAAGAATTCATTCGTGTTTTCGTGGTCGGAAGGGCCGATTGCCGTCTCGGCGTCGGTGGATGATGACTGGTTCGACTGCCGGGGCGAGAGCTGGTCTTGCTGAGGCTTGATTTATTATTATTGAGTTGCTTGATAGCTTGATGAATTGAGGTTAAAATATCCAACTCATCTACCTAATTTAACACATAAACTTCTATAATATTTCTTTTTATTAAGCTGTCCAGAAACTCTTTTCGTTCCTTTTCATACTTTCGTTTAAAAATAACAAATTCACCAATTAATCTATGGTTTCACCCTAAATAGTGTTTAGAAAGTGTTTATTGTTCAATTTCCCATCTTTTTAAGTCAATTTGGGTTCACTTTCAAGCGAATTCGAGAGTGAAAAAGTATTTTTTCGAGAAATTCGAGTGTTTTTCGTAAAAATCTATCAAAACCTCTACGAAGAAATTGGCTGAATCAGTTTCTCTGAAACTTTGGCTATTTGTCTAACCTTTTGTGCTCTAAATTTTATCTATTGACATAAAGATAGGTTTCCTTAGCTAATGTGTGTCTTTTCTAAAGCTAAAGTGTCCGGAACCGTCGCTCTTTTTGACTACCCGACTTTACGCTCTCAAAAGAATCCAGAAATAAGACATTTTAAACCCGTTTTAATGGTATTTTGCAGAAAAATAATTGACATTTCTAATGAAATAAACCGTAGTTTAATTGGTGCATTTGTTGGTTTTAAAAGTAGGAAAAAACGAAAAGATATTCTGGACATCATCAAGTTTTGATAGTAGCTGTATATGTTAAAATGGTTCCTTGACAGCCTAGACAAAACCGATATTTACCAAAATTCAAATTCTGCATACAAAACTTAATCAGTAGACAGATCTTTGACTTAAACTTTGATAATGTTCAGCTATTCAATCGAATCCATATCTGTTTTATTGGTTCTGGAATGATCACATTTTCCTTTCGGTAAATAGTTCATCAAAACTGCGCATTGATAAGGGAAAAGACTTTGACAGAAATGATTGATAGATAGACAGATTTTGCAAAACTCTGGTTTGCAAAGAATTTTCAATGAAAATGAGAAGGGTAATGGGTGAGATTGGAAGTTTGGTGATGAAAATTGTGAGCCACTTTTCTGTGCTTTTGATATAAGGATCGGTTTTTGTTTTCTTGAAATCTATTTCCTTAACTTTTCAACCTAATCACATCCGTTTGCTCATTTACCTTGCTTGAGATCTGGCTGGTGAAATTGAGCCTCTCGGCGCGGAAATCGGACGAGGTGGTGGCTGTTTAGCTGCCGACGAAGCAGTAGATCTAGAATTTCTGCACTTCATCGTCAAAGTTTTTTTTCTAAATGCTAATCAAGTTCCTTATTGATTGATCCACCTGGCAATGCTTGGTAGTTTAATCTTGTCAATCAAAAGATCCGCTTTTGAACTCGATCGTTCACGATCCCAGAATTGACGCAAGTTTCGGCGGAGGACCTAATGAATAATAGAAGTAAGTTTATTTTGTAAAGTGCACATTTTAATTCATCTTCCATTAGTTTTAAGTTCAAACCTTTCCACAAACGTTTCTCGGTATCTCGGAGACGAAAAATACTCCTCCACGAAGCTCTTTGAATTGAGCGATTTTACCAGAAGCTAAAAATTGAACAATTTAGCTGAATATCCTTAGATAGTTAATCAAGCATTCAATCAATCAGTAACTAATCAATCATTACTATTCTATTACCCAAAAAGCTTACCAGCGGCAAACTGTCGGACTTCGGAGGAAGACAGTGTTGAAAAGCTCGGGTTTCGAACAACAAAAGCAGCCGGTACCTGAATTTGATTTGTTAGAAGTTTTATTATAAAGCTTTGAGTTTACATTGCTAGAGTTACAGGTCTAGAACAGGTCTAGAGCTTCAAAATCTAGAATTAGATAGGAACTAGATAGGAACTATAAAGTACTAAATAGGTACTAAATAGGAACTATAAAGGAACGATAAAGAAACTATTAAGGAACTATAAAGTAGCTTTAAAGGAACTAAATAGGAACTATAAAGGAACTATAAAGGAACTATAAAGGAACCATAAAAGAACTATAAAGGATTTCATTGACAAAACACGAACTTCTCCAGTGACATGATCCTGTCGTCCAACCACAGCACAATCATCGATTCCCGGATGACTTCGGAGAATAACCTCGACTTCGGATGGACAGACCTATTGAATTATCTTTTGGTTTCAAAATTTATCTTTTCAAAGTTTATCTTTATGCTTCAAAAAGTTCAAATACCCACCAGTGTCCCTTTACATTTGATAATATCTTTTATTCGATCAACCACATAGATCAATCCATTTTCATCGTAGTAAGCAGCATCTCCTAAATTTTTATCAGCAAAATTTATTGCTTGATTTACCTGTTCTCACAAATCCGTCAGCTTCCACAATCTCGTTGGTGGCTTTTGGATTCTTGAAATATTTTGGTGAAACTTGAGGTCCAGCAGCGTAGAGATGACCCAATTGTCGAGGTGCACAAAGCATTTGAGTCTCCCAGTTTACTACCTGAAATAATAAAATGTACACTAAAACAATAAAATAAAACAATAAAGTATTATACGAAAGTTAGTAACTAACTCCCTTATCTAACACCTTTAGATCCCAACTCTTTTCTAAAATGATTTAAATTCAACGACGCCGTATAAATTCAACGTAATCAATTCCTTTTAACTAAAACGCAAATCTAAATAATCTGCCACGGCGCGATCTTCTTGTTATTTCGTCTTGGGTTTCATGGGTTTCCTCTTTTGCCATCCACGAAACCCAAGACGAAATAACAAGAAGATCGCGCCGTGGCAGATTATTTAGCTTTGCGTTTTAGTTAAAAGGAAATGATTACGTTGGATTTATACGGCATGTGTAAATGAATTCAAAAAAAATCTAGTGGAAGGAGCCGAAAAGAAAACGAAATAAACCGTATTAGAATTTTAAACAACAAACTATAGACAAACAATAAAAGGAGGAAACGTACGAGGGGAGAGAGTACTTTAAAAACACGCTACAAAAACATAATAGATTTTACGATTTTACGAAAACTTAAAGAAAAGATAACATAAAATCCGGACAAAGTTTCCGATTCCATTGTGGAATGAAGGAAAATGGAAAGGATGGCAAAAGAGGAATTTTGTGCGGGGTACGGTAGCGCATTCATGCTTTAGAAAGCGCGCCGCGCCCCTTTCACGCCAACCCTTAAAACCGTACGTCAATAGGAATCTAACTAGAAATCTAAGTGTTAATTGATTGTTAAAGAATTGCTAAATTCCTGCCTTTAAGAGCATTCCAGGTAGCGGTGCTCCAACGCTTTCCGGTTTATCTGTTCCAGCAAAAGGCAAAGTGCAAAGCCCACCCAGCTCCGACATTCCGTAGGCTAAAACTTTTGCTTACTTTGGTTTACAAAAAGTTTAGATAAGTAGTGATTGATAATTTGATTGATAAGTAGATAGGAATTGATAAGTACTGATCGATAAGTACTGATTGATAAGTACTGATTGATAAGTACTGATTGATAAGTACTGATTGATAGTACTGATTGATAAGTACTGATTGATAAGTACCTATTGATAAGCTAGCAATAAGCCAGTCAAACCTTGTCTAACATCACCGATCCTGAATCTTGATCGGCACAGTTTGAGCAGTGAAACATCCACCGGAGATCCGCTAACAATCAATGAGCGCAAAAATGGAAAATGGATTGTTTCAAGCGTTGTATCGTTTGCTAAGTTGTGAATCATTGGAGTAGAAATGTGAGAGACATTGATCTAAAATGCATACAATTACTAGCAATATGAGATATGCATACAATTTCTAACAAGATTGAATAATAAGAACTATTGTTTTAGAGATTCTAGATTGAACAATAAGAACAATATTTACTATTTTTAACAATAACAATAGTAAATAGTGTAAATCTACTCATCTAAATGCAAATCTAATCTATCTAATCTTAGAACTTACTTTATGATAAACAAAAGCATCAGCGACTGATTTCGTACTCCATTTGTGCAAGGTACAAATAGTAGCTCCTTGTACCAAAGCATAGAAGGCTGAGAGAAGGCCCCATAAATGAGACAAGGAAAGAGGCAATAGAAATCGTTCCTGAGCTTTTGGTTTTATAATTTGGCTTTTATAAATGACTGATTAGACTTCAAACAAGTGTCTTCAAATACTGAATTTTGTGTCTCAAGTTTTAAACAAGCAATTTCATATGTTTACAGGGTGCACCATAATTATCCGGGCTCACTTCCAAGAGTCTAGCTCAGCCAAAATCAAGCCAATCTCTCTGTTTTTTTCAGAGGTAAATCTTGACTAGTTCTCCTCCAGCGGTGCTCAATATTTAGTCTATCGGAATAAACACAAGTTTTTTATAAGCTCTGAAAGTTGAGAGTTGAGTTGAGAGTTTTATAAACTCTGAAAGTTTCTCAACTCTGAAAGTTGAGAATTACGCTTAATTACCGCTTAATTACTCACTTTCAAGAGGCAATGGTTTTTGGGGTTTTTAGAAAAGTTCTGACCTCTAGTTTTGTCACTAGTTTTGACCAGATTAAATGAAACTTTTACTAGTTTTGAAAAAATAAGTTAAACCCTAAAAATTGGCAACTAGCTGCTTGTAAAAGAATGGTAATTTCATTTGATATTTCTGTTTTTCTGAGCAGCTTTGTTGTTTGTTTCCAGATTCCAGAATCCAGCGGTTTCTATCCTCTTTTCTTATGTTTCTTCAAAATTGAACGACTTATTTTATATGGCAAGCTTTTCATTGACATTTTCCTTGAAAGAAAATCCAAATTCAGAATGATTTGCGGCAAGAATGCTGGTTTAAATACGAAAAACCATTGCCAGTGCCAGCGGAAGCGTGACTCTCAACTTTCAGAGTCTAGGTAACTCTCAACTTTCAGAGTCTAGGTAACTCTCAACTTTCAGAGTCTAGGTAACTCTCAACTTTCAAAGCCTCAACTTCTGTTTAAGTTTTGTCTAGTGTTTACTTGCTTGTTCAAACTTTGAGACACAAAATTCAGTATTTGAAGCACTTGTTTGAAGTCTAATCAATTGAATCAAATCAATCAATTACTTTGCATTGAACAGGCCCATAGATTGAGGCACCCATTTGTTGAATGTTGATGATCAGAGATCGATGAGTCACTTCTACAGGCTGAAATGGAAAATGTTAACGTGAAATAGTTATTGATTGCTTAATTCATTAAACTTTCTCAAGTTTCCACTCACTTTTGGAGCATTTGTTGTTCCAGAAGTGAAAAATATGATGTAAGGACTGCTTGTATTGGGTGCTTGAAGGGTGGAGTCGTGGATTGTTGGAGTTGTGTAGGGAACGTCTGAGTGATCGGAATCCTGTAAGACTCAAATAGTCTTTCGTTTTCAAATATTTCAGTTCATAGATCAGTCTCTATATCAGTCTTTATATCAGTCTTTATATCAGTCTTTATATCAGTCTTTATATCAGTCTTTATATCCGTCTTTATATCAGTCTTTATATCAGTCTTTATATCAGTTTTTAAACCAATCTACTAGCATTCATACAGTTTGTGGCTGTTTCTCGGTGTTGTCAGAAACCGGCGACAAGAGCTCTCCATTTGTCATTGAAATAGACTCATTCATTGTTGGAGATGAGGAGAGATCCACTTTACTGAAAGAGAGATCCATTTTACAAGAGTTAAGACGTAGAATCTTGTAAGAATCTTGTAAAGCCAGATATAAAAGTTCAGATTTTAAAGGCAAAGCTGAAAAAAACGTACATTAGCTTTTGACTAGAGGAGTTACGGAGGAGTGGCGGAGGTCTGAAAATGGCTCAATACTAGCTTTCAGCTCATGTATTAGCTCATGTATTAGCTTGCAATTAGTGCAATGATTAGATTTAAGATTAGAATTGCTGAACCTATGAATCTCCATCATGTTGCTCAAAAATTATTACTTGCTGCTTGGAGCGTGATATCCCCGTCTCTCAAAAGACAATGCATCACTTGACAGAATATCATCAAACGATTTCACGGCTTTGATCCGACCTTGTCCTCTCATTTGAGCTTTTCGACGGACGTCTTCAGCCTAAAAAATGTGAGATTCAGGATTTCAAAGCAGCTTATTATCTACTATATATAAAAGGGAAGTGTCTGTCCGTCCGTTCTCGGTTCTCGGCTCCCCAAGGGCCGATTTACATGTTTTTTTTAGTTTTTTTAGGCTTAGAATTCTATGTAGTTGTGCAGCTCCAATTTCGTTTTTTAAAAAGCAATAATCACGGCCCAACTGGGAGTCGAACCCGGGTTGTGTGAGCGTGGGCAAGGCTAAGCCAAGCCTAAGCCAAGCCTAAGCCAAGCCTAAGCCAAGCCTAAGCCAAGCCTAAGCCAAGCCTAAGCCAAGCCTAAGCCAAGCCTAAGCCAAGCCTAAGCCAAGCCTAAGCCAAGCCTAAGCCAAGCCTAAGCCAAGCCTAAGCCAAGCCTAAGCCAAGCCTAAGCCAAGCCTAAGCCAAGCCTAAGCCAAGCCTAAGCCAAGCGAGCTATTCACTGCGCTAAAGTTGAAAAGGCGAAAATAGCGAAGATTTACAAACGAAAATTAGCAAGCGAGTTATTTTGATATCTACTTATCTATATACTTTCAAAATTCCCTAAGCTCTAGTTGAATATCTTTTAATTTTGTGGAAAAATTCAAACAAAGGGGCAACTACGAAAGCTACGAAGCCCCGCCCCTTTTTTTGCGTAGATTATCCGTAGCTGCTCCTTTTGTTTGAAATTCCCCCACGAAACTAAAAGATATTCAGCTGAGTGGGCAAGGGAGACACTTTGAAAGTATACTGATCTACTTATCTACTATATATATGTTACGTCCGATATAGAAATCCGTCCGATCTAGACTGATTCTGGATCGGACGTTCGATCTAGAGTGAAGTGAGGTCAAATGTTCAATCTAGAATCAAGCCGATGACTCTAAATCGAAGTCTGGATCGGATGTCTGATTTAGAGTGATCGACTTGATTCTAGATCGGACGGATAAGACAGATAAGACACAGATTTCTAGATAAGACACAACAAGTATACAGGGTGTCTCAAAATATCCGGGCATTTTTTGGAAAAGCAGTTGTCGCACGCTTAATTTATTTCAAAATCTCAAGTGTTATGTAGAGAATTGTAGCCCTAAATCTTGGCTACATTTATCTACTAAAAACTCCCCAATCGGATGTATACAGCTCATTTAACAAAACCTTGAATAAGCATTAGTCGATCCCTATCCGACCCGCTGCCATTTTTTACAATTTTCTACATAAAAAATTGTTCGAAAAAGTTTTTGTCAATATTTATTCTATGCAGAATATCATTTAACATCATTCATAATATTAAAAATACCTTTCAATTGTTTTGGCTAACCGGTTATAAACAAAATCAAGCTGGTGACTAGCTTTCAAGCCAAAAAACCAGAATCAAGCCAGAAAAACCTGCCGTTAGGCCTAGAGAATCGTCGAAAATGGCAGCGCACAGGATAGGGATGACTAATGCTCATTTAAAGACTTGTTAAATGATCAATAATTGTTGTTAACACAAAAAGTTTGAATTAAATCACCTTTTGCAAGTAGACACCCTCGGCGATAAGATGCGTGGTATCGCTAGCGTCGACTAGTTGCCAGATTTCATCTAAAATCCCAGATTTCTCATCAGCTCTTCTATAACTGATTTAATTTGATATCTGATATCAGATAATTGATATCAGATTTGATATCAGTTTGATATCAGATATCAAAATGTTATTCTATGCTATTCTATGGCTCTTCAAAGATCGGTTACTGTATAGTTCCTATTTAATTCCTATTTGGTTACTGTATAGTTCCCATTTAGTTCCCACCAACAACTTGATGTCCATTCACAGCCACAGCTGTGCATCCAATTGATGAGCAAGCAAGGTGAATGAAAATCGTTTGACCAGTGGTCCCAGAAATGATTGCCACTCGAGATTTTTCAGTGACTCCCATTTCCTAAAAATATTTGTTGTTTATATTTATCTTTTATTATATTGGGTTGTCCAGTTATGAATGCGCGTTTTTTACTATTTTGTAAATTTCTCAAGTTACCGAAATCAAGAAAAAGATATATATGAGTATTATTCGAAAGCTGAAGATCTCCTCTACATTTTGATATAAAAACCTTTGGAATTTGTTCAGCTTTTGGGCAAATTGACTGCACAGAAGAAGAGGTGGCCAAAAAATGGAAGGGTGCCTTTGGATCAAGTTTTGGCTCCGCTCAAATTGAGTTAACCGTTTGATGTTTGGCCAATAGATATATCAATACAGCTTTTTTTAAAATATAACAATTTCAGAGCATCTTTACTTTTCTTTTCTTTTCTGGGCGGTTATTTTACAGCATAAAACTTGAGGAATAGCTAAACTGAAATGGGTTTTTTCGAAAACGACTTCTCCCTTTGTGCAGTCAATTTGCCCAAAAGCTGAACAAATTCCAAAGGTTTTTATATCAAAATGTAGAGGAGATCTTCAGCTTTCGAATGATATATAACACTCATATACATCTGTTCGATATCTTGAGAAATTTACAAAATAGTAAAAACGCGCATTCATAACTGGACAACCCAATATTTATCTTTTATATTTTAGATTATCTAAGTTATTTTAAAAGTTTACTCTCAATCTCTCAGCTGCCATTGTTACCCAGACTTTGATCTCCGAATAACGCCATTGTTTGTTTGTGTCGATATCGATCTAAATGCTTTTTTTTAATCATATAACCATTTTATTAACTAACCAAAGCCAAGTTTGAACCATGTGCCGTAATTTTGCTGAGAAAGAAGTCCAAGAAAGTTTGATATGGAAATCGATCCCATGGAATTTGGAAAGGGTTCTGCACCTCCATCTAAACAACAATCGGATTATGAAATCTTTACGAAAATGAAATTGTTATTCAATATTAATGCTAAGTCTATTAATGTTAAGTCAAATCTATAAGGAAAATGAAACGAGAACGAGAACGAAACTTTCAGGAAGTGTTTGGTTTGAAGAAACTCTTCCAATAGCTGTTTCTTGGTGTGCAGAAGAGGCCATATTTAGCAATGCAGTGTACCATGCATTCAAAGCTAAATATGGCCCATCGTCTCCGTTTTTTTTTGTGGAAAAGAGTTTTGTGGCTTTTTTTCAGAAGAAAAGTTTTTGGATGATCATCTCTCCATTTTTGATACTCATCATTTTCTGCACTCGCCCGCTTGTCAACTATAAAATGAAAAAATAGGGATCTTTCCCTGACTAGAATACTTTTCTGTTGTAAATAAAATTGTAAATGTATTGTAAATGTATTCTGTATTCTAAAGTATTCTAAATTCTAAACTATTCTAAAAATGAATGCCAAACTGAATAGCTCATTCAGATAGCTTTAGCTTCAGATTTAAGCTCGTTTTAGAAGCAGAAACTTTTCATTGTTTTAATCTGAACTATCATCGAATCAAAGAGAGCTATGATCGACTTTTATACACTTTTTATATACGAATTTCATCATATTTCCCTTTTTCTATTAGAATATTTCCTTTTAAACTCATTATTTTAGCTATTTTACGATCAAATTTCAAATTCTAATGACCCCGTGTTCCCATTCCATCACTTTATGACATTCCTTACTTTTCAATGCTTTTCGCCGGACCAAATTTTGATTGCTTTATGTTTTTGCATTTTAGTTTATGAAAAAGGAAACTTTGATATCGAGATTGGTTCAAATTTGGATTGTTGGCCGATGTCGGTGCTTTATGAGGAGAACAAAATCCGAGACGCATCTCGCTTGTTTTCGGGTTGATCGTTGGGTGATTGAAGGAGTTGAGGATTGCCTCAAGAATATCAAGTAAGCTTTAGATTACTTGATTAGATTACTTAGCTAGTCTAGCTTTAGATATCTTTAGCTGAATAACTTTCCTTATTGTCTTTACCTTTAGCCAAATAGCTTTAGTTGTTGTTTGAACTCTAGCTGAATAGCTTTAGATATTGTCTTTAACTTTAGCCGAATAGCTTTAGTTATTCTCTTTAACTTTAGCTGAATATCTTTAGATATTGTCTTTCAGACAGAATCCTAATCCTTGCATCTTTAAACCTTGAGTTAATCTATGAAAATACCAAATTTCAGACTCGACTCTCCAACCCAAGAAGAAGTCTTCACTGAAAGCTTGGACTCCTTAACCCCAATGTACTGCAAATAAAGAATTTCCATTTATTCACAAACAAACACAATCACATAAATGAATAAGTTCAAGAAAGCTCAAGTGAACTGGTTGTGTTGTCGAGTCAAACGATGACTTTTTGATGAAAGAGAAAAAGATGAAGGTTTTATCAAGTAGTCAACTAGACTCGGCAACCCCCAAGACAAGTGGAACACGGGGAATTGTTGTTTTAAAAAGAAACACAATATTTTTAAGCTTTTAAGATTTTAGACTTTTAGACTTTAGTTTCTGGGAGTAAAACGGGAATAACAACGCTTTTCGTATCGGATTGAGCCGGTCGGAAGGATCTGAATTTGATTGAATTTTCAAGAATAGCTTTAAAAACTATCAAATTTTGATTTCTGATGCTATAATTTATCGACTACCTGTGAATTTGATTCTGCGAGACGCGCACAAAGACTTTGTCATTAACAAATTTCTTGTCGTAACTCTTATTCTGCACAATGTAACCATCTTTCTCAGTTATGTCATCGGGCATGATCTAAAAGGAACCAAATTCTAGAGGCTATTAATAAATAAATGACTTTGATATTAGCTTCTTTGGTGAGTTTGAGAACAGCCGATGAAGGAGGCTCGTAGATAATATTCTTTTGAGGGACGAGCACATAGTCGATTGAGCCACCTTCCTGAAGAATAAGTGATAGCTTTGGATCTGTATTTTGCATTTTAAAATATGTTAAAGTCTAGTCTAGTCTACATTAAATCCTAATTTTCTGGTTTTCTAAAACTTTTCAACACAATACAAGTAGAGTTGATAAAAGAAAGGCTGTGCCTTTCCTCTTTGCATCGTGCTCGTGGTATGGTCGTAAGCGAGTGCTGGGCGGTGAAAGACGGTTGAAATAGTTGAAAAGAAAGAAAGAAAGAAAGAAAGAAAGAGAAAGCGATCCTTTATCACCGAAGAGACGCGAGACGACGCGACTGTGTGCACCTTTTATGTGACTCGTAGGAAAAAGCGGCTACTGGCCTACGACCTCTACACATACCGCGACAGAGATCTCCGACTTCGGTTTAATTACCCAAGTTTGAGGTTAGCATTAACCCCAAGACCTTGTAAAAGTGTCTTGAGAAAATTTTGGAACGCATCCCCGTGAAGGGGATGCACAAAGGGAATGCGAAAGTTGAAAGTGAAGTGGAGATGCCGTTTTTTCTTACGAGAGGCACGAAAGGTGCACAGAGTGGGTTCGCGTCTCTTCAGCAACGAAGGATCACTCGCTCTTTCACTATTTCAATCGGCTTCAACCCCCTACCACCCGCTTACGACCATACCACGTTGAAAACACGGCATCCCGTTCGATCTGCCAAGTTAAGCAACGTTGGACTCGGTTAGTATTTATTGCTGTTATTTTTATTTATTTAGTTTAGTTTATTTATTGATCGGAGCAAAAGAGCCCTTGTGAGCAAAAGTTCTTGATTTCCCTTACCGTTGAAAATCTTTATGAGCTCGTCAAGTAACCTCAAAAGTTATGGCAAATATTTAGCTAACAAGAGCATGTGACTAATAGTTTCTATCCATTTTCCTATCAAAAAGGAGATTCTTTCAACTTACCCTATCCACGAAGACTCTCCTCAATTTGAGCACTTTCCCACCAGCCGACCGAATCGCCTCAACGCCAGTGTGCTTGAATATGTGCTCACCGACTTGGATGCCCCTAAATGATCAATAATCTATCAAAAAGGATTTTGATACAGTTATTTATTGCAGTATTGTATTAGCTTGATGAATGTCTTTTCGTTTCTTTTCATATTTTCGTTGAAAAATTACAAATTCACCAATTCACCTTTCATTCATGATTCCAAAAAGACAGATGGACAAACAGACGGACAGACAGACAGACGGACAGACAGACAGTCGGGCAGACAGACGGACAGACAAACAGACGGACAGACAGACGTCTCTTTCTTTTGCTTTATATATAGTAGATAACGTAGCCTCTTTGCGCAACTTGTTTGATTGAAGATTTTGTGTTCTGTATTGGTATGAGCTAAAAGTTGTGCAAAGAAGCTACCCTTAGTTAGTTTTCTGCCGATTTTATAATGAGGTTGCTTTAGAATTTGTTTTTTAAATAAAATTAATCTTATTTGTGTAAATGAGAACATTAGTCATACCAAAGAGCACATTTTTCTATATTTTTTTACTGTTTTTAGAGCATTTCTTAGCATTATGAGGCAAAACCTCGATAAAAAAACGTTTTTCGAAATCCCTTGAGTTTTTTGTTAATTTATTGTAGTTCTAAACTGGCAATGAGCCTAAAAGCACTTACGATATGACAGCTCCTTTCGCATCTTCCATTCGACTGCCCAAATAGTGAATCTTTCTTATGTATTCGGTACCAGCCAAATCAATGCACATCGTGGCTCTGGAATCGAACAACAATATATTCTAGATTATTTGAAAGCAAAGATTTGAAGAATTAAACAACAAGGATCACTTGAAATAATGTTTTCAAAAGCTCATCTCAAGAAAAAGAAAACAAAATCATGACTACAGTATCAAATCACCCACAACGAGAGACCAAAAATGATATAAGCCATCGTGAAGAACATATACACCTGTTCAGTGGGCACAATGTCTCCAAAGCCTGAAAGAATTTTTCAATTAACAAATTTCAGCTGTCTTAAATCTCTCAAAAAAGAATTCCACCTTCTTTTTTTTCTTAAAGAAGAAAATCTGGGGATTATACTTTCTTCCATATTCCTCAACGATCACTCACCGACTGTGGCCATGGTGATAAAACAGAAATAGAAGGCCTCAAAGTATTCCATGTTCTCCCAATGTTGGAATAGAATGCCTCCAATTGCTGTGTAGGCTAATAGAACCAAAAGGACCATGAACACAGGAATGCGCAACTCGTCCTCCATTGAGGATTCTGGAAAGGAACAATTTAAGGGAAAAAGTTGTTTCTAATAATCCTTTTCTTCCAATAACCCTTTTCTTCAAAGTTTCAAGTTTCAATTTCAAAAGAAATAAAGCATAAACTGCATTTTCCCTAATGCACCCTGAGCGTCGTCTAAATTCACTTGATTACCGTATTCTCTCTAATAGTAGTGCACCCAGAGCGTCGTCTAAATTGATCCAAATCTCGAGAGCCGCTTATCAGAACCTATCGATGTGGGATCGGAGAATGTAGCTGACAACGAGATCTTGTGGGGGATTAGAGTGTTGAGCTTCTGCAAAAGCTTGGAAACCATAAAATCGGCAGCAACTCGGGGTGCACTACTATTGGGAAAAATATGATATTCAGTCCCTTTCTGTCCGGGGAAGATTAGCTTCTAAGTACCGTATTCTCTCTAATAGTAGTGCACCCTCAGCTTCGTCTAAATTTCTCGAAATCTCGAAAAGCGCTTATCAGAACCTATCGATGTGGGATCGGAGAATGTAGCTGACAACGAGATCTTGTGGGGGATTAGAGTGTTGAGCTTCTGCGAAAACTTGGAAGCCATTTTATCTCATAAACATTTTGTTGCTGAGTTTTTAGCTGGTTTCAGTGATTAAAACCAGTTATTTTGTCTTTAACAGTCTAACAAACAGTCTTTATCAAAGTATACGTAAATCAGAATTCTTTCTTAAAAATGCTGGCTCTGATTCGAACCTACGACTTAACAGTCTCTCGCTTTAGAAACAAACGCGTAACCCATTCGGCTATTCACAAAATTACGCTAAATTTCTTCTTGATTCTCGCGTTAGAAAACGCTTTACTCAAGATGTACACACTTTACTCTAAACCTGATTCCGATAAACTAACCTGATTCCGATTCAATATCATTGAGATTCATGCTCCCCGCATGACTCGTTTGATCACTGCTTCTCGATTGAGAACCCGATCGGTAGTGATGAGAGATTTTTCTTGACTGACGTCGAACCTAGATGTTACGTTGAATTATTGAATTTCGTCTATTGAACTAAAGCTAAACTAATTGTAAGTCAGAAAGCACTGAAACAGTGATATCCAGGGCTGTTCCCAGGGCCGATTTTCCAGGGCAGCTAAGAAAAGCCAAGCCAAAGCCAAGGTATTAGGCTAAATTCGATAATAAGGTTGAAATTCCAGGTCAAAGTCAATTGAAAGCCATTGGCTTTGACTTTGAGTTGGCTTTTGGCTTTTTTTGAACAGCCCTGTGATTGTTTGCCTAGATTTATATGCTACGTCCGTTATTGAATTTCGTCTGATTCAAAACCGGACGTCCGTTATTGAATCTATTCAATAACGGACGTCCAGTTCTGAATCGGCCGTCCAGTTCTGAATCGGCCGTCCAGTTCTGAATCGGCCGTCCAGTTCTGAATCGGCTGTCCAGTTCTGAATCGGCTGTCCAGTTCTGAATCGGCCGTCTAGTTCTGAATCGGCCGTCTGAATCTGAATCGTGAATAGAATCAATAGCGGACATAACACATAGATTTCTCTTTAGTTTAAAATTTTTCTTTTTTTTTTTCACTTCTCAAGCCTCACCTTCCTCTTGAATGCCCGATACGATCGATAGAGAAAGCTAAGAAACTCGGAAAGAAACTTTCCAATGTCAGCAATTGTCACCAAAAGCAATGGAATACCGATGAGCGCATAAAATATACAGCATATCCGACCGATTGTCGTTGTCGGCACGAGATTTCCATAGCCTAAACCAATTTTAACATTAATAAGCTCAAAAGACTAATTATAATTTTGCTTTTGGTTTAAAAATCATATCGGCCGCAAGCTGATCTTCATAAACAACTTACCAATTGTCGTGATGACTGTAGTTGCAAAGAAAACACTATTCGGGAAAGTCCACAGCAATTCTTCTCCTCTTGTCTCATTCAAAATATGCCTTGCTGTGATGTACTGATTGTGATAGCTGATAAAGGTGAAGTTGATCAGTTTTCGGAAATATTCCTGAAACTTTTGAACATGCTGATGATATTTTGAATCAACCTGATTGATGGTGTTGAACGCTTCTCTGGAAATCCGATTGTCCACATCTTGCGTTATGTTCCAAATGTGGTCCTTAAAGGGACAGATTTAATATATATATAAAAGAGCAGTGTCTGTCCGTCTGTCTGTCCGTCTGTCTGTCCGTCTGTCTGTCCGTCTGTCTCGTCTGTCTGTCTGTCCGTCTGTCTGTCTGTCTGTCTGTCTGTCTGTCTGTCTGTCTGTCTGTCTGTCCGTCTGTCCGTCGTTCTGTCCGTCTGTCTGTCTGTCTGTCTGTCCGTCCGTCTGTCTGTCTGTCTGTCTGTCTGTCTTCTGTCTGTCTGTCTGTCCGTCCGTCTGTCTGTCTGTCTGTCCGTCTGTCTGTCCGTCCGTCTCTTTCTGTTTTTCTTTTCGTCTGTCTGTCCGTCTCTTTTTCTGGCTGTTTGTTTGTCTCTGTCTGTCCGTCTGTCTGTCCGTCTGTCTATCTGTACGGGCATTTTCTCGGCCGTGTTTTGACCAATAAAACTAAAACCTCTTCAGAAAACCTTAGAATATATTGTAGTTGTGCCATTTAAAATAAAAAACTAAAAAGTCAAAATTCAGTGGCACCACGGGGGTCGAACCCGAATCCTGCGGGCCGTAGACAAGCGCACTCCTGACTGCGCAACGGCACTATGCGGCAGGCCCAAAAAATCCAGCTTTTTCGGCTAGTCTAAAGGAATATAACAGGATAATACCCAGACTTTTTAGTCCTGATAAGGTTGTTAAATCTGAAGGTCAACCAAAATTTCTTTAACCCTTTTATTCTGACTATTCACTAGCCAAAGGCTTGTTGGTTCAAAAATGGTATGATTACTTACTTGAAAATCCTGCCAAGTGCCCAGAATTCGATTCAGCTCAAACTCTCGTTGCTAAACAGTGAAATTTACTCAAAAGAGACCATTTTTTTCATTTTATAGCGAACTCGGCAATTTTTGAGAGTTCATTTGTGAAGTTTGTGTTTTTTAATTGAAGAGGTGGGCGGGAAAAACAACAATTATAGATCTGAATTGAAAATTTGAAGGGAGCATTTTGAAATAAACTTTGAAATGGATTAGCCACAATTCTGACAACTTGGCTGACAGGCTGACAACTTGTAATAAAAAAGGCTCTATTTCTGGAGCTGTTTTCTTGTTTCACAAATGGTATAAGAGTATAAGAATTGACCAGTTTGTATCCGAATTTCTTTCAAATAGTATAAATTGGCAGTTTGATCGGTAGCTTTTAAAAAAAACGCATTAATCAAGAATTGATCATTGATCAGCATTGATCAAGAGGGAAACATTCTAATCTTTATGATTACCACGAGTTCATTCGGTCCCTCCACCAAATAGAACATCGTCGCCCCACCCATGAGATATCCACACAACAGGACCACCAGCCCAACGTGCATTGCGGCTCGTTTTGCATATTGAAGAAATAACTGAATATCGTTTTATTTATTGGGTTGGTGAATTAAAAACTGCCAGCTATTGTCATATGTCACAGTTTGGGCACTTTCTTCAAAAGAAACCCATTTTAGTGCTAATGGAAAAGTTGTAGAGAATCAAAAATCAAGCTTGTCTCCAAATTTTCAGAACGATTCAAATGCTGGTTTTCAAGAAATGTCAAATTTACGAATTTTCAGAAAAGCTGCATTTTAAGCGAAACTACTAAGTGTATCTTTTTGGAAATTTGGCTACAAGCCTAATTTTTGATTCTCTACAACTTTTCTATTGACACCAAAATGGGTTTCTTTTGAAGAAAGTGCTCAAACTGGGCTGACAGCTGACATCTCCAGTCCTCCATTTTTGAGTCTCACACTTGTCTCACACACAAACCAAAATCCTACTACAAAAGATGAATCCGCAAATTGCCTGTAAAATGGGCAGAAGTCGTCAATAATAATGGAAAGTATTTCGGAATGAATTGATGGTTTTATGTTGAATAAATTTTAGTTCAAAGTCCCGCAGTTTTCAATTCACTAACCTAATAGTTTATTTGGTTTTGATTTAAATCTCTATACCCGTAATCGATTCCTAGATCTATTCGTAATCTATTTGTAATCTCAAAAGAGCACGTCAATTTCGTCAACAGCCGTCTTTTTTTCGTCTTTTTTGAGAGGCCGCGACCCCTCAATGAGAAGAAACGAGCAACAAAATCTTTTTACACCCCAAAATACCCATTATCTTGTCTTTTCAATCAAAAACTCTGAAAAAAAGTTGATTTTACTTTGCATCCTCGGTCTTCAGGTAGATCTAATTCGTCCTCGTCGTCGGAAATTGGGGGACCGGCCGCGGTTAGGTCCAATTCCATCGGGATTTCGTCCACCGAATCCGAGAGATTCGATGTGGATCCCTGAAATAATCGTTTTTTGTTCAAAGGAATTGTTTTTTCTTTGAATTGCTTTCAAAATAGACTACTGCCATATTCTGAACTAGACTTCTAACGAAAACATTTGTCGGTCCTTTTTTGCCGTTGGCAATTTAAGGTTTTTTGTGTTTTTCTCAGCACCAACCCTTCTGTTTTGACTATCATTCAATGCAGAATAAAATTGCGCGTCGAATGAGACAACAATCAACCCAAAATGTAATATCCATGGAGAGTTATGAGGTTTAAGTCCGCCCACAATGAGCGGGGTTTAGGTTTTTAGCCAATAACTTTGAGTGAATATTACATTTTGAGTTGATTTTTGTAGCATTCGACGCGCAATTTTATTCTGCATTGAATGATAGTCAAAATTGTCAAGATCGTAGGGTTGTTTGCTGAGAAAAACACGAAAAACCTTAAGTTGTCAACGGCAAAAAAAGGAGCGACAAATGTTTTCGTTACAAGTCTATTCTGAACAAACTAGTTTCACAGCCAGGATAAAATTTGGTGAATTGGGAAAGCACAAGCCTAGTAAACTCATACAGAACTTAAATTGAGCTCAGCATTGTACTAAATTTTCAAAAAAACTCGTTTGATAAGCTTTTTAAAGCTTTTTAAAGCTTTTACATGTCTTGTAAACTTTTTAAACTTTTTAAAACGCAACTCACCATGTCAAATACATCGTTGGTGTTCATTCTTCAAATAAAATTGAGTTACAAATGCAATTAGCCGATCAGCATAATGAAGAATCTTTAAACTATTTGAGTGAAAGAAATCTTTAACAATCACAGGTCGATTGTTGAGTGGAGATGAACCTGAAAGAATGGGAGAAATTGGGTAAAAAAGACAGCTGCTCCATCCATGGATCCCCTTGACACAAGCCAAGACAACAGAACCGAGCAAAGTCCCAAAAAATCTCTCGCGAAATGACGATTGAGACAACAAGACAACTAGCGACAATTTTAGCATCAGCTTCCGGGTTGGGAAATATTAGTTTTTGAGTAGTTTGGTCAACGAAAAACATGGAAAAACACTATACAGGGTGACCTGGTGCTCAATCGGCAACGTGTTCAGGCGAGCGAGATCTCAAAGCGCTTGAATGTCCCCAGAAGCCTCGTTTCTCGAACCATTCAAAGTTATGAAACTCTGGGCACAGGTTTTGATCACCCTGGAAGAGGTGCAAAACGAACAGCGGTTACTCCGGCTAATGTCAAGAAAGTGCGCGATCGTCTAAGATTAAACCCTAACCAATCGGCTCGAGGAATGGCACAGAAAATGGGTCTGAGGAGAAGCTCCGTCAACACAATCAAGAAAAAGCTGAAAATGAAGCCGTACAAGAAGAACAAATCTCAATTACTATCAGCTGCTGCGAAGGGCAAGCGAAAAGACCGATGTACCTAACTTTTGCAACGGTTCAACGGAATCGATCACCACGACATGCTGTTCACCGATGAAAAGATATTTACCGTTGAGGGAATTCTCGTTTTTCGTGTTTTTCTCAGCACCAACTCTTCTATTTTCAGCAAATTTGAATTTAATTGTTAATTTGTTACTGTTATATGTTGAATCAAGATATTTAAGTTGACTTTTTGAGATGGGTTGCATATTAAAAGCCAGGCCTTTTGTGTGTTGCGATAATTCTTGGTCACCCTGTACATTGACAACTTGAAGGAAAAAAGTGACACATGATTCAGCTCATTTCTTGAGCTACATTCTTGTAGACAGTTTTCAGATTCGTTAAATACAGGGAAACAGGAGCGACAAGAAGATCTTCACCAATCCTTCAACCAGAGCCTTCACTTACAATTAGCTTTGTCAACACTATTAGCTTTGTTAAAACATGACGATATTTTGGGCGTACGGTCGCGATGATGATATTTTAGGTCTCCTTAACTATCTTACTAATAATTTGGTGAAGATTCAAAGATAAACTAAACTATTATAGTCATTCGATAGCCCAGAATTTCCCCTTGAAAACTAGCACAAAGTTACTGAGAACTTTCTGCAAGCAAATAATACAGTCATGGACAAAAGTCTTTCGTGAAGGCGTTCGTGAAGTCGAAATTAAAGGGGAAACTATTCGGATCAAAAGTGGAGCTTTGGTACCTCATCCGTCGAGTCTGGACAACTATTGGACCCCAAATTTTACGTGATCTGGTTGACAGCATGCCAAGGAGAGTTCAAACAGTAATTGCGGCTCGCGGAGAATTCAAAAGGACACAAGGAGAATTCAAACAGTAATTGCGGCTCGCAGAGGACCTACTAAGGATTGATTTTCAGTATTGAAACAGTATTTTCATACTGTTTTTCTCACATTTTGTCCATCAAAAGACTTTTGTCCTTCAATTTTTGGCTCAATTGTTGTTTCATGAAAAAGTTCATGACACCTGATAAATTGTCAAATTGTCAAATTCTTTTTGCAATGTTAAAATTAGAGATAATAAGCTCTTTAAATCTTTTAACCATTTGAAAATTGGTCGGATTTGGATCAAGATATATTAGGTTGATGCATAAGTCTTTTTGTTCCTTTTCGTCTGCCGTTTCAAGCCAACAAATGCACCAATTAAACTACGGTTGATTTCATTAGAAAAACCAATTATTTTTCTGCAAAATAACATTAAAACGGGTTTAAAAATATTTTATGCCTGGATTTTCTTGAGAGTATGAAGTCGGGTAGTCAAAAAGGGCTAACTCGATGATGCGGTTTAGACATCTTAGCTAAAGAAAACCTATCTTCGTGTCAATAGATAAAAGATAGAGAGAAAAAAGTTTGATATTTCGCCAAAATTTCAGAGAAATTCATTCAGCCAATTTTTCCGGAGAGTTTTTTATAGATTTTTACGAAAAAGGCGCTTTTCACTCTCGAATTTGCTTGAAAGTGAACCGAAATTGATTTAAAAAGATGGAAATTGAACAAAAAAACACTTTTTTTATAGAGCAAACTATAGATTAATTGGTGAATTTGTTACTTTTTAACAGAAGTACGAAAAAAACGAAAAGACTTATGCATCAACCTATTACAAAGAACAAACTTCTAAAAACCAACGTTAAAAGACTTTTGTCCATGACTGTAGATAATTTTGTTCAAATGTAAGTCACTTACTGTGGCAATAGCAGTTGAATAGCTTGTACTGGTGTCAGACTGGCCCAAGTTTCAAGAAGGGGGTAAACAGTCTCCAGAAATCCGAAGCTCCAAGTAGGGACACTTGCCAAGACAAGTGGCAAGGCTTCGGGGTGATTTATTAGATATTGCCGTCTTTCCCATAAAGTCTCACGATCATCTAGTTGTAATCTAAAATTTTGTCATTGCACTAGTTATCGTAGCCTTAAAAAGACTAGTAAAAGTCCTTAAAAACTTGAGTTGACACCAAAAATAATCGTCATTAGGTTCGCCGGTGAGTCGTATTGTCGTAAATCTGTTAAATAACCAAAAGTGTTGGACAGGAAAACAACAAAATCTTAACCACAGGCTGTTCAATGTTTTTAAAAGCTATCGTGAGCAAGCTTCTAATATTTTTCAAAGAAAAACCATTATCCGCAATTACCGATCAGCCAAAAATTCAGCGAACTCCCCATGGAGAATTTTTATTCGAAAATTTTGTAGCCAGAAAGCTATAAATGGTTATTTTATGTCTAAAAATTCAAATTTTACAAGTTGGTCATCACTTTTTACAAGTTGTTCATCACTTTGTCAATCAGTATATAAGGTGCGTCATAATTACTCATAAACCTTCGATCTTTCAAGTTTTTTGCATGTTTCTTGTATTAATATGGGATTTTTATTGTTTAGGTTGACATTGGACAGTCGAACAGAATGGGGTTCTTGCCCATAAGGCTCATTTCGCCTAAGACTAGTGCCAACAGAATTTCCCGGCCTTCATCACGTTTAATCAATGGCTTTAGAGCCATTGATTTTGTCTCCCCAGCTCCCCAGATCTCAATCCTATGAATTTTTCTGTTTGGTCCGTCCTTGAGACAAAATCTTGTAAGAAACCCATAAAGAATCCATAAAAGCATCGATTCCTGCATCGACTTGAAGAAAGTCCCGCAAAAAGCTTGAGCAGACGTTGACATTACCTACTTGGATGCCACAGTAGACGCATTCCATCGCATCGGCATCGAGGAATCGGCCTGCTATAAAGCTGATGGAGATATTTTTGAAATTTATCGTATTATTAGTACTCTCTATTGTTCATTGGTTGACATTGGTCAGTCGAACAGAATGGGGTTCTCGCCCATAAGGCTCATTTTGCCTAAGACGATTCCTTTTCTATTCTTTTTTCCTAGATCTTTTAGAGTCGAAGATCTCACGAATTATTCTTCACCCGTCAACCCAGAGAGTTACCCGAAAAAAGTTGGAATTGAAAAGTGTACGTTAAAGAATGGAATAGTTTTAATATCTAACTGAGCTAGGAAACAGTTGCTATACGAATTTTTGACTAAAAAGCAATTCTGGAAGCTACTGGAACTGAAGCTGAAGCTCTACTGAAGCTCTAGTGACAATAGAATTTCCTGGACATTTTTTCAACCCCTCGAAATCGGATGGCAAAAAAAGTAGATAAGGGGGGACCACATGAATCAAAAAATTATTTTTTCTTAAAAACCACTTTGCCTAAAAGAGAAAGATCTAAAAAGTACAGAAAACGCGTTTAAAAGTGAAAGAATTTTCTTACCCAAACCCGGCGAGCCTTTTTCCAAAAAAATCCCTGTAGTCCCCCACATGAAATTTTTTCCAAAAACTTTTTCATTTTTTTGTAAAACTATTGGGTTGATGGAAAAGTCCTTTCGGATTTTTTGCGAGAGTACCTTAAATTTGTCTAATTTTGACGTTTTATAGCTCATCATAAAGCTGAATTCAAGACGGATCGATTGGTAAAAACCGTTTTGAGATATCTCTTTTCTAAATGTTTTTACAGCTATTTTAGTAAAGGGCGGCAGAGCCAAAAAATCCAATACAAAGCAATTTTTTCTAGAGTCACTAGATTATAATATTATAAACATAAAACTATATTTTGACACAAAACAGAATACAGAAAAGTTGATATTTAGAGAGCTAGAGACTGCCGTACTATTAGAGAGTGTCATACTAGAGAGAATACGATAAGCGTTATTTAAGTGTTGATTTAAATCTCCATAATAGTTGCTATGTATTAGATAAACATTGTTACAACAAAAATTTCAAGATTTTAACGACTCGGAAAATCTTTTCCCTTTGTTTTCGATTATGACGCACCTTGTACTATGAATTGTGTACTATGAATTGTGAATCGATCTGATTGATCGAATCTTTTGCCTGAGCATTGGGTCGCGTCCGTTTCCTTCCTATTTGCATTGCTATTTTGCAATTATTCGCGTCGCATTTTTTGTCCTTTTTCTCCCTTCCCGAAATTATTTTTTTTGGTCTGCGGGTTTTTGCCTTCTTTCTTGGGGGGCTTTGTTGTTTCATTTTTGATGCGCATGCTGTTTTTATAATGGGTATTGTTGCATTTCGGTTCTGTAATAATAAACAGTAACAGTAACGATTTCATGAGTTTCTTGCTGCCCCTACGGACCGAAATCCTTGGGATGAGTCCAAAAATTCACAGCGGCTCCCTTCAGCACCCTTTTACAGGCACTTGGGATCCCATCTCGACCGACGAAGAACTCGCCATAGTGGTCAAAATGAGCCGGAATTCGGTTGACCAATTCTACAGCCGGGGTTAGTTTTGGGAAGCGGTGACCACATGGGGCAGACAACGGATTGGTTACCGGATGACCCAAAATGGACGCTTCCGATTTGAGGGGTGAAAAGGGAGGTATATCTGGAAACATAGGATGCTAGAACGACCGCGATTGTGCTCGCGCACAGAGAACAACCTGGTTACCATTTGTTTCATACAGCTGTTTCACAATTTCATATCACAATTAGTTCTCACTGTTTTCAATTAGAAAACGCGTTTAAATACCTAGGTCGCGTCCGTTTCCTTCCTATTTGCGTTGCTATTTTGCAATTATTCGCGTCGCATTTTTTGTCCTTTTTCTCCCTTCCCGAAATTATTTTTTTTTGGTCTGCGGGTTTTTGCCTTCTTTCTTGGGGGACTTTGTTGTTTCATTTTTAATGCGCATGCTGTTTTTGCAATGGGTATTGTTGCATTTCGGTTTTGTACTAATAAACAGTAACGTTATAAATTCACTTTACTTTATGCTACCCTTCAGGTTTTAAATCCTGTTTAGATAACTGGTTTAACATCGCAGTAGAGAGACTGGTTTTACTAACATTCGTGTCACCATCGACGTAGTATCAATCCGATCCGCACTCTTCTCAAGAGTATTACTCTATTGTTGGATACTACGTGTTCTTGTTACGTTATAAGCGCTTTTGGGGAAATCCTTTTTAACCTTTTGTGCTATTCGGCCATTCTTAAGCAGAATCATCCTCGTTGATAAGGTCGCACCCAAACTACAGGGTGCGTCATAATTATTGCAACAAGGGTTCAAAGACCGTTTTCCAAACAGCTTTCTTATTTTTTTTGCCCCCTTTTTTGTTGTGTTGCGTTCTATCTTCTTTATTCTTGCCTAATTGCCTCCCGCTCACACGAAGAAGACGGTTCAGGACTGGTGTGTGGCCAACTTTCCCTCAGTGATCACCAAGGATGAATGGCCTCCAAACTCACCGGATCTCAATGTGATGGACTTTTCCATTTGGGCAATCTTAGAGGCTAATGTCTGCTCTTTGACCTTGAAGAAGTCTTTGACCAAAGGATGGAAGGCGACTCCTCAAGATGACATTCGGGCCGCAGTGGAGGCATATCCGAACCGAGTAAGGGCTGTTATCAAGGCAAAAGGCGGTCATATCGAATGATCTCTTGTTTCCTTATTTGTTACTGTTAAATAAAGCTATTTCTGTTTAAAAATCTTCTTCCAGTGAAACTTCTTGGTGTGCAATGCCTTGAGTATCTTGTTGCAATAATTATGACGCACCCTGTATTGCCCTATTATCCAGAAACACATCTAAATCCTCTGTTTTTATCTATTCTTTATTCAAAAAATTATATTTATTTTCGAATTTGTTGATCATTTTATATTCTCGACCCGGACACTAGACGTTGTATATGCAAAGAATGCGAGAAAAGCAAGAAATAAGAAAGAATAAGAAACCGAGAGAATTTCGGGGAAGATTTCGGGAAAGATAAAGACTACTGACATCAAAACCACACAAAATATAATTTTTTTTGTTCATTTCACAATCAGGTAGAGTTCTCACAAAAGTTGAAGAATCAAAGTTTTAGGTAAAACGAAAATGATTAATTTCTATCCGAAGATCTCGAGCCGGGAGTGGATGGAGTCGGTGAGGTAAGAAGAGAATGGATCACACGCAGTTTTTCGCTCCATTCCTGAAGAATTTTAGCATAGAAACTAACATAGTGAATTAACATAGTGAATTAACCTAATCGTAATGATAAAGATGCTAATTTTCTAAATAAATAAATATTGGGAATTGAAAACTGCCGGCTATTGTCACAGTTTGGGCACTTTCTTCAAAAGAAACCCATTTTAGTGTCAATGAAAAAGTTGTAGAGAATCAAAAATTAAGTTTATATCCAAATTTTCAAAACTATTCAAAAACTGGTTTTCAAGAAATGCCAAATTTACGAATTTTCACAAAACTTGCATTTTAAGCAAAACTACTAAGTGTATCTTTTTGGAAATTTGGCTATAAGCCTAATTTTTGATTCTCTACAACTTTTCCATTGACACCAAAATGGGTTTCTTTTGAAGAAAGTGCTCAAACTGGGCTGACAGCTGACATCTCCAGTCCTCCATTTTTGAGTCTCACACTTGTCTCACACACAAACCAAAATCCTACTACGAAAGAGGAATCCGCAAATTGCCTGTAAATTGGGCAGAAGTCGTCAATAATAATGGAAATTATTTGGAATGAATTTATGTTTTTATGTTGAATAAATTTTAGTTCAAAGGCCCGCAGTTTTCAATTCACCAACCCAATAACGATAGTATCTAAAAAACTCTAGTATTAGGTTGGTGAATAAATCTTTTCGTTCCTTTTCGTACTTCCGTTTAAAACCAACAAATGCACCAATTGAACTAGGGTTTATTTCATTAAAAAGATCAATAGTTTTTCTGCAAAATAACATTAAAACGGGTTTAAAATGCCTAATGTCTGGATTCTTTTGGGAGCGTGAAGTCAAGTAGTCAAAAACAACGACGGCTCGATGATGCGGACACTTTAGTTTTAGAAAAGACACACTGTAGCTAAGAAAACCTATCTTTATGTCAATAGATAAAAGATAGAGCACAAAAAGTTAGGTATATAGCCAAATTTTCAGAGAAATTGATTCATCCAATTTCTTCGTAGAGGTTTTTCTAGATTTTTATGAAATATTTTTGTTTTCACTCTCGAATTTGTTTGAAAGTGAATGCAAATTGACTTAAAAAGATGGAAATTGAACAGTAGGCACTTTTTATTCTGAGCAAATCATAGATTAATTGTTATTTTTTGACAGAAATACGAAAAAGAACGAAAAGACTTTCTGGAAAGCCATATACTTAAACATTTTTAGCATTTTTAGCAAGGTGCGCAAATGTCCGGGTGCGCAAGAAAAAGGTCGTATTTGTCCCATTCCCGCCCGAGTACCCCTTTAAGAGAATGACTTAACACCGTTACTTTCATTTTATCATTTTATATCATTTATCATTTTATAAAACTGCAAGTTTAAAGTTTCCAGTCAGCTTAACATTAGCCTCAATATCTCATTTGTATTAGACTCATTAGACTCATTTGTATTTGAATACAAATGTTAAACGAGAATCGTCAGCAGTGCGCTAATGGGGTAAGTGCGCAAAAAAAGGTCGCATTTGTCCCACTCCCACTCGGGCCGAAAGAAAGTCAATGTTAAATTGGGCACCTGTTTTTCACGTCTTCTTAAGTTTGATTTCCAACTTTTTAAAATTATTCGTTTAGAATGTAATGTTTTCTATTAAAAAACAAAAAATATTTAGGATTGCTGTTAAATTTAAGAAAGTACATGCAAAGGAAGAGAACGCAAGTGTTAAAATGCAATTGAGCGGAACATTTATCTACTTTTCGCCTAAATATTCACGTTTTAGGGTGGCGTGGGAAACAAAAATTGCGTTTTTCTTCATTTCTCGATCGAAAATCTTGTTTTTCATATAGGAAATAGTTGTAGAGGAGACTAAAATGCATGGAATAATATATAAATGATCGCGCTTCTTGAAAGACAACGTTTAAGCGAGAGTGGGCCTTAATTGTAATTGTTTATGATTCTGATTTTGATTCTGATTTTGATTTTCCTTCTGATTCTGACTCTAAAACCTTCTATCAAAGCTACCAGTTAACTCATTTATCTGCAGAGATGGTTTCCGTTGAGTCCTAGATAACTGAATACGTAGTTGATCTACGTATTCAGTTATCTAGCTGCTCAAAAATTTACCTGAGTCAGCTGATTCGTCAGACTTCCCATTGTGTCACAAATCGAGACATTGTAGACGGAGGCCTTCTCCATGTTGCTCGTTTTATAAAGCGCCGGATCTCGTCTCGCTTTCTCGTGACCAAGGAAATCACGATAGCGTTTCACTTCCTGAAATATAGAATTTTCATGATTTCATAACAATTTCAGAAATGCGTTTTTTTGAACACTCACGTCATGCAAATCATCCAAACGTCTGCTCACAGCCTCGAGTGATTTACGAGATTGATCGCATTCCTGAAAAACTTTCATCAAAAAACTAAAAAAACAACTTTTGCTTTTGACTTTCAACTTTTGCTTTTGACTTTCAACTTTTGCTTTCAACTTCCTCCATTTTTCAAAGTTTTTGTTAAGCCTGGGTATTAGAGTAGGCAGCGAATCCTATTCTTTTACCCAGAAACAAGCTTTTCAAGTTTGAATCCTTTCTTGTTTTTGTTTCCCAAGCGTTCAATGAATGGTTTTAGAATAGCTTTGAGCTTTGAATTTCAAAAGCTTTGAATTTCTTCAAATATCTTCCTGTTTCTATTCAAATCAAATCAACCAAATCTCTAAAGATTGGTCTCAAACTAAACCCAATCATCGAGATTGTTTTGGCAACGCATTTTTTTGTGAGAGTTCCGTTGTCGAGGATTTGAGGCTGGTTTTCGAAACAAATTGCCCCCCTGTCTCGTTTGCACACTTTTCTCCCATTCTTCTCTCATTCACGAAGGATCTCTTGCATTCCCTGGAGGCGATCAGTGGCCCCTCAATGCCCACTTCATTCCTTTTTTGGGAAAAATGGGGAAATCCTCTAGGGAACTTTGGGTCGATGGTTGGCTCTGTCTTGACTGCGAATCACGGACATTTTTTTTTCTGTGTCTTTGTGCTTTTCAAATGATAGCCTCGATGAAAGGCGACCGGATGCTGGAGGAGAGAAATTGAGGATCCACTTGATTGACAATGAGCAATTGAGTGGCGAGCACGAGTCTCTAAGTTTGCACACAGTGAACCCTCACAAATTGGTCTTGTTTTGGAAATGGGAAAGTGGCGTCAAGACTGGCTTAAAGCTAGAAAACTTTGTAAAAACTGGGAAACCGAGAAACAATGCTCAATCCGTTTGCCTTTTTGTCAGTAGCTTTGCCAGCTTTAAATTTATTGATACAGAAAAAGGATACAACGAATAATGTAATGAAAACAAATATATAACTTAACACACAACTCCCACTGCTCTAATACCCTTAAAGATATTGCAAAGAAAAATCGATAAATTTGGAAAGATTTTCTAGCTGCTGGAATTGAACCCGTGACCTGTGCCCGTGACCGCCCGACTAGGATACAAAACTCCTAACCACTCGGCCATGGCGGGACCGTCGTCCGCATCATCGGAAGCGCTATTACCGGGTTCTTTCAAAGCGGTTCGTATGGTTGCCATGGCCGACTGGCTAAGAGCCTTGTATCTGAGTCGGGAGGCCAAGGGTTCAATTCCGCCGGTTGGTTCTTTTTTCACCATACACTGTAAATGCTGTATTAGAATGAAATGCTGTTTTAGAATGACATGCTATTTTAGAATGACATGCTACTTTAGAATGACATGCTATTTTAGATTGACATGCTATTTTAGATTGACATGCTATTCTAGAATGATATGCTATTTTAGAATGATATGCTATTTTAGAATGATATGCTATATTAGAATGATATGCTATTTTAGAATGACATACTATTTTAGAATGACATGCCATTCTATTTTTCAACCCCACAAAATCGACCGATCCAAAAAGTAGGCAAGGGGGGACCACATGAATCAAAAATTTAGAATTTGTTAAAAACTATTTTAAATGATGGCCCTTGGTTCAAAAAGTACAAAAAACACGTTTTAAAGTGAAATTATCTTCTTGCCCGCGACTCCCTTTGAATTTCCAAAAAAAATCCATGTAGGGGACCCTTATGATTTTTTTTAAAAAAATTATTTTTCTATTTTTTCAAAAATAGCGTTTCAAATTTTACTGCCGATAAAATATTAGTAGGTTTTAGGCCTAGATCTATCCATAGAACCCCCACAAGAGGGGACTAAAGTCAAGATTTCGAGGGATCAGGGGGTGTCATTCTAATACAGCATTTACGGGATATGGATTTTTTTTCTTCCTTACGTTTAGAGCGTTGGGTGCTAGGAGCTGTGCGTGTGTATTTTTATGACATTATTCCTTGGCTTTCATCGATTTTTGTCGCAAACTTAACACGAAGCTTGTTATTTGTTACCCCAGAAGTTAAAAGGTCAAACGCTTTTTCCCTGAAAGCGGTAAAACTAATTACATTTCCTGGAGAAGAGGGCCATTGTCGATAATTGAACCACTCGAAGAAAAGGTTTCTGGCCTTTTTCTGAGATGAAAGAGACGAGGAACTCGAAAACGCAAACTCCCAACTCAAAACTCTTGACAGAGTTCAGTGGCTCTTTTAGACGGACTCCCCAAATCGAAATTTCATGGCAAACTGAAAGAAACGAAGAGAAAAAGCGCCCCGAGATGTCATCGGATTTCCGCGAGGCGAAAAATGCGAATATTCAGCTAGCGGGCTCCGCAAACTCCTCGATTTTGAGCAAACAAATCAAAAAAAATTCCCCTTTCCTTGGGGAGACAATTTTGGAAATGCGGGGTAGAAAATTGAAGTTTATACTAGGATTTTGGAGGTTAGGGTAGAGATTTTGTGCTGGATAAAGGTGTCTAAAGTTTGGGTAAGGAAATGAAAGAGGATTTTGGAGGAAAGGCTAAATTTAGAGTGGCTAAGGGATAAATTTGGACTGGTTCTTAGCCCTGAAGCAGTGAAATGGTTCTTTCTGATTGGTGGTTTTATTCACTGTGCCAAAATCAGCCAAAGAGTACATAGGTTAGCGCACCAGGGGATACTTTGAAGTTACATTTCAGGAGCGATCTGATCTGATTCTGTCTCAATCTGATCTGATTCAAACATCCCCTGGTTAAGGGCATCCCAAAACTTAAAATCCTACCTATCAAAAGCCGCTTTCGAGATATAAGCCTTCAAATTCTCGGCCAATTTTCGGCCAATTCCAATCCAAGCAGCAAGCTAACCGACTTAAGGAGTTCAGGAGTTCAAGCGGGCAACACTAGTCTATTGGATTGGATTTGTAGATTCTTCGTTACCCCTTTGAATTGTTAAAAAACAAATCCAAAAGCTGGATTAGTCCGGCACAGTCGGGAAGAGTAGTTCTCAAGGAAACATGTAGAGCCAAAGCCAAATCCAACTTTTTCTTTTTCAATGCACTGGCGTGACAGTAGCTGGCACTTGACCTGTCGAAATTGCGAACAACTTGGTCAATTAGTCTTCGATCTCATCCAATAAATCTAATCTCATCCAATAAATCCAATCTCATCCAATTTTCCCACCCACCAATGCCACAAAAACATTCACGCGATGATTTCATTTCAAGACTTTTCCCCATGTTTGCTCTGCACATTCCAACTTAAATCTAATTTAAATCAGAAATCTAACTTCCATTTCCACGACTTTCAAGACTAAAAAAGTCGCGAGTGGAAAAGGCGAAAATAGGCAAGAGCCAACTTTTGAACAATGGCAGAGTTAGGGCTGAGGGGATCCTCGAATCTCATGCCTCACCGCATAAACACGAGTGGCATACCAAGAAGAGAACTCTTGGGAAAGGGAAAAGCCGGCAGCTCGTGTTGGGATTCTTTAAAATGCACAACGCATCACTCAACATTTTCCCAACTGCTTTTTTTCTGGAAATTTTTCAAATCAAAGCTGAATGTTTTCGTAGATAAATATTGATTTCGGTTTCCTAATAATTGGTAAAAGAAATTGAATTTTCAACTCTACAGCTGATAAATTTATCTGTCTATCTGGCTTTTCTCAGCTTTTTTTTGTTTTCCGGTGATCCAGGAAGGGTTAAGAGTATTGGGTTACGAAAAGTGTAAAGCCAGAAAATCTTTTTGCACACAAAAACACATCAAAAATCTCTTTGCTTTTAGAAAAAAGCTTCAATTTCTTAAGCTTCAACTTTAAGCTTTAACTTTAAGCTTTAACTTTAAGCTTCAACTTTAAGCTACAACTCCTTTAAGCTTCAACTTTAAGCTTTAACTTTAAGCCTCAACTTTAAGCTTCAACTTTAAGCCTCAACTTTAAGCTTCAACTTCTTTAAGCTTCAACCTTTAAGCTTCAACTTTAAGCTTCAACTTTAAGCTTTAACTTTAAGCCTCAACTTTAAGCTTCAACTTTAAGCCTCAACTTTAAGCTTCAACTTCTTTAAGCTTCAACTTCTTTAAGCTTCAACTTTAAGCTTCAACTTTAAGCTTTAACTTTAAGCTTCCACTTTAAGCCTCAACTTCTTCTCTAAAACTTTAAAACTTTAAGAACCAACCTTGATAACTCGATCGACATGTCGTAACTGATCTTCTATAGTCACGCCGCTTGGCGTACCGTTATTCATTGGGGGCGGAATTTTGAAAAATGAGGTGAAGAGTCGAAAATAGAAACGAAAGAGTCTGAAGGCGAAGAATTCGTAAAGTTTTCAAAAGCTTCAGAAGTTTGTCGAAAAGGTTTGAGTAAGCTTTTGCGTTTGGGGAAAAGGAGTCAACAAGCACGTGTGTTGGACCCAAGGGGGTGGGCCCTAGGAGGGACCGAGAGGCTGAGAGGAGGACAGGGGGAGGGGCCAGATGATCACCCCAAGGACCTCCGTCTTTTAACAACAGAGAAACCTCTTTTGGTTAAAACCTCTCCAACGCTAGTCTTACTCTCGTATTTCTTTCGTTTCCCTAGTCAAGTTTTTCTCAGTTTTTCTGGAAATCAAGTGCCCGAACGCTGATAGTGAGAGAAAGCGAGACGAATATTCGATTCAGCAACTTTCGCCTCTTCTCTGTGAATACATAAACTTTGAGAGGTCGTTGCAAAAGGGAAATAAATCTCTGGTTATAATTGTTTTTAAGGGCACAAGGGTGCTCTTAAGTCAAGTACAAGGCAGATTAAATACAAGGCAGGTCAAGTACAAGGCAGGTTAAGTACAAGGCAGATTAAGAACAAGGCAGATTAAGTACCTTGTACTAGATCCAGAGTTGTTAGTAGCTCAGACCCAATATATTAAACCAAGTAGGCTACCAAGAAGTAACCAAGTAGGCTACTAACCAAGTACTAATCTTTATCCGAGCACAAGATCAGATCAGATCAGGCCTAGTACTGGGCCAAAGTATTGACCTAATACTTAATATCTAAGGCTAGTACTAGGCTAAATCAAGCACTAGGCAAAATAAGTACTAGTTCAAGTACTAGATCAAGTACAGATCTAAGACCAGACTCAGTACTAGGTGATAGATCTCAAACAGCTCTGGAGCTGATCTAAATCAGATCTGGATCAGATCTAGATCAGATCTGGATATAAATCAGATCTAGTGCATACTCTAGATCTAAACCTAGAAGACTAAAGCTTAACTTGTAAGAGCAAAAAGCAACAATGAAAGTAAGAAGTAAGAAGCAACAATGAAACATTATGTCAAAAGGCGTTTTAGAGCTGTTCCTCTGCCGTTTCTGATCCTAGAATATTAGCTTAAACAAAAACGGAAAAGGATCGTTGACCAAAATTAATAAAACTAGTAAAAGATTTGAACAGAAGCAGGTATAAGTTTTTGAGTATTTCTCTGGAGCCAGCAATTTATACGAGTGGAGGAGATCCATAAGTCTTTTCCTGTTTCCCCTAGGGAAAACTGCTCAATTACTGAGTCCACCCCTTTTTCCCTCCAATAACTATTGGCAATTATTCTTCTATTTTTGGTTTTACAATTATTGCAAATATTTATCAGCATGAAATAAACAAAATAAATTATTGGGAGACACGATTGAGGTGATCGCGATCAACTTGTGCGGGTGGCATCGAGACGACATCGGTGTCACAGACCTGAACTTTCAATTGAAATAAGTTAGAACAAGTAACAAGTATTAGGTGTGTGAAAAAGTAATCCACGTTTTTTATTTTTATCTGATGACCAAATAAGACGCTGTCTTCTCGAAAACCCTCGTTCAAACTCTTCAGAAATAGGTCTTACATTAAATTGTGATGGATCAACCGTAAGGAAACGCTTGAATGCCATGAATTTTATCAAAAAGTTGGACAAATGGATACCGCATGAACGATAACGCGCGACCACATGTCTCTTTACAGACTCGACAAAAAAATCCAGAGTGTTGGATGGGAGGTTTTACCACATCCACCTTATAGTCCAGACCTTTCTCCATCTGATTATTATTTATTTTTGTCTCTGTCTAACTTTTTGGCCAATAAACGATTCAATTCCGAAAAAGATGTCGAAACCGAGGTTGATCTTTTCTTCGCCTCTACGGACCAAGATTTTTATTATCGTGGAATGTCTTTACTTGTAGAACGTTGGCAAAAGGTTCTTCTTTCGAATGGTGATTACTTCGTTGAATAAAAATTATTTTAACGAAACTTATGGTCTTTTATATTTAAACGTTAAAAACGTGGATTACTTTTTCACACACCTAATATCAACAAGTAACAAGTAGCAACAAGTAACAAGCAACAACAAGTAAATAAAGAAGTATACTAGTTTTTCAATATCTTCTCCTCACTAACCGCTTCTCCATCTAATTGCTGAAGTCCAGTGTCAGACGGCGACTTTTCCGGTCGGCGGGCCGAGTGCTGCAAAAAGGGGAATTGAATTACGCGTAGCCTCGGGAAAAGACAATTACCATGTGTTTCTCATATTCTTTTCAAAGAAAAGAAACATTTCCACGTCATAAAGCTCACCAATTCATCGATATCCGAACTTTCGTTGCTCACATCTTCCTCCTCTTCTTCTGGGAAATACTCGTTCTCAGTGGCTGTCTTTTTGGACCAACCGCGGACTGAAATGAAAAGATAATTAATCGAAAAACTTTTTTCGGCAAAAGTAAGCTTTACTTAAAGCTCAGATCATTAAATATTCTACGATTTGATGTGTTTGACATCGAACATCGTCGAACAAAGATTATTTGCATTACCAGTCGTCATAATTTTACTTTAATGAAGCTTAGAAAGCTAGAAAGCTAATCTAGAAAAGCTTAGAAAGCCAGAAAGCTAGCCTAGAAAAGCTTAGAAAGCCAGAAAGCTAGTCTAGAAAGGCTTAGGAAGCTTATAAAGCATAGGAACAATCTTATTTGCTCTATAAAACTATTTTTATTCACCTTGATGTCCAACGGAATCTTGTCGCCTGAATTGTGCCGCTTTTTCAGTCTGAAGGACGGAATAATGATCGACGGTCGACTCATGAGGCATCAACTGGAAAAGGGAAAAGAGAAATTGATTTCCCCTCATGACTTATTCATGAAAGCCTATTTATGAAAAAAAGGGCAAAAGGATTTACCTGCATTGGGGCTCTGAAGAAGTAGAAATTCGGGTAGTGAACGAGGTTGAGACATGTGCTTGCATAGATGTCTGCGTATCTAAAATCGAGTAAATGATAGTGGAATTGTTTTAAAAGAAAACTGTTTTCTTAATATCTCTTACTAAAACGGGTTTCATTTAATTATTTACTGGAACTTTCTAAACCGCTTTCTCATTCAACAAAGAAACGATTTCGATCAAAACTAAACAAAAGAAAATTGATGAGAAATTCGATGTTGAATCTAGAAAAAGATTTCAACTAAAAGATTCAACTAAAGGTTCAAAGCTTGAACTATCGATTTATATAAGTCTTGAATCTAACCTTGTTCTGCTAATCGTTAACAAAGTTACTCACCTTAGTTACAGTAAGTTTGGCTTAAACTTTTAGGTCTAAAAAGTCGTTTAGGGTAAAGGGGTACTTTTAAACTTAAACTTAAACTTTTAACGTGTAGACTTCAACAAATAATTTAAAAAAGCTGAATCCTTTCAGAGTATCAGAAAAACTAAAGAATTATTGAAAAATTTAACACTTTTTGTAAACATTCAAAGTTTCCTAAGCTCCAGTTGAATATCTTTTAACTTTGTGAAAAAAATTTAAACAAATGGGGCAACTACGAAAGCTACGAAGCCTTGCCCCTTTTGCTTGAAAGTTCTCTAAGCTCTAGTTGAAAAATCGGGGCCTTGCCCCTTGCCCCAATTTTTCGTAGCTGCCCCTTTTGTTTGAAACGCCCCACGAAACTAGAAGATATTCAGCTGAGTGGGCAAGGGGAATACTTTGAAACTGTAATTTGTTCACATTTCAGAAAGCTACAGAAAGTTTTGCTCAGAAAGCATAAAATTGAGCTACAGAAAGCTCAGAAAGCATAAAATTCAATTCTACTATTCATTGCAAATACATAAGGAAACAGTTTTTTTAAAAAAAGCAAAGAAGTTTGATCAGAGTGGGACTCGAACTTGGTGACAGAATGTGACAGGTTCGGCAGTCTATCAGACTATCCACTAAACCATCAAGCAGTTGCTAGGGAAGCGTGTAAGGAATCAATAAGCGCTTCATAAGGAGCTCGAAATTCAAGCTGATTTTCAAGTCAAATATCTCGCGTTTGCAAAGCATTCTGCAAAAACTAAAAACGGATTCGAGATCCTCATAGTTGACTCTATACGATGGACTTGGTCTCGGTTCAAAAAGCCAGCTCAATGCCGTTTCGTTAATATCCTTTAATAGCTTTGATTGGTAATATCAAATCAACCCTTTTTAGACGGAAAACAAGACTTACCTCATCACTTGTGAGGCAAAGAACGTCGTTCTTGAACCGGATCTGAAGAGCGACCCGAGAACACCATATTCTTGATCCATTTCGTGTGAGATTTTCTAAAAGTTGTGAACTGGATTTGATTTGAAGTCGAATACAGCTTGAATAAAGCTTGAATAAAGCTTTATAAATTCTTTATCACAGTTGGAACCAGGGCAGATCAAAAACTTGTGCACGGCCGAGACTCGAGCCTGCGACCTTTCTCTTACCTGGCAACTGTGCTAACCATTACACCACAATCTTGATCCTTTGACCACTTGATCCCCTCACTCCAGAGGGATTAACGATATAGGATAGGATTAACTTCACGATTCACGACTCACTCGAATGCTTTGCAAAACACTGTGAATCTCTGGCTTCACTGTAGCCGAAGCATCCAGATTTTTGTAGATATCGGCGAGTTGATTGTCCAAACCACCAAGCTCTTCGAAAAGTGGTCTTCTGAATTTATTTGTTAAAATCGTAATCTATTTCTGACAAACCCCTCTGTCCAGACGGAGAGCTCGTGATCAAGTTCGGGAACCACCAAGAATGTTCTCCAACCACGCGTCTTCTTTGAACTAAACTACAACTAGCTAAAGATTAAAAGGCGACTCACCGTAAAACGTCACCGAAGATATGATCTCCCACATAGAGTACATCTTTGCCACGGGCTTTCACCATTTTCCTAAACGCTTCACAGCTTCCACCAGAGTAGATAACTCCTTCTCGCAATGGGCCGGTGTGAACTCCCAACTTGAGGGCTCCCGTCGATGGATCAACCTAAAATTGAAATTGAAATTAACCTTGATTTCATAAATGCTTTAGTTTTGATCTCGATGACCTTGTTTTAATCAGCAACTAGTAAAATTCATGCTTCATGCCGTTGTTCCAGATTGGGACATTTGACGCGCCCCCTTTGCCATTGGCAATCTAACTTTGAGCTCAAATATCTTGGTGTTGGGCTATTCAAATTAAATGGCTTTTATACTAATCGACAGAAAAAGACTTGGCGCATCTAATGATACCAAGAATTTAAATATTGGATTTAAAGATTTAAAGGATTTGATTTGAAGTCGAATACAGCTTGAATAAAGCTTGAATAAAGCTTTATAAATTCTTTATCACAGTTGGAACCAGGGCAGATCAAAAACTTGTGAACAAAAACAAAATACGGACCTTTTCCATTTATACGGATCTTGGTGTTGGGCTGTCCAATTAAAACAATTTCTGTACCAATCGACAGAGAAAGACTTGGCGCATCTAATGATACCAAGAATTTAAATATTGGACGGGCCAACGCCAAGATAATTGAGCTCATTAGATTGCCAATTTAGATTGCCAATGGCAAAGGGGCGGGGCGCGTATCAAATGCCCCACAATCTGAAAAAACGGTATGAAGCATGAATTTTACTAGTTGCCGTTTCAATCTTGATGTTGTAGATGTTCTAGATGTCTCAATATGGCAATTTGACTGTTTCAACCTCTCTGAATGTGGTCCCTTCAGCAAAGAAGCTCGGCTTTCTCGCATCGACGATCGTCAAGTGGAAAAATGAATTCCAATCCTTGCCAAGAATGTACGTCATTACTGCCTGAAAGGACAGGCTGAGTTTCTAGCAATGCGTCAAAAAAACAAACATTTGTATATTCATAGTCAGAATTTGTCAACAAGAACGTCTTCCTCCCGCTTTCTCTCATCCCACCGAGCATCTGAGCCGTTCTCGGGTCTTTCTTCACGTATTTTTCCAAATTCTCCATAATCGTGTACTTCATTGTCGACTGAAATCAAGAATTCAATATGTTTTCAAACTTTTCATTACACCAACGTTCATGTGAACCCAGTCGACAGCGTTTCGGAGATCCTGAAAGATCGATTTGTAGGACATCAACATGTCACCTCCTTTGATACCAGTCTTTTCCGCATTTCTGAAAAATTAATTAAAATTTCTATTTGTTTCATTGTTTGTTCTTTTTATCTCTGATCTCTATTTGCATATTGAGAATTTCGTTGAAATGACCATGTGATTGAGAGTGATTTTGGAAAAGGAAAAGGACATTCACGCGTCGATGAACAAGGAGAATCTTTCTAGACATTGGATCTTTCTTTCTTTCTAGGCATGATCCAATTATGGATGGGATTTCGTCATGTTTTGGTCTAGAATGCAAAAGAAAATAGCTATTAGGCTGCCCAGAAAGTCGAAAAGACTTTCTGAAGATTCTCAAAGCTTACAATCTCACTTGTTCGATCTCGAACATCTTTCAGGGTACTCTAAGATAGCTTGTCTCTTTCGGTACTCTACGATAGCTTGTGCAGATAAGATAGCAACTGTTAGCTAGGTTTAGAAACAAAATGAATTCAATTTTTAATGAAAATTTCTTTCCAAAACTATTTTACATCCATTTCATCGAACCGAACCATTTTTTCCTATTTTCCTTGATAAGAAAAGAAAGCTGTCTCTAAAAGAAAAAAGAAAAGAAAGCTGTCCCCAAAAATCCACGGTTCCCCATTCCCAAATTCATGTCGTAAACCCAGCCAAATCGCACGGTTTTCTGGCTACTCAGCTAGTCGTTATTGCTGTTTCTTTATCAGTTTCTTCGCCTTTTCCGACATTTTGGAGCGTTCAAGTCTGAGACCACCTTGAAGAGAAATCGAAGGGAAAAAAGGCATAGAAATGAATCAAAAATTTCAACAGAAAATTCTAGACTCTGTAGAAGCTTAAAAAGCTTAGAGAACTTACAGGGCTAGCTTAGAATTCTAATTCAACTGTATTCAAAATCATTAATCAAATCAAATAAAATCAAAATCAAAATCAAAATCAAAATCATTAAACAAAAATCATCAATCACTAGCAAACTATTGCAATTTTGCCCTTCAAATGACTCAGACTGGAAAACTATGGATCAATAAACTGTAATCGGAATTGATATGCAAACTTTGATAATTTGAGCCTTCAACTAAGTCCATAATTCATTTCCTTTATAGAATTTCCTTTATAGCGTTTCCTTTATCGAATGTCCTTTAGAGAATTCCCTTTATAGAATCTCCTTACTAAAACCCACTGTTTAAAATCCGGATGTTTATCAAAATAATCAACGAGTTGAGCGATGACATGCGTTTCGGGCAAATTGAAGAGCGTGTTGAGGACGAAAACTCGAGTCTCGGACAATTGGATGAACTTGTTTGGGTACATTTCCTCGATATCCTGCCTAAACGTGCATCATTTTTTTTTCAGCAAATCTAATCTCTGAGCTCAGAATTTGTCTTTCCCATTTTGCGTCCGGCAAAATAGCTGTCAATTTTGGATGCCAAAAACTCTGGCACCACCCGGCCTATCTCCAGATGATTTACAGCCTGTCATTCTGCAGAAATTTATGAAAAATTGGATATTTGATATATTAATTAGATGTTTAATATAAAGATTTGATATAAAGATTTGATATTTATGATAAAGAACATTGATCATTAGTCTTAGATTAAGATGTTAGAAGTATACTGTATTTTCCCTAATAGTAGTGCACCCTGAGCGTCGCCTAAATTGCTCGAAATCTCGAGAACCGCTTATCAGAACCTATCGATGTGGGGTGGGAAAATGTAGCTGACGATGAGATCTAGTGGGGGATTTGAGTGTTGAGCTTCTGCAAAAGCTTGGAAATCGTAAAATAGTCACCGACTCGGCTCGCCGGGGTGCACTACTATTAGAGAAAATACGGTAATTGCTTACGTTTTCAAGAATTTCAATCCGTGCATGCCCATCAGAATATTTCCGAAGCCATCGATCTAAATGGGACGTTGTTGCTTGGAAAACAGTTCAGGAAAGGAAATGTTTGGCAAAATAAGGCAAAATTGATGCTTGATAGTTAACGAGGGGGTCGAGCGATTCTCGGGGGAGGGGGCGAGTTTTTGGCCAACTTGCAGCTGATTTTTAAGCACTTTAAACTTATTAGATCAAGAACTTTTAATAAGATTTAGCTAGCTTAGAATGTCAGCTTTCAGAAACTATTTATCTCATCAAAAGTTATCAACAAAAACCTATCTAAAATCGGGTTGAAAGTTGGCCAAAAAATCCCCCGCCCTCGATAATCGACCGACCCTCCGATAACCGTAAAGATCCCGAAAATTAACTAAATTTCCATGAACTTACCTTCAGCAAATTCCCATACAAGTAATCAAACCAAAGACCTCGAACGGGGAAGATAGGATCGTATTTGAAAGACAGGATTTCCTGAGAACTTGATTGACACTGGAGTTGTTAATTTTTATGTGTCTATTTTTTTTTATGTGTCTTTTTGTTAAGGCTTAAACCGGTAATTAACAAATATCTTTGTTACGATTAGTAAGTGATTGTTTTGTTTGTTTTTTATCGTTTGTTTTGTTATATTGAAACAACCTTTGGATATCCAATGTGACACAGTCTCTGCAAGGTAAGATCGAAGGCAAGGATTTCCATTTCGGGAGATTTGTACTCTGAAATTTTGTTTTTCTGGTGATTTCAAATAAAAATTGACCAGCTCAAAACTTATTTGAACATTTTGAGCTAAAGTTTTCAGCAGAATTACCTGCAAGTGTGTAATCCATGTCGAAACCGAAGAACTTGATCTTTTCTAATCGAAGTGACCGGTTGACGAAGACCCTGGAAAAGAACTTGAATAGATAATATCATATTCTTAGCAAGTTTTTAGCCCAGTGAAATTGTTACTGTAAAGCTTTTCAATCCTTTTAACCCCTCAAAGGTTATTAGACATTTGATACGCGCCTCGCCCCTTTTGCCATTGGCAATCCAACTTTGAGCTGAAATATCTTGGTGTTGGATTGTCCAATTCAAATATTCTTTGTGTCATTAAATGCGCCAAGTCTTTCTCTGTCGATTGGTACAAAAACCATTTCAATTGGACAGCCCAGCACCAAGATATTTGAGATCAAAGTTGGATTGCCAATGGCAAAGGGGGCGGGGCGCGTATAAAAGGCCCCACAATCCCCTCAAAATTCACCGATGTTCGGGTGCTCGCTTGTGTTGAGCGATCTCCTCAATAGTCATCGCTAAAGAATCGCGGCTCAAATAAACAAGCCCAAAATCCAATGAAATAGAAAAAAACAAGAGACGAACAATGTCAATACGTGAGGTTTCTCCACGAAATGATTCCCAAATTTTGCACTTTGTCACTCTCAGCGACTCCGCCTCTTTTTGGGGGGAGATTTCTCCACTCTCGCTCACCACTTTGCCCCTTGTTCGTTTCCCATAGCTTATCGCCTGATAATTGCCGTTTTTGACCCTGTATCTTGAAAATACAAATGCCAATAAGCGTTTTTGCGTTAGTTTTCTGTTGCCAAATTGAGATTTTGATCGTTCTGCTCTGTTAGAGGCGCTCTGCCAGTGAACTAGTGAGTTCAGTGAGCTCTGCTAGTGAACTAGTGAGTTCATTGAGCTCTGCTAGTGAACTAGTGAGTTCAGTGAGCTCTGCTAGTGAGTTCAGTGCTCAGTGAGCTCTGTTAGTGAACTCAGTGCTCAGTGAACTTCAAACCAAGGTAACTACAGTTAAAATCTAAATCTTTAAGAAAATAGGAGATTTTGTATCTGTTAGTTTAATAATTTCTTAAAAGATTTGAAAAAACGATGATCTTTCCTTATTCTTCACCAAATTCAATCTCTCTTTTCCACTCACCGCTGCTCAGTGGCACGTTTGTACGGCTTTTGTGCAATTGAATCGGCTCGTTCCATTTCCTGCAAAAACAAAATTGGAAGAAAGAATCGAAACACTGAATCCAATGAAATCTCACAGAAAATCCTTAAATCCTGAAATCGCTGAAAAATCCACTAAAAATCGACTAATAAACGCTTTTTGGTGGGAAAATAGAGAACAGACAAACATTTTTGCGATCAGTCGATGAGCAAATTTGCTGAGGAAAGGAAAAAACTGTGAAAAAAAGGGAAAAGGACAAAAATATGACAAAAATAAAAACATGACTGTTCACGTGAAGGTGATGTGAGCGATTTTTGAGAGAAATTTGTTTTTTCTTAGTCAGCTTTTGTGATATGAATACAAATTCAACAAAGAGCTCAACAAGAATGTTTGTTCTGGCTTTGCCTTTCTCTTTAATCTCTTCGTTAACTATCAAAAAAAATTAAAAAGCAGATTGTTTTGAAACAAAAACATACAGAAAAACTGGAAATAGGGCAAAATTCTATTGTTTAAAGAAAGCTTTCTCATTTTTCGGACACTTTTCTTTTATTGGGTTGATGAATTGAAAACTCCATTAAGAATAGGGTTAGAGAGCCGCCTGTTCAAGGCTACGTTTTGCTTTCCACCCTGGCTACAGGCCTGCAATCCAGGAATCCATATACCCAAGCTATTGGGTTGGTGAATTGAAAACTGCGGGCTCCGGTCATATGTGACAGTTTGAGCACTTTCTTCAAAAGAAACCCATTTTCGTGTCAATGGAAAAGTTGTAGAGAAACAAAAATTAAGCTTATATCCAAATTTTCAGAACAATACAAAAACTGGTTTTCAAGAAATGCCAAATTTACGAATTTTCACAAAACTTGCAACAAAATTTGCATCTTAAGCGAAACTACTAAGTGTATCTTTTTGGAAATTTGGCTATAAGCCTAATTTTTGATTCTCTACAACTTTTCTATTGACACCAAAATGGGTTTCTTTTGAAGAAAGTGCTCAAACTGGGCTGACAGCTGACATCTCCAGTCCTCCATTTTTGAGTCTCACACTTGTCTCACACACAAACCAAAATCCTACTACGAAAGAGGAATCCGGAAATTGCCTGTAAAATGGGTAGAAGTCGTCAATAATAATGGAAATTATTTGGAATGAATTCATAGTTTTATGTTGAATAAATTTTAGTTCAAATCCGGCAGTTTTCAATTCATTTCAATTATTTAGCTTGCTTTCCTTTCCTACTTTTCCTACTCAAAACACAAATATTATTCAACTAGAAAGCTTAAAATTAATCTAACAACAGAAAAAGTTTGTTTAAAGAAAGATTTTTAAGGCTAGAGTCGGATCAAGAAGTGTCATAAAACGGAGCCACATTTGGAGAAAGGAAGAAAACGGAGAACATTTGAAGATGGGAAGAGAACTTCGATCAAATAGACACACTCCTCTTCTCTTCGCGAACCGGATTGATAACGATTCACAGATTTGGCTGTGGGATCGTTGAGAAAATAAACAAATAAGGTTTTTGAATAAATATTATTGTAAAGTGTAAGGCTGGTTATTCAAAAAGATTATTTAAATAAGAAAAGAGGTTGAAGTTAGCTTGGAGGTTTAGAAAAGAATTACATTTTACAGTTTAGGAAAGAATTACATTCAGTAAACTTTACAGAGCCAATATTTCTAGATAAAATGAATATCTAAATGGGCTAGCTTCGGATAATATAGATTTTGTCGCAAAATCGTTCATAGGTGATGAGTTGCTATGACGCCTTTCCCCTTCAAACAAAACTACGCAAGTGATGAGTTTATTTTTGTTATTCGAGAGAAAAAGAATGATATTAGTATATTTATCTGTAGCTGACTATTTCAAAATTGAAAAGTGATGTCTTCGAATCAAAAAAAACTTGGCTTAAACCAAGCTGAACGAATTGTGATTAAAGGATTAAGATGGATTTGTGGAGGAAGGGGGTTAGCTTTATTTAACAAAAATTATAGACTAATTCGTTCAGAAATTGTTCGATAAATGGTTCTGCCAGAAATTGTTCTGTAAATCAATTTTTAAAACAAAAAAGCGCCTAGGACCGACAAAGCAAATGATTTTAAAAAGCTTTTAAAGCATTTGACTAAATGTTTTCTTTTAGAGCATTCAAAAATCCTGAAAAATAGCTCAAAAGTATTTATTTAATAATTGGATCGATTAGGGTCAGTAAACAAAAGTTTTGGAGAAACAAACACATGATGAAATTCAATTGAAAATATAACGGGGAAAGGGGGAGGCGAGGGATGATTCGTAAAGCCGTCCTTTCGTGGAGATCGGGTGGGGATAAAGCACGAGAAAAGGGGGCAATAGAGAGTTTTGGGAAAAGAAAAGAGAAAGAGGAAAAGACACGTCGATATGTTGGGAAGAAGGTGGAATGGGTAGAGAGAAAGACAAGAGAATGGAAGGGGGAATGGCCAGCTGGGCAATGGAGAGGCCGACTCACACAAGGATGGAACGGACTCGTGCCTAACCCTTTGGGAGTTCTGTCTAGGACATGGGAATAGGTGTCTTCGACTCTTTGACTGTCTTTGACTTGAAAGACAATCTGAGGTAAATCAGTTGTTGCTAAAAAGCTTAAGACAGATAAAAATAAGACACTCTTCTTCGTTGATTAAACAATCAACGAAGAAGTCAATGCTTGGAAAAGTTGATCTGATAGTGAGAGGCTTAGTCTGAGCCTGAGCCTAAGCCTGACCTAAGCCTGAGCCTAAGCCTGGCCTGGGCCTGGCCTGAGCCTGAGCCTAAGCCTGAGCCTGAGACTGAGCCTAAGCCTAGTGGCAAAGTTTAGTCGACAAATGTTACTTTAACAACCTTTATTTCAGTTTTCGCTTACGGAGTACTGTTTTTACCAGATGTTGTTGTTTCAAATTCAAATTTCTACTGCAAGGTCACAGCTTATGTACCTTTGCACCAACCAACGCACAGTCTGCTTATCTTTGCACCGTTCAGATTTTCTAATTTATACTCTTTAAAGCGATTTGCCATGTCTAACGTTTTTAAATAACCAGTCAAGTAGTGGCAATGTTCAACCACGACACCGAACAAGACAACAGCCGAATCCATCAGTCGACCACTGCCACAACTACAACCAATACTACGACGACTAGAACCAAATTTAAGCTTCAGTGTTGGACCCAGTGTTTAAAAACAGACACAAAACTCAGAGTTCTTACGGGTTATACCCCACGTCAATTATTTGTATCCAAAATATGGGACAAATGACTCAAGATCAGCATAAATTAGAGATTTTGCTTGGAAATACAACCAACAAATTCCGCCAATCGGTTCCTCGACTCCGAAAACCCCTGAGTACAAACTTTTAGCTTCAAATCTCAACTGAGCAATGTTTACTGAACCAAAGAATTCTTTTGTAAGAGTGCTCTTTGTGCGACGCTCGTTGTCTGGTACAAACAGGTTTGCATATGATATGATGAATTGACTAAAATTCGGTCCTAAAATCTGAAGTAATTTTCACTTGTTGTAAACTTTTTCCTTTTTGAACTCAGCCAAATAAATGGCTTACACGCTATCTTTGTTTTTGTCAAAATTTAACGAATTTTCATACACTTGCATCGCATAAATCTTTGGAGGGCAAAGGCGCATCTTCTGACACAAAAATGAGTCCGATCCGTCATAGTATGGCTGAGTGACGGCTAAAAAAGGAAATCACTTAATGGGGTGTGGTGTTCTTTGTGCGGGCACACAATCACTTTCTGGCAGAGGGTCTTTACAGATAGGGACCCTTTTCGCTCTTCGCTCGCCTTTGTGTCCACTCGCACATTGGTCCATCTGGTTGCACGAGCATAAACGATTTTTGGAGACAGAGTTTGTAGAAGCTTGCTTCTCGTTTAGTCGGTGCCTAACCCAGTGATGGAAGGCGGCGCCCGGAGCCATGGGCTGTCCCGGGTCGATTGTACGAATAGCCCCGAGCAGCATAAAGCCGAAAGGTTGACCGAAAGGATGTTGTGGAATGACCCACAGTTTCCCGTGAGGGATACCGCTGAAGTTCGTGGAATCGCTACTATTTCGCACTGCCACCCGTGGAGGGAGGCAGGGTGGTCTGTTGCTCGTAACCGGATTACAATTATGCTCCCTTTGGGCTCCGGCTTCCGTCAGCTGTCCGCTACTCGACAGTCGTCTAGATGGCGGAAGTTTGGACACTCCATTGGAGGAACCGTGAGGTTCTTAAACCGACTGGGGATCAGATCAATCCCTTTTAGCATCAACAAAGTGTAACTTCGGAGCATTCTCCTACTTACGCTGCGCGCACCTTAGCAAGCTGAGCATTCTTTGTCGGTGCCATCGCCAAGGACCAGACGTGGACCTCGGATCCCAAGAGTCTTCGGACTACAGGGTGGCGGAGTGCGAAGTTCAGCCACCTCCTCGTGGTGCACTTCCTGGAAACAGGAAGTGGCGAAGTGCTGAACGAAAAAGGGAAAGAACTTTTGGAAAGTTCGAAAACTTTGCAAAACTTGAACAAAGACAAGTAAACAACAAAACAAAATTTGATCTCAAAGTTGGCCTTCCAAATAGGATTCTCGGAGTTTGGGAACCTTTCTATTTCACTATTTCCTTTCTATTTCTATGATCCTCATTGAATTTGGTTATAGAAAAGTAGAATTTGTTTTCTATACGGGGATAAGAACATGGAGGAAATTTGTGTCAAAGTTGAACTACCTACCTGTACTTACTTAATGTACTTAAAGATCTGTAAGATGTGCAAGATTTGAGAAACTCAATTCACAAAAAGAGCTCTTAAAAAAGCTGCTGTTTAAAGGTTTTCAAGACGAGTTTGAAAAAGTTTAAATTGGAAAACATAAGCTACAAAGAAGAGATTAGATATTGCTTGAGAATTTAGAACCATCCTTCAATGGGAAGTGTATTGAAATGATTGATTCTAGATTGATTTTGTACAAGAAAAACAAGAAAACTAACACTGTCAATCGATTCCTCAACCCCGAAAACCCCAATACAATTCTTCTGTTCAAAAATTCGAAGTTTTTGAACTTTAAAATGCAATAAAGAAGATCGGCGGGTTGTTCTCTGTGCGCGAGCACAATCGCGCTCTTTCTAGCATCCTTTCTTTCCAGATATAGTTGCCTTTTCACCTCTCAAATCGGAAGCGTCCATTTTGGGTCATCCGGTAACCAATCCGTTGTCTGCCCCATGTGGTCACCGCTTCCCAAAACTAACCTCGGTTGTAGAATTGGTGAACCCAATTCCGGCTCATTTTGACCACTATGGCGAGTTCTTCGTCGGTCGAGATGGGATCCCAAGTGCCTGTAAAAGGGTGCTGAAGGGAGCCGCTGTGAATTTTGGATTCATCCCAAGGATTTCGGTCCGTAGGGGCAGCAAGAAACTCATGAAACAAAACGAGTAAACGGGCTCAGGGATTGGAAAATACCAGAGATGATTTTGACCTAAAATCGAAGGCCTAAAATGGCCTAAATGGTCTTTTTCGAAAAACAGAAGCTCTAGAAGACGAATAAACAAAAAGGGTTCCTTTATGTTATTTTCGTATAACTTTAATTGGCGGCATTTTCTAACGGAAAACCCGGGCATGGCTATTACCAGAAACACAGAAAATACTCATTTTTGACCTTTCAACTTAAAAGTTGTGATCTGCGCAAAGAGGAACTAAGCGAAGACAGATAAAAAAAATATATAGACAAGCAACTATTATCTAGATTATCCAAAAACATACCGCAATAAGGATATTAAACAAAAATTTATTAGCAACAAAACAAGCAGCTCAATTAAAATAGTGTCCATTATTTTGGATAACAGAAGATATCTGTCCTTTCATTGAGTCGGAAAGGAAATCCGGTACCCATTGACCGTTCGGTCGGTTTAAATCGGTTTATAACCCAATTCATGCAGATGGTTAATGATTGCTGTTTGTGAGAAGCCAGTTGCATCTGCAATTAAAGAATTTCTTCATTTTTCGATTGAGTGGGCCTCTGCGCACATTCGTCTTCTTGAAAGGAATTGTCAATTTCTGAACTTGGCGAACTGAATTGTGTTTTGAGAAGGAGCTTCTTGACGTTTTCGAGATTTTTCTGGGCTACAAACCAAGAAAATCCTTTTTTGAACTCATATAACATAACGTGTCTCAGATGTCCTGGTGGAAGATCTGGGGTAGCCTTTGAATAAAGAAATCAATTAAAAAAGTGGAACGAATGTTTCAGCGCAAATGAAAAATTTTCTGAAACGGGACTGATAAGCCTAGCTTTTGAACATCTACACTCCGCGGTGTTCTGTTTACTTAAATAAATATTTCGCAAGTCCAAACCCTTTCTCAAGACTTTGTGTTAGCCCTAATAATTTATATCTTCATGAGTTGATTGATTTCCGTGACTTTTGCTGCCCCTACGGACCGAAATCCTTGGGATGAAACCAAAAATGCACCTTGCACACCCTATACGGGCACTTATTTCCAAAAATAAAAAGATTGCAAGCCTCAGATGTACACTGTACACTGTACATTGTACAATGTTGGACACTGTTCGAAAGCCCTGAATCTCCTCTACAAAATAGTGCAAAAAGATTTTGAATTAAATTGATTATTGAAGGCTTGGATGACCTTTAAGTTGAAAGGCCAAAAATGACTATTTTCTGTGTTTCTGGTAATAGCCATGCCCGGGGTTTCCGTTAGAAAATGCCGCCAATTAAAGTTATATGACACTAACATAAAAGAATTCTTTTTGTTTCTTCGTCTTCTAGAGCTTCTGTTTTTCGGAAAAGTTTCATTTTAGACTATTTTAAGCCACAAACGGCTATTTTAGGTTTTGATTTTAGGCCAAAATCATCTCTGGTATTTTCCAATCCTTGAGTCCGTTTACTCGTTTTGTTTCATGAGTTTCTTGCTGCCCCTACGGACCGAAATCCTTGGGATGAATCCAAAAATTCACAGCGGCTCCCTTCAGCACCCTTTTACAGGCACTTGGGATCCCATCTCGACCGACGAAGAACTCGCCATAGTGGTCAAAATGAGCCGGAATTGGGTTGACCAATTCTACAGCCGGGGTTAGTTTTGGGAAGCGGTGACCACATGGGGCAGACAACGGATTGGTTACTGGATGACCCAAAATGGACGCTTCCGATTTGAGAGATGAAAAGGCAACTATATCTGGAAAGATAGGATGCTAGAAAGAGCGCGATTGTGCTCGCGCACAGAGAACAACCAGGTTACCATTTGTTTCATATATGTTTCATACCACTGTTTCAAAAGGAAAGGCGGCAAAATAGCGAGCATCGTCGATCAAAACTGAAAAAAAATATAAATGGTGAATCAGAGTTGGAAAGTGTGTTGAAAATTACAATTTTAGCGCAAATAATAAGTTGCGCAAATAGTTTGGCGCTTTTGCTAGTACCTCTACGTTTCATGGCATTGGCTTAAGAAGTAAGATCTATTCTTTTTGCAAAGAAGACTTTGACATTGAGCTTTTAGTTGACTTGTTGAACCAAAGTTGTTCAACAAGTCAGCTAAAAGCTCAATTGGCTAAAAAATGATAAGAATGATAAGATTGGGGGGAGAAAATGACCTCTAGTAGCTTGGAAAGAAAAGAGCAAACATTTCAAATCAATTCTTTCATTGAATCTAAAAATTATTCTTTCAAAGTATAAATTGGTTTTCAATGTGTCTGGCTTTCAATGGCTTTCAATAATGAGTGTCTTCTTTAAAAAAGATCCCATCAATTCGCGATTTCTCACCATCGAAATTCGAGTTCCAGGGGAAGATGGTAAGAAAGTTAGACGAAAAACAGATAAAAACATAGAGAAAATTAGTGTCAAAGTTGACTTTCTAAAGTAGAGGGCATACTAGTATGTCCTATACTAGTATACCCTATCAGAGTTTGGGGACTCTTCGATTTTTCTCCATAACTCGACTTCCAATTGACAGATCGACTCGGGGTTGGTTTTAAATTGTTCCAATCTATTTTGAACTGCTTAAATTTTCGAATCGACTTACTCCAGATGCTTTAGAGATTTGAACTTTTCACTTTCCGCTCTATCTTTTTTACAAAATTTACGTTTTAAGTGGACTTCTCACCGGATGACTTTCAGAAGATGCTTGCCTCAAAAACGACAAGTGTCAACGATGAAAAAAGCATCAGACTCGATTTCAAAAGTACTCATTAAATTTGAAATTCAGGAATTAATGCATTTTAGTTGAGCAACGAACTACGAAAGTCTCTCGTTTTTGGCACCAATACAGATTACAGTTTCTGTGCTTCATGATTGCTTGGACACTGATCGAGGTGAGGTAAAACCTGCAACTTTGTAAGTATTAGTGTTATAGTTAACCTCTAGTACTACAGGGTCTAGTACTACAGGCCTCTAGTACTACAGGCCTCTAGTACTACAGGCCTCTAGTACTACAGGCCTCTAGTACTACAGGCCTCTAGTACTACAGGCCTCTAGTACTACAGGCCTCTAGTACTACAGGCCTCTAGTAATACGGGCCTCTAGTAATACGGGCCTCTAGTAATACGGGCCTCTAGTAATACGGGCCTCTAGTAATACGGGCCCCCATAGTTTTCCAATCGGATCGAATCTGATCTACTGAAAAGCCTAATAGTAAAGCTACAGCCGTTACCAGTTGCCAGTAAAGTTGCCAGTCCTTTCAACGTCAATTTCAGCTCTTCTTGATTCGAAACACTTTCACCGACAACCATGACTGTCGATATTCATGGAGACCCTACCGAGATTTCATCGAAAACCCGACAAGACGATCCGAGATTCTAGCAATCATCTTTTTTTCCATTCTCACTTCACCGCCCTTCTTCCTTGTTCTCATGTTGACTCTTTTATTGCTTGTAGTTGAAAATTGCCTAAAATCCTTCCTTCCCAGCACTGCTGACTTCTTCACTCGCTTCGCTGTTTGCATTTGTTCATCAATTCTCCTAGTCTTCTATCTCTTTTACCCATCTCTTCAGTTTGAAGAGGCATTCATCTATTTGAACATCTATGATTGTCATCAAAAGTATAGAATTTTCAATTTCGGTTTGATTTTCTTTATCAGTTCTGTTCTCTGCCTTTTGTGGATGCTTCATGGAATTCTCCAAATCGTACAAAAAGTAATCCCAATTACCAATGTTTCCGCGAAACTCCTTCTTAATGTGTTTTCGGTTTTTGTTTCATTTTGTCTAACCATTGTCTTTGTGTGCATTTTTGATAGTTTATGCTTTAGTTCTTGGATGAGTTGCAGAGGATGAGCGATCATCTAAGCAGCGATCATCTAAGCAGCGATCATCTAAGCAGCGATCATCTAAGCAGCGATCATCTAAGCAGCGATCATCTAAGCAGCGATCATCTAAGCAGCGATCATCTAAGCAGCGATCATCTAAGCAGCGATCATCTAAGCAGCGATCATCTAAGCAGCGATCATCTAAGCAGCGATTATCTAAGCAGCGATCACCTAAGCAGCGATCATCTAAGCAGCGATCATCTAAGCAGCGATCATCTCTGTACTTGCTAATCAATATGAATGCTGTCATTTATTCTTGAACACTTATCACAATTTTAATTCAATCTCAATAAATCTCAGGAAAGAGATAATGAAAGATCCATCGATCAATAAATGAATCACTTGAAACCCAAAGTCTAACTGATCAAAGGAAAGAAAGCGAACTAATAATGAGAGAGCACCAGAAAAACTGAATTGAAACTGAATTACAACTGATCAAATTTATTATGATTAGCTGAAATGAATGTTCTTGAAAGGTTAAAGATAATTGAAATAACAAAACCGGGATAGTGAAATGTAGAGAAGATTTTAGCGGTATGTTCGGTGGTAATCGTCCATGTAGGAATAGTTCGGGTAACCACTGAAAATTGAGACTTGATAGCTTTTGATTTTGAGCTTTTCTGAAATATTTTTGACTTAACATTTACAAATTAATTGGCAATTGTTTTTCTGAGGTTTAGGTTCTTTTCTGGCTAGGGAAAGGCACCAGATCAAGGTGATCTTTTAATACGAGAACCACAGGGCTTTATAGAATCGGCCATGCTGATTTTATTTTAAAAGGGGTAAAAAGGGTTATTAAAGAAATATTAAATTATTAATATTAAATTTGGGTTTTTATTTTAAATTTTTAAATTATAGGGGGGGGGGGGGGGAGGGGGGAAAAGAGCCATCGGCTTTGTAGAATATGCTTTTACTTTTTCCAAAGGAGCTCTGTAACACGAGATATCTAGCATCAAAATTTAGGCCGATTTTCGGAGTCCTTAGTAGCTTTTCTCTTCAATAAAAAGAGAGCTGGTGGCGCAGAGGATAATCTGCTCGTCTCCAGAACGAAGCCTCCAGAAAACTTTTTGCCTGGGTTCCAGTTCGCTCCCGGTATGCTTTTTGCTTCTTCGAGAAAATGATTAGAAAATGTTTATGGAATCCAGATAGATTTATTTTGACTTTGATTAATGGAAGAATGTTTAGAAATGACTTAGGAACATAAACGCTTTGTTCATAAATGTTGTTTGTGGTTGCTGGAATAACCACAAAGCCTAAGCCTAAGTTGCTGGCACGATTATGCTTATCCAAAAATAGTGGAATTCAATACGCGGAATGGAATTGAATTGAATTCCACAAAATCGTGGAATTCAATTCTAATTTTCTAATCATTTGCTCAAAAAAAGGAGTATACTGGGAACGGATTCGAACCCGGGGCAAAAAAAGCCCGAACCGTTGCGGAGACGAGCACACTATCCTCTGCGCCACTGGCTCCACATTTAATGAAAAGAAAAAAGCTGATAAGGACTTGAAAAATCGGCCTAAACTTTGATGCTAGATATCTAGATATCTGCTAGATATCTCGTGTTACAGAGCTCCTTTGTAAAAAGTAAAAACATATTCAGAATCAGCATAGCGGATTCTATAAAGGCCTGTGGCTCTCGTATTAAAAGGTCACCCTGATCTGGTGCGTTTCTCTAATGAGCACCCACGGTTTTATCCTCGCATCATAGATGTCAGTGACAAATGAGGACATTTGATGGTCGATCGAGTTCGGCTCGTGGACAACGCTGAAGTTGATGACTTGAATCAAAGTTCAGCAAGAAATAAAGATGTAAACTCACTATTTCGGGAAGGAATGCATTTTGTTGTAAAGTCGTCGAAGGGCTGTCGCCATACAGACAATAGGGAATGAAACGAGAAGGGAAATTAGGAGAGACATCCAGGCACCATTCTGAAATGGTTTTCATGAACAAGTAAGTTAGTTATAGATCTTGTAATCTTAAAGATGATTTAGTAAAGTATTTAAATAGTAAAGGATTGGAGGTAGTAAAGGATTGGAGGATCTAAATCAGTTGAACACCTACTATTGGATCAATTGTATGTCCACAAACAGCGGTTCTAGAGTTTCGAGCGATATCAGAGATCGGCCCACAAGAAGAGACATCGCTTTCAATCTAAAAGCTTCTTTTGCTAAAAGCTTGCTTTATTTCTCTTAATTTTCTAACTGAATCTTTTATCTTGCATCTTTCTTTAGTTTTATATTCTATTATATTTCTATTCTAACCTGGAACTTTGCATGCCCAACGTATGATTCAAAGGTGCCGATCAATTGCCTCAAGATGTCTTTCGCTGCTTGCTCAACGTGAGAACGAACGTCCTGAAATAAAAAAGAATATAATCTAGACTTGCTTTGATGTTTAAATATCGATTAGCCTATTACGCAATGCTTCCTACCTGTGAAAGAAGCGCTTGTGCATGTTCGAGCTTTCCGATAAGAGAAGAGACCGGAACTTGGAGTTCATGGAGTCTAAAACAATAGTCTGGATCATTACAAAAACAATTGTTTTTGGAATTTAGCTTTTTTTTACTTCAAATTTGCCAACCTTGTATCCAGGACTGTCAAATTTTTATACAAAATCTCAAGTCGGCTTCGCAAAGGCTGAGCAATTCTGACGTCAATCTCTTGAATTTGCTCGATGATCTGTAATTAAATTGAAAGTTTAAAAAAAGCTACTACGGTAACTAATATTGAATCTTAATCTCTTGATTCTTATCTTAATCTTAATCTTAATCTTAATCTTAATCTTAATCTTGATCTCATGATTTTACGAGAACTCACTGAGCTAACTGCTTGTGGTTTTCCTCCGCCAATCGAATCGGCTTCCGTTGTGAACTCATTCACCTTTGACATCAAATCCAAAGAATCGATAGTTCTTTTGATCTAAAAATTGTCTAAGAAACTTATTTTGAAGTCTTTAACTAACCTTTGCTAGTCCATCAGCTGATAATTGTGTGATATTGATGTCAGAGAGTGAGTGTAGTTCTTCCAATTCCTTTTCCGACACAAACGCTCCCAACGGTTTCTCAATCGGCAACTCTCCAAGGATTTTCTCCAAATAATCGTCCAATTGCTTGATGGCATCTTGATCGAATTTCTGAAATTGTTTTACAATTCTTTCTTTCAATTCTTTCAATTCTTTCAATTCTTTCAATTCTTTCAATTCTTTCAATTCATAGATTCTAAATTCATAAATTCATAGATCTTTTAAAAAATTTCATACGTTGAGATCAGCCAGATGGTATTTCTTATCGAGATCAAACATTTGATAGAAGGTTTCATTTCGTTGACACGCTCGAATCAGTTCAACGGGACTTCTCGAGTCTAATATTTGACCAAGTTCAGATTGATTCCAGTTGTCTTGATGCTTTGCCATCTCGATGTAACGCTCGACAAACTAAATCGAATTTTGGATAGAGAATTTGTCCAGGAGTTAGTTTTCTTATAGTCTGAAAAGAAACTATATTGCTAGATCACAAGGAACTATATAGTCTCCAAAAAACTCCAAAAGGAATTGGACCCCTGACTTGAATTGGACCCAGAGGGAGTTAACTATTGCACTAACCACCAGACTACCGAGCTATCTCGACTGCGTCTTTGAAAACGCCTTAAGACTCTATAGCCAAAGCTTGTAAGCTAGTTTTAGTGTGCTTAGAATGATCAAAAGCAGCGAATTTTAACACCATTAAACTCGTCTTTCCAAGCTCTACAAGATGTGCTATACCACATATCGAGATTCCACCGCCAGCCTCAACCGGTTCCTTGTGAGTATCTTTCGATTTCGTTAGATTTCAAGTTTGAAATAACACGGTTTACCAGACAAGCAAGAGTTGGACACGCCGGTTCTTTTATTGGCTGGAATACAAAAAATGATCGGCACCGGGATTCGAACTCGCGACCTTTCACTTACCGGGCAAACGCTCTACCAAGAGCTACAGCGACACGTATCCCTTTGCCGCCCGGGTAGGGCTTTATGCCTTACTCAAATTCAACTCACCGACATCACATCCGGTCTTGCTAACGGATCATCGAGTGGATTGCATACCATATGAGTCACGTTAGCAAAGATCAGCATCAACACCACCGTCAGCACCGAGAGAACCGTGAACAGACATAGCAACATCCAGATTCCACTAAATACTTAAAGTCATGATAAATTATTGTCTACTTACCAAGAATAGAAGCTTGCACCAGTCGATCGAACACAGCAATCATCATTGTAATAGGTGGGTCTTCGGCCACAAATCCCGAAAAAGAGACCGAACAAGAATGAGAGAGAAGCAAGGCACACCAATCCGGTCACAGCTAATGAAATGTACCAACTAAATTTTGATTACGATAGTTTATTTTGTGTAATAACCTGTAGTGGATGTAATCTTTGACTGGGAAGTACTTGTCTCCATTGTAAACGGCGATAGCCTGGTAGAGAGGATCAAAGTTTAACTGAAAGTTTGTTATTAATGTTTATTGGAGTTGAAAGTTGGAATCGTCAATCTAAATTGTCAACCTTACTTGTCAATCTTAGAAAAGAATTGTCAATCTTAGCAACCAATTGTCAATCTTAGTAAAGAATTGTCAATCTTACTTGTCTGATGTACGTTGAAACGCTCTCAGCTGTTTGAAACAAGTCATCGCCGATAGTTTTGAGCATGTTTTGAGCAGCTAAAATGTTGTTGGATTTGAAAATTGGCTTAAAGCTTTGGCTTAAGGCTTTGGCTTAAAGCTTTGGCTTAAAGCTTTGGCTTAAAGCTTTGGCTTAAAGCCTTGGCCTAAAGCTTTGGCTTAGGCCTTGGCTTAGGCCTTGGCTTAGGCCTTGGCTTAGGCCTTGGCTTAGGCCTTGGCTTAGGCCTTGGCTTAGGCCTTGGCTTAGGCCTTGGCTTAGGCCTTGGCTTAGGCCTTGGCTTAAGGCTTTGGCTTAAGGCTTTGGCTTAAGGCTTTGGCTTAAGGCTTTGGCTTAAGGCTTTGGCTTAAGGCTTTGGCTTAAGGCTTTGGCTTAAGGCTTTGGCTTAAGGCTTTGGCTTAAGGCTTTGGCTTAAGGCTTTGGCTTAAGGCTTTGGCTTAAGGCTTTGGCTTAAGGCTTTGGCTTAAGGCTTTGGCTTAAGGCTTTGGCTTAAGGCTTTGGCTTAAGGCTTTGGCTTAAGGCTTTGGCTTAAGGCTTTGGCTTAAGGCTTTGGCTTAAGGCTTTGGCTTAAGGCTTTGGCTTAAGGCTTTGGCTTAAGGCTTTGGCTTAAGGCTTTGGCTTAAGGCTTTGGCTTAAGGCTTTGGCTTAACGTTTACCAACCATACGATCTCTGATTGATATCCCTTTGTAGCTCATTTTCGAGAACAATGAATTGCTGATTAGATTGAACAAGCAAACTCGAGACGCTCGCTTCAGCTATCCTCGTCAAAGCTTTAGCGTTGTCACCCATCAAGAATTGCTGAATTTGAAAATTTGAATGAAAATGAAATAAACCGTAGTTCAATTGGTGCATTTGTTGGTTTTAAACGGAAGTAAAAAAAGGAACGAAAAGCCATGCAGCCTAGTATTTTGCCAACCTAATACCTAATACCAACAATTGTATAGATTCTTGCTCAAGTAGTGTGCCTAGTTTTGAACTCTGTATTCTTTTATGAGCTAGATTTCAGAATTTTTTGCGTCAAAATCTCACAATCACTATTTCCAAGCCTGACTCATTTCACGAAACTATTCGAAACTACAAATTATGCTAGGAATTGGGAAAGAAAATGGATTTCAAAATTAGGATAAAGCCGAAAAGAATTGCGGACTAGGCACTACAGTTTAAGAAAATTTTCTGAATTTATAAGTAAACAGAAAAGCCGTAAGTTAAGGCTTTTCTAAAGCGGTACTGAGGTAAAATTGGGACAACATTTTGACAGATTTTGACAGATTTCTTTAAAAAAGTGAACAAAAGTACCTCACTGATTTCGAACTTAATGCTACTGATGTTATCGAGAAGGCGTTGAGCTTGTAGGCACATTGTTTTCAAAGAATCTGGTTCAGTCTAAAAGGTTTCTTTGTAAATCAAGAATTTTGCTAACTTACATGTGTACATTGAGCAATTTCATTTTCAGCCGTTTTCCTCAATCGTCCAAACTCGACAGCGAACTGGCCAGCAGCCTCGTTGAGCTCTCGCGCCTGTTGTGCCACTTCGAGAAGCACATGTCGCACGTCATTGGCTCCTAAAACAGGATGAACATTGAACAGAATGAACATTGGACACAATGAACATTGAACAAAGCCAACATTGAACAGAATGAACATTGAACAAAGGCAACATTGTTACTAGTTGAATATTTGAATTTAGTTGGATAGTTGAATAGTTTACCTTGTGTTATGTTGAGGAAAATATCGATCGCGTGAGCTCCAGTGACTTTCTTGACGCGATCAATGACGGAGTGCCCGGCGTGACTGATCTGTTGCATCAACGACTCGCTTGCCAAATTGAAATCATCGATCAGCAGCTTTCGGACTTTCTATAACAAAATTTAGAGGAGAATCCTTGAATGCTATACCAAATCAGTCTCCCTTTTGTACAAATTCAAATCGTCAACGCATTGATTCAATCGATTTGGCAACTCTTCTAACCCATACTCAGCATATTGAGATGTGACGAGAAGCGAGGCTGCAGCGAATCTGTAAAAATTTCCACTCATCACCCACTCATCAGTCCCACTCATCAGTTTTTCTTCTAGCTCAACTTACACATTGATAACGACCAGCACTGCAATGACGATGTTGAGGAAATTTCTTTTACATCCATCATATTCTGTGTCAGTTGAAGTCTTCTTCCCTCCATCATCACAACAACAAACACAACATCGGTAGAGAATGTAGCAGATTGGGAAGAGAATTGAAAGAATCAACACTCCAACCGCTACCGAAAGCCACCATTGCTGCCAGGAGACCCACTAAAGTGTTAATATTTGTTTAAAAGATGTTTATTAATGCAATTTTGTTGAGTTCTGAACTAAGAAAGGTGGTCAAATGACACTTGCCACAGCTTATTCGACGCCGAATTTCACGCCGATTCCGAATCTGTTTTCCGTTTCTGTTATGGAGCACTCTGTCAAAAGTTATAAGCGTGTAAAGTTTTGTATGGGATTTCAATTGGAAAATCACAGTTTATAAGCAGATTTCCAGCAGATTTATAACCAAAAATCAGTTTATAAGCAGGCTATGAGAAGCATTGGTGGCCAGCAGTGGGTGTGAATACAAGGTAAGAAATCTCTAGGTCGAGTCCGCTGTTCCACTTTTTTTTTGCTTTTTGGATCTTATTAAAGCCTCGCGGAAATCTGCTTATAAACTGTGATCTTACAAAAGAAAATCCCATACAAAACTTTGCACGCTTATAACTTTTGACAGAGTGCTCCATAGCAGAAACGGAAAACAGATTCGGAATCAGCGCAAAAGTCTACGTCGGTTAGTCTCATGGCGTATGACATGGCTCATGTCATTTGACCACCACACCTAGTCGAAATTCCCTTGTAAGAAGTAGTCTCTTGGATTTTACACCAAAGTTTTGCCTAATAAGTCTGCAGTGTTTGACTGCTATATGCTCTGCTATAACATTCTAATATTGCTGTTTCTTCGTTTCCTTGTACTAACGTTACCACTTTTCATTTCTACTCTCATCTAGAGTTCCAACACCTGGTGTGTATGCCAAAGTGATTAGCCGGTGGCCTTTTGGACTCCTTTTGAACTCCTTTTGGACTCCCCTCTAGGGAATCCTCCGCCTCTCAACCAATACTCACTTAGTCTTCTTCTTCTTCTTCCTCCTCTTTCTTACTTCCATCAATCGCTTTCCTTTTTCACTTCCTCTTTCTCAGAAATTTCCCATCTCACCCAAAAGCCGCTTAAAGTTTCCTCAAAGCCACTAGATGAATCAATTTGCATAACAGACTTTCCTAATTTAGAGCTCCAAGGCTAATAAGGCTATGTGGTAAACAATTCCTCATCTCAGCTAAATTCTTGAAGTATCAGGGAATTGAGATGTCTTCGTCTACAGGTTCGTCTTCACAAACCTGTAGAGTTCGATTCTCGAGAGAATCCCGCCACTCGTTGAGATCCCCACGGAGAGCATCGTTGGACAAGAGCTCTAAATTAAAATTGAAAATCAATTTGCTATAATTCTTTAGTTTATTATACATTTTCCCCCTTTTGCTAGAAATCAGTGAGAGGTATTTCAACAAAAAAAAAAGAGGAGGCGGTCAGTCGGGTCGCATAAAGGGGAAGAGTCGCACACAAACAAAAAACACGACTCACGGTTGACACAAAAGAGACTTTCTTTCACCCAAATCCCACTTTCTCGAGTTTTTCTCTTCTTTTGAAAGATCAAAAAGATTTTTCTCTTTATATACAGCCGGTTAGTTACTCATCGAGTCTTTTTAGATACGTTTTCTCTCAATGAGGATGATGGGATAAGCGATTTCAAGGCCAAGGAGAAAGAAAAGAGATTAGAAAGGGAAATGCTTTGAATCAAATAAATGCTTTGAATGGAAATGCACAAGTTTATTAACAGAAACTGTGACTTTAAATTAAAATATAGTCATTTTTTTGCTGATTTTTTGCTGCATGGCTTTTCGTTCCTTTTTACCCGAAAACCAACAATACCATTGAACTACGGTTATTTCATTTTCATTCAAATTTTCAAATTCAGCAATTTGGGGGCAGCAAAGGGGGTGCGGGAGCGTCTCGAGTTGTTGCAGTTGAACTTATTGTTGACTTATCGTTGACTCCTATTGACTTATTGTTAGTCAAATTATAAGACTTAGATCCTATTCAGTTTGTGGCTTAGTAAATTTCCTCCTTAATTGCTTGAGTACTTTGATTTTTCAAGTGCTTTTGGGTGAAAAACCCCCAGTTGACTCACTGGTTTCAAAGCCCATTATGAGATGGGAAATGGAGGGTGAAAAGCAATTGGATAAGTGGAAAAAGAGAACCAAAAAAGAGAACCAAAAAAAGTTTCTTTCTTTATGTGCGGATAAGCAGAAAATTTTGTGGATATCCTTTTGAAAATGTGAATTAAATTTCAATTTCAATTTCAATGAGAATCAATGAGAATTCAATGAGAATTCAATGAGAATTCAATAAGAATTCAATAAGAATTCAATGAGAACTCAACGAGAATTCAATGAGAATTCAATGAGAATTCAATGAGAAATTCAATTTCGATAAAAGACAGACCTCGATGTGGAAATGGTAATGAGAGCCAGTCAACGAATTGTCGAATTCCGCCGTAATAGAGGGAGAGGGCACGGTCATCCACGCGACCACGAAGAAATGCACCGCACTGGAAATTAGAGGAATTGTAAGGAAGTTTCTACGTAGAACGTCTACATAAAGACGAAAAAATAGAGTTTAGTCCTGTTTAAAATAAACTTGAAACAGGTACAAGTCAACTTTTTAACTCTTACAAAGTCTCTTTAACTCCTACAAAGTCTTTTTAACTCTTACAAAGTCTTTTTAACTCTTACAAAGTCTTTTTAACTCTTACAAAGTCTTTTTAACTCTTACAAAGTCTTTTAACTCTTACAAAGTCAAAAAATAGATACAAATCAACTAGCTTCTTCAGGAAAGCAATTAGAGCAAAATTCAACTCTGAAAGTCTGCAATTCTTGCGTTTTAAGTACAACTCTCACTAATACAAACAACTCTCACTGATTTTCAGTATAATAAGAAACTTTTTTATTTGGTTTAAATTCTCTTTACCTTATATTGCTCGCTTGGCTTGTAGGTTGGAAAATCGATTGAGTACCCGTATTCAAAAATCCATGTAAAGAGAAAAATAAAGACGGCGGAGAGATGAGAGAATCGCCTCAGCATCAGGTCACCATCGGAAAAACAACCGATCTTGGAGATCCCGTGAAAGATTTCTTGGCTTTATCGTGAAAAGAGGATGGTGTTGATGGATCTAAATGATTATGAAAGTTAAAAGGAATTGACTTTCACAACTTCAAGTTGTTTCAAACGGAATTCAAATGGAATTAACCTTCACAACTTCTTGTTCTTGTTCTTGTTTCAAATGGAAATACACTTGAAACAGGTACGGACATGAAATACAATTTGAAAGTGCCACTTCGCGCGCTGTAACCCCTGTCTTTGAGTTAAACTATTAGGTATACATTTTCTGAAAGCCTTTCAAGGGCACACAATGGTAATATTAATATTTAGAAATACGGAAGACAAGGGGACAGGGAGGATCTTTTTCAAATACAATTTCATTGTCCAGTAGGTACAAGTCAACTTTTCAATTCTTAAAAAGAAAAAAACAGGTACAAGTCAACTATCTTCTTCAGGAAAGCAATTAGAACGAATTTGAAAAAATGAAATTTGAAACAAGAACTTTAAAAACAAGAAACAAGAAAAAAGAAACAAGAACAAGAACAAGAAGAACAAGAAGAAGAAGAATAAGAATAAGAATAAGAACAAGAAGAACAAGAAGAACAAGAAGAACAAGAACAAGAACAAGAATAAGTCTACAAGTAACAATAGACAACAACAATTCAGATCCAGAGAAGTTTATTCATTTTTGACTCCTCAAGAAAGCGAATCAGTAAAATCCAAACCGGAAAACAAAATCGAGAAGTTGAGGGGCTAAAAATGGAGGGGAAAAGGAATTTCTTTTGATCTCGGGAGCTCAGTGTTGAAAGGGGGAAAGCCGGGCTACTCCTTGTGTCCCCATCCCTTCCCTTGAAATAGAGAGAAGGGGGACGCGCACCACCCGCACTATCTAATTTCACACGCCGTTTCGAAGAGAGCCGACTAAGAGATCGGCTTGCCCTTCTCCCCATTGATGGCTCTTCTCTTTTCCCCTTTTATTTTTCTTTCTTTCAGTGAATCGAGTTGTATGTCTATGACCTAGTAGTGCTTTTCACCCGAGTATTGGATCAGGATATGGAGAGTGCGGCAAGGATTGTTGCAACCAATATTTTTTAAAGGATAGAAACAGATAAGAAACTCAAAAACTTCAAAAATTGATTTTTAAAGGTATATTAAACAAGAAAAACGACTTCCTTTTAAAAATACGTCTATGGGCAGCCTGGTGACATTTGAGAAAGATTGTGAGACCTTTTATACGCGCCCCGCCCCCTTTGCCATTGGCAATCCAACTTTGATCTCAAATATCTTGAGGTTGAGCGGTTTAATTTAAATGATTTTTATACTAATCGACAGAGAAAGACTTGGCGAATCGAATGATACCAAGAATATTTAAATTGGACGGCCCAAAATCAAGATATTTGAGTTCAAAGTTGAATTATCAATGGCAAAGGGAACGGGGCACGTATAAAAAGTCGCCCGGGCGTCCGATAACCTTTGAGAAATGCATCCATTGTGTCCAAATGGTAAGCGGAATCGAGTTTATTGAGCTTTTTGAAGAGATTTCTTAAGCGAACCGATGCTGGAACCGGACCGATGCGGTTTTGAGCACGTTTTTGCTACAAGAACTTTCTAAACACTGAAATCCATCGGATTAGCATCGGGATGTCTTCTGCTTTTAGAACTTATAGACTTACAAGAGTTTAAGCCAGGAATTCAGTCAAGGAAAAGCTTATAATTAGAATATTAGCTGAAGATTGAGTAACAAGTTTCAAATAGATCTGCTTAGCAATAAGCTTTTGCAAAAAAGACTATTGCGAAACTTTTCCGGAGCAAAACATATGGCATTGAGCAGCTTTTTGCAGCAAAACATGGAGCAGCTTTTTAAAAGCAAAAACCAAATAAGTTGTAACAAATATTAAATTTTCATTTAATGGCAACCAGGAATTAACAAATCTCCCTTTAATGGAATCTCAAAACTCGCGCTTTTCCTTTTTTCGGAGAGAAATTAGGGATTACTCTGAAAATGGGGAAATAATGGTGCGAATGACCGTCACACGGTGGATTTTTCTCCCCTCTTTCTCTTCTCTTTCCCCATCATTGCCGCCATTTTATTTTTCTTTTCCCAACATCGACCCGTTGTATGGATGATTGAGAAAGTGAAGAAAGGCAGAAAAGAACGAGGAAATGAAGAAAATGAAGAAAATGCAAGAAGAGACATAGGAAATTTGAAAAGACGACCTTCAGAGTATCATCTTCTCTTGTGGAACTGAAAATATTCAAGAATCGATTGGGAAATTCGTTATAAATTGGTCATTACATGGAAAACAGTGTGATTAGTTACTCAACACGAGTTTTTGAACTAAATATTGAACCAAAGATTGAACCAAAGAACAAACTATGAACAATAAACGTCAAGGTAAAGCAATTTTTCTCGAAAATGACCATGTTTGCCTAGAAAATAACCATGTTAAGACTAAATACTAGCCTAATGCCTAGTATTTAGTCTTAACAAATGCAAAATTTTTCACCCAAACAACTTGTTGATCAAATTGTTGTTGATGGGACATCTGTCCCTTCTATTGACCAATGTAATTCGTATGGAAATTGGCTATATAGCCTGGGAAAGGGCAATAAGGCGAAAGATTGGGAAATGGAAAGAGGAAAAGGGAGAAATGTTCATTTGCCGTGTTTGGAGGTGGGCAAACACTCATCAAAAATGCTAGAATGTATTAAAGTGATGGAAATAAATTGATGACTAACTTTTAACTGAAATGATTGGTAAAAACTTTGATGGAATGAATCTTTAATGTGCATCGTCGTCGATCGATAACAAGATCGACAAGAACGAAGATCGTCGGATAACAAGTCGTGTACAAAGTTATGAAATCTGTTTTTGATTTAGAAAAAGCAGAAAAAATCTATTTGCTGTTTGTTTAGCTCTGCCGATTACAAAAAAGATTCCAAATTTCGTCTTTGATTTATAGCAAATTTCGTTTTTGAGTCTTTTAAGCTTATGGAGGGAAGCGCAGAAGGGAAAAAAAGAGAAGCGCCTTTTAAGTTATGCTTGAAATGTTTCAATCTGAAAACATTTCTGGTTTAGATCTTTGATAAGTGAAAAGGATTCAAGATATTGAGGCTAAGATTGGATACATGAAAAGGAACGGGGTCGCGTTAACGATTTCCCACTGAGGAGGAAAGAAAAAGGGGAGTGCCTAATGTGATGCGAAAAAGAGCGGATGGAAAACTTTGAGGATCGATGAGAATTTGATGGGCTATATAGCTCATTTGGCTTTAGGCTATATAGCCAAATGTATAGAGTAAATATTGGATACTATTAGAATTGTTTAAGATAAATTTGTCAAATTCAATCAATTTTAAAAGGAGGAGTGAGAAAGAAAAGGAAAGAAACAAATCGGTCAAACCATTTGTCTTGACAAATCGGTCAAACCATTTGTCTTGACAAATCGGTCAAACCACTTGACTTGTATAGCGCTAAAAGCAAAAAAACTTAGGTAGAGTAAATCAGCTGTAATTTCTAGTGAGTTAAACAAAGGATTCGGGGGAGAACAGTGGACTAGATGCGGAAAGAGGATGAGGGAAAGAGGATGAGAGAAGGGAATGTCGAAAAGGGGAAAGCGCGCACCGCAAACAGCCCAAGGGGAATCGGGGTTTATAGGAAAAGAGGAAGGACCTGTAGGAGAGATCATAGAATAAAGAAAAGGGGAAAAAGAGAACAGTCGATCTTCTTTTCCCCTTTTGATCCACCCAACCCCTAAAGCTCTCCTAACCGGGGAGGCTCTCTCTTTCCCAAACGACAAGAGACAACACATCCAGCCTCTCTAGAACAAACTTGGGTGATGTCTCCATGTGGGTTAACACAAGTGCTAGTATCTAGACTGATACTAAAAAGATAAAAAAAACTAGAAAACTTTAAAACTTTAAAACTGAAACTTTAAAAGCTCAATTGGAAATTTTACTTTACGTCTTGAATAACAGAATAATAGCTTAATTGGTCGCTGAGCAACTGCAGCAGACTTGACAACTGCAGAGCAGACAACTGCAGCAGTTTCAGTAATAATTTTAAATACCAATGTTTGTTTTGTTTTATTATGTTTTAATAAATAATTTATTTAAGTTAGGAATTCAAGTAATTTCCTTTAAATTGACGATTGGACGATCAGACGATTGGAGCGGATACTCCCCAAGTCTCAATCTGACAAGTGTTCACTCCTCGAGCCATCTGAAACTCTAGAATTGAAAAAATTTCAGCCAATTCGTATCAGCATTCAAATTTTCTGATTAAAAATATTAGCCATAACTAGAATTTCCATAACAAACCTTTATATAACCGTTGAGACCCCAATTTGTACCCCATTGATTTCTCAATAACCAATAGTCCCGTTCGTTATCGGTTCCTGTAATACAATTGCAAAATTTGATTCTTTTAAAGCTATAAATATGATTACCGTATTCTCTCTAATAGAGGTGCACTCTTTAATAGTAGTGCACTCTCTAATAGTATTGCGGTCCAGGAGGGGGTTGAAAAAATAGTAGTGCACCCGCGAAAATTTGAATTTCTGTTTGCTTCTTTTTCATCTAAACCTTTTTGACTTTATGTTTATGTGACATTCTAAAGCTATTCAAGCAAGCAAAAGTGAGGCTCTTTTTATTCATTTATTAACTATTCTTCACATGAAAAAGTTAGCAAAAAATCTAAAATTGTTGTGCAAAGTGCAAAAACATCTTTTTGTTGTTTGTCAAGACACAAATTGTCAACTCGCCAGCCCACAACTGTATGTCAAAAGGAGCCAAAGGAGTACGTGAAAGAATTGCAAGAATTTTTGGAACAAATCTTATATCTGTCTTACTTTGGTAAATGATAAAACCCTTTAATAGTACTTCACTCTCTAATAGTATTGCGGTCCAGGAGGGGGTTCAAAAAATAGTAGTGCGCACTACTATTAGAGAGAATACGGTATCTAAATATCTAAATACAAAATTACCGTATCCAATAATAGCCATAGCATGGCATCCAAGAGAAGTACTGGCATTACAACGACGATTGCTGTAGATGCCGTGAGTGTAGTACATAAAGTCCCGGCAAACCCAAAGACCTGAAAGTTTCTGGAGTTTGAAAATGTTTGAAAATGTGCTGAATCTTATGACAATTCTTATGATTTTATGACTTTTAACTTGGAAACTTTTTAGACAAACCCGCAGCGACTGGTCCCTGATGTCGAACAAATTGAATAATCGCGGGAATATTTCCCGATAACATTTTGACATTTTTCAGAGGACGGAATCGTTTTGTAACCTCAATTTGACTCAGTTTGATTTGTTTTTGTAACTGTAATCATAAATTCGACCTAATTTTCAGAAAAAAAAACCTTAAATTTTCTTGCCAAACACTTTGTTCGTCTCCCTGTTTGCCCACTTCTGTATGGATAGCTCGCTCGAGAAACGAGACCCAATTTCTTCACATATCTATCATATGAAATCATAATAATTAGATTATAATGATAATGCTGATTTTTATAATGATTAGATTAGAAGAATGATTAGAGATATTAGAACTATTACAGAACAGAATGGCCCACAATTATAGCGCCGCACTTCAGAGGGCCTAGATTGGCCAAAATTGGATCAATCGTTCTGATTTTTCTGGAGATAAATCTTAAGTCTGTCTCCTAGAATGGTGCTCATTATCTAATCGATTCCAGCTTTCAACTTTTTTATATGCCCTTCCAAAGTTGAGAGCCGAGTGTCATCACGTTACTCATTTATGGGATTTTGAAAGTTTCATTTTTTGATGAAAACTCGTTATAATTTTAATGATTTTCAATTAATGATATTTATTTATAAATTTAAAAGCGATAGACCTTGAAAAATAAGATTTTTTTTTTGTTCTTTAGTGGCTCTGAATGCCCTATAAATCGTTCAAGTGAAAACAGACCATATTCAGTGATTTTGATGACATTTCTCAGGAATTTTTGCACTTAAACTGCGAAGAGCATGTGAAATTTCGTTTATTAACATAATAAACTCAATCTCAACAAGATTTTGACAAGAGCGCTCTTAAAAATCCTATAAATGAGTGACGTGCTGACACTTGGCTCTCAATTTTGGAAGGGCATTTAAAAAAGTTGAAAGCTAGAATCGATTAGATAATGAGCACCATTCTAGGAGAGATCTTTAAGATTTATATCCAGAAAAATCAGAACGATTGATCCAATTTTGGCCAATCTAGGCCCTCTGAAGTGCCGCTATAATTGTGGGCCACCTTGTAATGCTTCATCCTTACCTCATCGCACTTTGAGGAAATCCACCACCGCAGCCCCAATCCGCCGTGTCACAGTCAACAATAAACTAAAACTTTAGCTCATTAAATGAATATGTTATTTAATTCAATTTATTTTAATTTCAAATTGTTCTACCTGTTCAGAGAATTGCCTTCGCTTCGCACCAAGAAGAGAATTTTGATGATTGTACTGTGTTTCGATGGCTGCCACAGCACTAAATAAATACTTTTTTAAAGAATTCCTGAATATTCCTTCTTATACTGATAGTGTATCTAAAATTCCTTAGTATTTGTTAATCAAGCATGGGAGGAAGTCACATGAGCGCCAAAAATTGAGCGCCGTTCATTTCAGCGCGACTAGATTTTAATATTTTAGCTTTCTAGGCTGCTTTTGTTTTTAGGGTTTTGCTTCTGTTTTTACACTTTTTTTCACTTAATTGACCTAGGGCACGGCAATAGGCACCAAAAAGCAAAAATTTGTCAGTTTAACTCATATTTAAAGTTTTTTGTTGATGAAAATGTGTCAATTTGCTAGTTTTATGATACCTTCCCCCATCAGCATTTTTTTTTCACCGTTTCTTGTCATTTTCGTTTACAATTTGCTTACAGTTAACATATTTCTTTGTTTAGATCGTGAATTGCACAAGAAGCGGCGATACGACGCAACATCCGGAGTCTCAAGAATTGAGCAAAAAGTGACGACACAAAGGAGCACGCGGAGTCAAATAGCAAAGGAATGTTTCGTTCATTATTTATTTTGGTTAGTGTTTAATTCTTCTTCTTCTAGGCGTTTTGATCTGTTTTATAATTGCATATTGTATTTTTTATCTTTAAGTGTTGACAGAAGTGCGCGCCCGCATCAATGAGCTCTTCTCGACTCGTCTACTCATCGTGGCTGCTTCGAATTGACACAACAGCTGGAGTCAAAGAGTGATGTAACTTTTTATTCGTTAGTTTTCAGTCGTTATTTCTCTGTTCAGGCTCAAGAATGGCGCAAAAAGTGACGACACAAAGGAACACGCGGAGTCAAATAGCAAAGGAACGTTTCGTTCATTATTTATTTTGGTTGATCTTGTTGCAAAGAATTATTTTTTACCTTTAGATGATCGCGATTTTACAACGAGCGAAAGGATTGTTTTATGACGATGAAATGTTCAAGCATAGGAAGGATAAAGTACTAAAGAGCGGAAAAATATCTTACAAGTAAGTTTTAATTACATTATGCTAATTTTCAGCAAATTAGATTCTTAATATAGATTACTTTAGGTGCACCAAAGCGGGCTGCAAAGACAGGTGCACTTGGATTGATTATCGCAATGATTTCCCTTTGCGGCATCAATTAGAGGTATCTTTTTTAAAAAATCTTTTTACATCTTGCTTATTAGGAAAGTACATTGAAATGTTCGGCACATTTTGTGGCAATGAAGCTGTTGGAGGTTTAAGAAAAGTACGAGAAGATGTTCGTTCTTGCTGCACGGAAGCATTTGTCTCTTCCCCAACTCTCTCCACTGTCATCACGAATTCGAACTGCTTATCAACAACGGAAACTGGGGATTAAAAATTGAGCCTTGAGAAAATCACCGTTTGATCATCTACAAGCCTTGTGTTCTTTTGTTCATTTGATGTGATTTGTTTATTTTGCTTTTACGCTTTGATGCATCATGCCTATTATGTTGTTATTTTATGCTTATTCGTTGCTATTTTATGCGCAATTGTTACTGCTATTGCATTGACTAATTGAATAAAAACGTTCGGTAAAGTCCTTGAAATCATGCAAAAAAAAACACGTATACACAGAAAGGGCTGAAATGAGCGTTTTCCAGTCATTTTTGGCACGGCGCTGAAATGAGCCGAGCTCAAATAGACGACGCTCAATTTTGGCACTCATGTGACTACCTCCCTCAAGCATTGCCTTTAATTCCAGTTAATAAACAGTGAAGACAACGCACGCAAAAGCCCAGCAACAGCCGCATCTTCCTTGATTTCTGATCGGATTGAGGGCACCCGTTGTTCGCCAGTCAAAAGAGCCCACGTTCTAGAAAACAAATAAAAAAAATGCTATTATAATAGATACTTACTCTAGCTTTAACTACTTTACTAAGAATTAAAAAACTAAATCCCTATGGCAGTTTACCCGATCCAGTCCTTTCCTTTGTTGCATCTCCCAATCATTTTTCTGATTTGATTTGATGGTATTCATTCGATCTCGTGGAATAAACAACTAAAAATTGAGTTTCGTCGAAAAATCCCCTTTATTACACTATCGATTTCTTCCGGTGACCAATCCATAAACGCTGTGATTCCAATCCCAAAATCGGTCTCGTTTTCCTCTTTCAATTTGTGCAGTTGATCCATATTTGAAACAAAGTGGCGTTTCCTGGCTCGACAATCATCAGTTCCTGTTTCGCAAACTTTCTTGAACCTAAAAATATAATTGTCAAATAAATTTCACAGCTGATATCTAACAGACTTACTTTTCTTTGAACCCTTCATACGCATCTTTGTGTGTCCCCAAAATATCATCATCGTTTCCCACTTCTGCACAAGTTAAACAAGAAAATAAACCAAACACCAGCAATGAAAATAGCAATAAAGTCATCTAAAACAAAAATTCATTTCAAAAAGACTAAAAATTAGGCTGAAAATTTTTGAATGAACCTGTTCTTTATGCCTTTCAAACATCAGATATGAAGGCGGAAAAATTTGCCTGCACTTTATAAAACTCAGAGATTTCTTTGAGAGGCAATTTTTGCGCTTTTCTTGCTCATAGTCACCAAAATCCCGGTTCACATTTGGACTGAAAATATGAGAGGGGGAAAGTGATTGCTTTTGAGCAAGCCAGCTTTCAAACAACGTCGACCAATGAAACAAAAGTTCGATTGCCAAATGAAGCAACTTTCCCTTTTTGGTGCGATGATGAGAAAAACAAGTTGCATTTTCTTTCAAGAATTCTGCAGCTTACGGTTCTTGCAACTTACATCCAAAATTTGGCTGGTTCATTCAAAAAATTTCAGCCTAATTTTTAGGCCTGGCCTGGAGTGAACAATGCAGCAATGAACTTGAAAATAAGACAATAAAGAACAGACAAGCGTCTGGCTCACTACAATTTTTACAGAACTTACAATCAGTAAACTGAACTGGACCGTGGAACTCTAGTGAAGTCCGAACAAAAAGTACAGGGTTGGGCCAAATTACCTTGACAAGAGTTCATGGTTGTAACTTCGCAGCCAGCCAACTTATCCGTATAATTTCTTTCAAACAACGTCGACCAATAAAACAAAAGTTCGCCAAACGAAGCAACTTTCCCTTTTTGGTGTGATGATGAGAAAAACCAGTTGCATTTTTTGTTTTTTGTAGACTGAATATTCTGATGCCGAATCTGTGATTAGTTTTTTGATATCTTTGTTCAGAGCAGAGCGATAAGTGTTTTTCGGAGCTGGCGGCACTGCTAAAACACTCTCGGAGGTGTTTAGCAAGAAATTGCTAAATTTAGCTCTCTTTTCTAAATTTAGCAGTTGATGGACCCGGGGCCCAGGGATTCAGCTTCAACTGAAATGTACAATAAACGCTAGTTTAGTTCTCACTCGTAAAGCAGATTTGTGGTTTCAATTTACGTCATATGTGTGCTTCCAATTTCGAAATGTATTTTCCCAATCATGAATCATTTCTTCCAGATTTCTCTAATGAGTTTCAAAATCGCAAATTCCGCAGATTTTCAGATCTCGGGAAGACTCTATGTTGTTGTACGCAGCAAAAATTTCTTTACATCCGGGCGATCGGGTGGAGAAAAATCAGTGGGAAGGGCTTTTAGAAATGTTTTGAATGATTGAAGGCGGCGGAAGTATGCATGGGGAATAATGGAAAAGAAAAGAAAAGATGAAAAGAAAAAAAAAGCGATGATTGGGACTGATTGGGAGAAAAAGGGGAAATGATCCCAGACACCCATTCGCTCGCATTCGAGTCTTCTGTAAAAGCGATCTCCTTCTCAATGTTCATTGATAGATTCTGTAGAACTCTAATAGATTCTGTAGAAATTCGGCGATCTTTTTAACTCATTTATCATCTTTATTAGCAGATTTTTAACGCTAAAACTTCAAGTTTTCTGTCCCACTACAAGCTGATTAAAGAATTAAACTCCATTTTTGCGTTTGAATAATTTAATTTCAAATCATGAGCTCTTTAAGACATAAACTGGTATCCTTCAGGGTCGCACATGAGCATCGCCAATCGGCTGAGCGCCTTTCTGCTCGCTTTCTTCCTCCAAGGTTTGTCAAAGAGCGTTTCAAAATAACTGGATTAAATTTCAAATGATCTAGCTCTTTTAAGGCAATCTAAAGCATAAATCTGGTAAATACAGTAAATATTCTGAGATGAAGAGAAGAAGAGCCCTATAGGAGCATCGCGTAGTCTCATACAGTAGACTGTGATAAGAACAAAACTAGCAAAACTAGCAAGACTACCAAAACAAAACTACCAAGACTACCAAAACTCAATCTCCAATTTCAGGAGTCCATGGAGCGGCCCTCAACAGTGAAGGTAAATCTTCTATTTCTAAATAAAACCTAATGAAACTAAAGGCTGTCAAATAGGTTGTGCGGGTCTACAAGATGGATCCTATTCATTTGGATGCAGTCAAGACTACTTCATGTGCTCAAATGGCATCTCTTTCCCCCACAAGTGTGCCGACGGATTGGTGTTCAACGAGCAGGCAATTGGTGGGCGAGATTTTGATGGAAGCTTTAGATCTTTAGATTTAGAGGAAGAAAATTTATGGTTAACACATTCACGACAAAGTCATTTTTTGCTTGGTTGCCGTTTCGGAAAACAGCTATCTATTTTAGACCTGAAAACTTGTAACCGAAGGCATTCTGGGATGGAGAATCTGTATCCGTTGTTAGTTTTTGAGCAATAGGAGCTTTAATGCTTCGGCAACGTCTGCAATCCTGGTGTCGTTTTCTAAAACTGGTGTAGTTTTCTAAAAGTGTCAAAAAACGACAAATTATTAAAACCACTACCATTTGATTTCTTTTTTACCGTACTTGAATAGCAGAATTGTGTTGCTACAATGAAAATTTTTGGCAGATAACTAAAAACGAGCAACAAATTTTAACAGGAACAGCAGCAACTTTAATTTTCGAACCAATACGTTTATCACAAAACTCTCTAGAACTTGGGTAATCAAAACCGAATCAAATATCTAAAAATAGATCAGTTTTCTTTAAGAACTAATAACGGATTCAAATTCCTCGCCCTCGAAAGCCCTTGATTGCAAATTTTCAGCCCAAAGGCCTCAAGCGCTAAATCCACCGGTCCACTGGTGGGCCGTATCGTCGTAAAAGTGTTAAGCTCGAATTTTTGGCTCAACTTGAAACAAGAATATTTTATGGATAAACAAGTTTATTGTAAACAACAAGTAACAAGTAAACAAGTTTATTGTAAACATTCCAGCCTGTGACTTCCCGGTGAATGTGCCTGCTTGTGCTCCACTCATCGATCAACCACCACAAGATCTTGTTCGAGAGAATCAACCGGTCATCGGTGTTCTGCCTCCATCAATGATGGGACAAATGCCAGGTAAATAGAAATGATGCTTTAGGAGCTAAACTTTCAAACATTTCTTGCATTACAACTCTTCATTTCCAGGCCAACAACCCCAATCTCCAGAGCCATTTCACGGACTACCACCCGTTCCCAATGGAGGATCTCGTGAGTAAAACAGCAAACAAAAATGAAAACTTGTAGCTAAATAAAATTAGATTTGACTACAAGTTTGATCATTCAGCTTTTGTTCTTTAGTTCAGCAATTTCCCGACAACTCTCCAGCCATGATGCAAGCGATTTCTGAAGTGATCACCCCAGCCGAAACTCTCCCACTCAACACACCGATGTTCCAGGATTGGTCTCAACAATCATGGGGTTAAATCTTTTTTTGAATTGAGCTTTGATTTTTGAAAACTTTGGAAACTGGAACTTCTTGGAAACTTTAAGTTTTAAGCTAAATTTCCAGGCGTCAAAGAACAAAATTTCTAGGTTCTCAAGTTTTCCGCCATAGCCGACTGGCTAAGAGTCTTGTATCTTAGTTTGTAAGTCAAGGGTTTAATCCCGCCGACTAGATTATTAGTTTTTTTTGATATATATAGGTTTTTCTTCCCTGCATTTAGGGCCCACGAGGGAATGGTACAAAACTCTCTAGAACTTAGCAGCTTTTTAACGCTAAAACTTCAAGTTTTCTGTCCCACTACAAGCTGATTAAAGAATTAAACTCCATTTTTGCGTTTGAATAGTTTAATTTCAAGTCATGAATTAACATTAATTTTCAGACCTTTCCAAATGAGACTAAATGAAGATTTTTTCAAACAATGAGGGGAATTAACTTTGTTTTATAGTAGCTTTCTATAAAAGGCTTGTCAAAAATCAAAAATTGCTCTTAAAAAATAAAAGTAAAAAGTCAGCTAAAGGATTCGAACTCACGCTAGAAGATTTTTGATAGGTTTCGTAGACAGTACTACTATCCATTATACCACGACGACTGTTGAGATATTTCCATAAGATGGTCTTAAATGGATATAGCATGAGGATAGCTAAAATTTGTTTGCCAAATATCTCGCGTTTCCGATGCGTTCTGCAAAAACTAAAACCGATTTTGGAAGTAGCTCAAAGAACTTCATCGGATAGGCTAGGTTTCATTTGGAAAAACCATGGTGACCTAGTACCATTCCCTCTTTGCTTTAAGGTAAATTTTGCTTTACTACAAAAGCTTTAGGTATTTGAGTTATTTGAGCTTGAGGATTTTTGGATTTGACAAAATACGGATCTTCTTTTCATTATGCAAAACCCAAAGCCTTTTCTTGGGGCTTTTGGACAAAGGATTAGACTTTTTGCTTTTTGCTTTAAATTCTCGTTGAGGGTTGAGTACCATTCCCTCTTTAAGGGAAAAGTTGTGCTTGTAGATTGTTTGTACCAGATTATTCGTGTGAAATGTATTTTTTAAGTTCAACAGCCAGTGTCTCAACAATCAGCGAGCAGCTGGGGGCCACAACCACCAGGTTTGTCTAAATGATAGCTGCAAAAACTTGCGCTAGTTTAGTTTTAAAAGCTATATTGAATGTTTTATCTAATTAGTTATGTTGAAACAACTGTTTTATCCAATTAGTTATGTTGAAACAACTGTTTTATCCAATTAGTATCCAACGATTTTAGCTCCCTTGTCGCAGAGCGCACCAGCAACCAACTCTTGGACACCTCTTGAGCCAGGTAAATAAAGTTACAAGTGTTGACAAAGTTCGATTCCAGTTCAACAAGCTCCAGCTTCAACGAACACCTGGACTATGCCTCAACCAAGTACAAGATCCTTGATTTTGTGTATAAATTGAAGAATTTAGTGCCTCTCAAACAAGGTGTTGGACTCGATCAATCACCGCTTCTGCAACAAACTGGTAAAAGATATTATTTTCTTGACATTATTTTCCTTTTCTTACATTCCTATTTGCCTTTTCTTCCAAACAATCTTTTCTTTCTTTCTTTTCAAACTTATTCTGAAGTTTCAGAGTGCCAAAATCGAGCTGATGGCCAGTACTCGATGGGTTGCAGTGAGAAGTTCTTGATGTGCACAAATGGAATTGCGAACATTCACAGCTGCCAAAGTGGACTCGTTTTCAATGAAATGGCGAATAGTGAGTCTATGAAACAAACAAATTTGCAGAGAAAAACAACAATAACAATAACAACAACAACCACAATAACAACATTACCTTATTTAGTGTGCGATCACTCCTCAAATGTGCCCATCTGCATTGGACAACAAGTACCAGCTATTGAACCAAGTCTAGGTAGAGTTTAGTCTCAGCGTTTATTCAAAGTTGTAACGCTCTTTCAGTTTCAGCTCCTGGATTCCATCCTCAAGATCAGCCACAACAAACTGCCTGGCAAGTGCCAAGTAAGTTAAAACTTTAGAGTTGAGAAAACAAAACAAAACAGTTAATTAAAGTTGTTTTCAGAAACAAAACAGCTATTTTTAGACTCAATCCCCGTTCAACAACAACAGCCAGCTGTTCAATCGTATCAACCACAAAGTAACTTGGAAAGTTTTCTGAGCAAAGTTTGTTTAAGGTACAGCTGAACAACAGGCTAGCTCATGGCAACTACCATCTCCACTTCCAAACAACCAACAACAACTCGCTCAAGTGGCGGCTGGTTTGAGTCAGTTTTGAAGCTTTTTTGTACAGGAAAATTCCGCTTAATCAACTTGAATCAAAACATTCCAGACTGCCAAAACCGTCCGGATGGTTCGTACTCTGTTGGTTGTTCTGCTAACTACTTCATGTGCTCGAACGGAATCGCTTCTCCACAGCAATGTCAAGCTGGATTGGTCTTCAATGCGGCTTCAACGAGTAGATCTTTCTATACAGATTTTCAATTAACTAGGGAACTACGCAAACTCTTTTTTGTTGTTTTTTGTTATTTGTTGCAAACTGAAAGTTGTTTTCAGTCATTTTTTTAGGAGTCTTTTATAGCTTATTAATGTTCGTAGATACTTTAAAATACTTAAAAATGAGCTTTTGCAGCTTAACGAAAAAAAGAAAAGTTTTGGCACTTTTACAAAACAGAAAACCATGTTATTTTCAGTTTGCGACTTCTCATCCAATGTCGCTGAATGTGGTGGTGCTCAAAGTAACATTCAGATAAAAAAATTTAACACTTTACATCTCTAGGTCCTCCAACCAATCAGCAGAACACATACTCACCGTATCCAGCTGCATCTCAAGGTAAACTAAAGTCTATTCAAGCTAAAACATTTGCAACTTTAGTAGAACAGCTTTTCAACAACTTTAGAACAACTTTAGAAACAGATCTGGCTTAAAATCTAGCCTTAACTTCTTTAATCTTTCAGTGCCCATTTCCCGTTAGTCATTTTGAGCTTTCAGCACCTCCCACCGGCTACCAGCAAAGCTCACCAACGTATACACAGGCTCCATCGTCCGTTGCACAGGCACCAACAGCTTCTCCAGGTAAGGACCTGAAAAAAAGGGCTTGAAGATGCCAGGAATTGCTGCTTAATGCTTAAAAAGATGCTTAATTGCTCTTCCAGCTTGTCAAAATCGTCCCGATGGTTCATACTCTGTTGGTTGTTCTGCTAACTACTTCATGTGCTCGAACGGTATCGCTTCTCCGCAGCAATGTCAATCTGGATTGGTCTTCAATGCAGCATCAACGGGTTAGTAACCAAAGTGACTTTGGGCTGGCTTTGGGCTGGCTTTGGGCTGGCTTTGGGCTGGCTTTGGCCTGGCTTTGGCCTGACTTTGGTCTGGGCTTTGGCCTGACTTTGGTCTCGGCTTGGGCTGGCTTTGGCCTGTCTTTGGCCTGGGCTTGGCCTGGCTTTGGCCTGGCTTTGGTCTGGCTTTGGCCATGGCTTCTGGCTTTTTGGAACAGCCCAGCTAAAATGGCTAAACTAATAATAAATTTATGATCTAATAATAAGTTTTAGATTACTAAATACTAGATAATAAACTAGCAGACTAGCTAACCAACAAACCATATTAATCGGTACTTTTAGTTTGCGACTTCCCGGCAAATGTTGATGCTTGTGGTGGCGCTCAAAGTAATGTTTGCCATTAAACTCTGCGTTGCTTGCCATTAAACTTTATAACCCTACAATTTCAGGTCCTCCTACTAGCAACCAGCAAACAACGTACGCACAAACACCATCGTACACTCAGCCACAAACGTATGGACAGGCACAATCACCAGCAGCCTCTCCAGGTAAATAGAAATTTGTATCAGAACCACTAAAATTGTGCATGAATTATTTACGAAATTTTATTCTAGCTTGTCAAAACCGTCCCGATGGCTCATACTCTGTTGGTTGTTCTGCGGATTTCATCATGTGCTCAAACGGTATCGCTTCTCCACAACAATGTCAATCTGGATTGGTCTTCAATGCAGCATCAACGGGTTAGCAACCAAAATTTATGTCTAGAAATGAACAAACTCTACATTTTATCATAATAAATCTGATAATCTGATCTGAAACTCAAAGTTCTTTTCAGTTTGCGACTTCCCGACGAACGTGGCCGCTTGTGGTGGAGCTCAAAGTAGTGTTTTCACAAAAGATCTAGCCTCAAATTATAATTCCAGGTCCTCCTTCAAGTTTCCAGCAACAGCAATACACACCACCAACATCTCCAGGTTAGAGATTTACTTAGAACCATCAAATTATATTCTTCTCGTAAGCAGAATGTTATCTGTTCTTCTTCAATAACTTCAAGGCATTTTAGCGTGCCAAAATCGGCCCGATGGTGCGTTCTCTGTTGGCTGCTCTGGGGACTTTTTCATTTGTTCAAACGGGGTCGCCACTTCGCAGAAATGCTCCACTGGATTGGTCTTCAATTCGGCCATAACGGGTTGGTTTTTGCGTACAGGAAACCAATTTAAAGAAAAAACTCTTTTAACACATTCACAAGGTCATTTTTCTTGACTTTAAGACTTTAAGACTAATGGCGACTTCCAAAAGAAACTTAAAGCCATAAAGTTTTTGTAAAGTTTCTCTAAATTATTCCGGAGGGCCATAAAATTTTGGAGTGGCTCAAATTAAATGAGACACTCAAAAATTCTGTCGGCGATGTGGTAATTAGAGAGTGGAATAGACGGTTGTAACATTGTTAAGTATAAAATGAATAAATTGAATACATTAACTCTTAAGAATAAAGGGTTAAACCACTGTGAAGAAGTAAAAGGTCCAAGTGGAGTTCAAAATATGGCAGCCAGTGGTTTGTCGATAGCCTTTTATCCTTCAAATGTTCCGTTGGCTTTTCGGGAAATCGTCGTTCTGCGTAATCACTGTTTCCCAGAGATGGTGTTTGTGAGAAATCTCCAATCATTCTTTTCTTTCACCTTTTCCTTTCTGCCAATCGTTTTTTTGTCATCAGACACTCTAATTGATAATCTCTGTCATTTTATCATTGATTGGTTCATTCTCCAAAAAGTAAAGTTTCATAGAACTGATCACTGAAAGAGTTAAAAAGATGTTTTTCGAAAAAACTGATAAGGAAATCGATTTAGTCGAGTCGATTTAAGACTAATGGCGACTTCCAAAAGAAACTTAAAGGCATAAAGTTTTTGGAAGTTTCTGTAAATTATTTTGGAGGGCCATAAAATTTTGGAGTGGCTCAAATTAAATGAGACACTCAAAAATTCTGTCGGCGATGTGGTAATTAGAGAAACGAATAGACGGTTGTAACATTGTTAAGAATAAAATGAATACATTAACTCTTAAGAATAAATGGTTAAACCATTGTGAAGAGGTAAAAGGTTCAGGTGGAGTTCAAAATGTGACCGTTAGTGGTTTCTCGATAGGCTTTTATCCTTCAAATGTACCGGTGGCTTTTCGGGAAATCGTCGTTCTGCGTAAACACTGTTTCCCAGAGATGGTGTTTGTGAGAAATCTCCAATCATTCTTTTCTTTTACCTTTTCCTTTCTGCCAATCGTTTTTTTGTCATCAGACACTCTAATTGATAATCTCTGTCATTTTATCATTGATTGGTTCATTCAAAAACATGTTTTTCTAAAAAACTGATAAGGAAATCGATTTAGTCGAGTCGATTTGAGATCTTTAGAGTTTGAAATGTTGATTCCGAACTTTAAAAGATATCTAATCGATTCTGAATCCAATATTGAACTTTGAGTAAAGAACCAATCCCACGTTCAATCCGTTTTTGGAAGGATGTTTCATCACAAATTCACGACGAAGTCATTTTTGGCTTGGCTGCCGTTTCAGACGAAAGCTTGTTAGCTGTAGACCTGAAAATTTGTAACCGAAGGCATTCTGGGATAGAGAATCTGAAATCGTTATTATTTTTTAAGCAACTTTAATTTCCAAACCAATCCGGTCATCACAAAACTCTCTAAAACTTGGGTAATTAAACCAAATTGAAAAAAAGAGCGTAACAGATTTTGGGTTCTGCCATATATCCCCAGAAAGCGTGTGCCAGAAGCCGATTAAACATAAAAATTTTCACGTTTTTTTCATCGCACACCTTTGTAATCTGCCAGAAAGTACGCGATTATAAAAACGTGAAAATGCGATCCTGGATTTGAGGTTGTACTTGGGTAATTAAACCGAATAAAGTATCCAAAAATAGAGCAGCTTTCTTTAAGAACTAATAACGGATTCGAATTCCGCATCCTCGAAAACCCCTGATTGCAAATTCTCAGCCAAATCGGCCTCAAAAAAGTGCTAAATCCAAGTACGGCCTACCGGTGGGCTGTATTGTGTGTTAAGTACAAGTTTTTGGCTAAACTTTATACAAGATTAGTTTACGAATTGAAAAAAACAAGTGATTTCTAGCTTGCGACTACCCAGCCAATGTTGCTGCTTGCGGTGCTGCTCAAAGTAATATTTTCAATCACAATACCTTTGACACTTTGCAATTTTAGGCCCTCCAACACAAGTTGGTTACCAGCAAAATCCAGCAGCATCTCCAGGTGAAACAATCTTCATGAGAACTCTAAAGAAATAAAAACTTGATAAATTAAAAGTCTTCAAATTTCAGCAGTTTCCTAGCCACAAATGCCCGTTTATTCAACTTTGAGAGCTTTGTTCAGTAATATTGCAATTTTAGGCCCTCCAACACAAGCTGGTTACCAGCAAGGCTCCTACTACCAAAATCCAGCAGCATCTCCAGGTGAAACAAGCTTCATAAAAACTCTAAAGAAATAAAAACTTGATAAATTAAAAGTCTTGAAATTAAAAGGATAAATTTCAGCAGCTTCCTACCCACAAATGCCCGTTTATCCAACTTTGAGAGCTTTGTTCAAAGGAAATTGTCAAGCCGGTCAAGTCTATCCACGTGGCGGCTGTATGGACACCTATCTCCGATGCACAGATGGAGTCCGTTTTGATCAACTGGCTTGCTCATTTGTGGGTTTTAGAAAGCATTTTGATTCCGTTTTTTAACTTTTGACATTCTTAATCCTGCTTTTTTCAGGGACAAAGCTTCGATCCAACGAGCCTCATCTGTCGTGCCAAATCGGAGATCCCAACTTGCAATGATCAAGAAGAATATGAGCCAATCTACATCAACAATGCAGCCACTGGAAAAGATCTTTTCAAGAAAGAGTACCTCGAGGACGATATCATCATGTGAGTTGAGAAAAAGCGATTGATTTTGAGTAACTCAACCATACTAATTGTTTCAACTTGCAACCAATTTTCGAAAACGGACCTAGCTACAAAATACTCCCGTAGAATTCTAAGAAACACGTATTTTTTATTTTTTCTCCAAGGGGCCTTGGTTTTCGAGAGTTAACTCCCTCTGGAGTAAGAGAAATCAAATGCGTTCTGGTGAAATGGCTAGCACAGTTGCCTGGTAAGCGAAAGGTCGCGGGTTCGAGTCCTGGTGACTCGCCAGTTTTTAATTTGCCCTAGTTCCAACTTGAGAACACGTGTCCGAAGTTTCTGCAATCTTTGCCAAACCGCAACCTCGGCTAGAAGAGGACGCCAAAGGCAGTAAAAGCAGCAACGAGGGTCTAGGGGATAATGTGCTAGACTCCGGAACCTAGCCCATTTCTGCTCACGGGTTCAATTCCGCTTGCCGGCGGCAAGCGGAATTGAACCTGTGAGCCAAGCGGGTATGGGCTTCGGAGTCTAGCACACTATCCCCTAGACCGTCGCTGCTTTTACTGCCTTTGGTGTTTTCTTTTAGGTAAGGCTGCGGTTTGCCAAAAATTGCCGAAACTTGGATCACGTTTTTCTCGAAAACCAGAGGATGGGAAAAAATAGAAAATACGCGTTTCTTAAAATTCTACTGAGGCATATTGTAGCTAGATCCTGTTTCGAAAATCGGTGATAAGTTGAAACAGTACTTTAGTAAGTTCTATGGGAAAGAGTTTTAAGGTAAAGGCTAGGTAAAATGCTTCAATTCCAGGTCCGTCGGCTATTCTGCGCCAAACACTGGATATGGACAAGCTGGATATGGACAATCTGGATCTGGACAATTTGGATATGGACAACCTGGATCTGGACAACCTGGATCTGGACAAGCTGGATATGAACAATCTGGATATGGACAATCTGGATATGGACAATTTGGATATGAATCATCTCCTGCAGCCTATTCCCAATCACCAGCCTATTCTCAACCCTCTCCACCACTACCGCCATTCAATCCTCTCAATGATCTCGGAAGCTTTGAGGATCACGGGGATGATGTAAGTTTAGAGTTTAAACTGAAATTTCTAAAGAAATTCATAAACTAAATTAATTATGTATCAATTATGTATCAGTTATGTATGTAAATTTTCATAAACTCTTTCAGATGGTATCGGACGTGTTCGGAAGAGGGATCCACGAGCGGCGCACTGTCGGACAAATGCTCGATTTTGGAGGATTCTTTGTGAAAGTGAGTTAATTAGAGCAAATAGCACTTGAAAATGAGAAGTTAAACATAGTTTAACATCCAAACTAGTTTAATAAGCTTATATACTTATTGAAACAATTTCAGGGACAAGGAAAGCACGAACATCATCACCATCGACGAGATGGAGGCGACGGAAAGAAAGTCATCAGAACACCGGATGCATTTGAAGGAAGTGAGTGAAAATTTTGCACTGTTACAAAGTAAAATATAGTGAGATTTAATTGTAAAGTTTTAAAATCGAAAACTTAATACTTAATGCTTAAAAATTAGGCTGACCTTTAGACTTGAAATTGTTTGCAAAATATTTGGTTGCTCGGATATAAACGGGCGTTTGCACTGCTTAACTCGTGAGGAAGCCATTTCCCGCATCGTCTTTCCAATGGCGTGGAGATGGAGTAGAATTTGAACATAGAAACTGTTGAGCAAGTCGTTTGACATGGATCTGATTCGATTGCAGCCCTCAAAGTATTGTTGTCTACCGTTTGAGGTCGACGAGAGTGTCCATCATCCTCGAGACATTCCGAAAGCGTTGGAACCAGGCTCGGCATCGGCTTTCGGACAATACATCATTCCCAAATGCTTTGACCAAATCTCGATGTGATTCCGCGACTATTTTGCCCAGTTTGACGTCGTAAAGTAGGCGTAACGCAAACTTGATATATTTCAGATCGGTCATCTAAAGCAAGAAAAAAGATCTTAAAAATAAGAAACTATCCATTTAAAAAGATTCCAAATATGCACAAGATAACGTACTTTTAAATACAGAAAGACATGTTTTAAAAGCTTCTCTCACAACAATAAGTTTAGCAACGCTTGTTTATATCCGAACAACCTAATACAAAATAGGATAAAAACCCATATGAAATTTTGAAGAGGTTTTGATAAATTTCGAATCAAAAGAACGTGAACTCGAAAAAAATGAAATTTGACTCGGTACTGAAGCTCAATCATTTCTTCCATAAAAATTTCTCAAAATAAAAAGTTGTAGCGTTAGTTTAAGATATTGATCTTTAATTTTAGCCATACAAAAGTTTGGTAGCTGCTTTGGTTGTAAAATTTGAGTGGTATGACAAAAATCGTTGTAGTTCTATTTGTTGAGCTCTCCTGGTTCGAATTGGGTCAACTTTACGCTGAATTTAATTTACTATTTTTCTAGAGTGGGTTAAACAATGATCACAAAGCAACAAATAAAGTAATATTTGCGAACTTGATATAACTTTGGTTGTCACAACTTTAGTACTTGTTATTATGAGTACTAAAGTTGTACATACTACTAGAGAAGCTGTACTTACTACTTCTCATAGCTCTTCCGCTATGAGAAGAGCGAAGAGCAAAGAACCTGTACAATACTTGATCACTTTGATGAGTGATGGTGACTTTGGAGAAGTTGTTGGTGAAATTGTGACGAAAACCTTCAAAGAAACAACAAAGAGACAACAAAATGCGGGCTTGAATTAGCTTGAGTTACAGTCTGCTCCAATTTTGTCTGTCTTTCAGTTTAGTGCGTTTTAACTTGTACTTGTACTTGGCTTTCTTGTAGAAATGGTCGAAATATTCGGCACAGGTGGAGCGAAAAGACTTTTTTGAAAGCCTAATAGTCTTTGATCTTTTCAAAAAAGCTTTTTAATCATTTTTTTTCTAGGAAAATTCCCTCGGGTACTCTCAAATCCATTCTTCGCCGGGCAAAAGCGAAAAACCTCGGAATTGTCGGATGTTTTGGATAAAAAAAGTGGCCGTTTGACTGATTCGATCTTCAAATTTTTCCCCACTCACAAAAAACATCGACAATCGAGGTGAGTTCGGAGATCAAAGGGGTAATGAATGATAAATTGAAGAGGAAATGGGAGCAAGGAAGCTCTCCTTGGAAGGAAGCTCTCCTTGCTTTCTAGTTCTTTTCTCAAGCTCTAAGAATAGCTAAGCTCTCTTTTTAACATAAAACACGATTTATTTCTAGAAAAAACCATTCCCACGAGCACAAACACAAGAAATCCCATCACAATGACAGCTCGAAAGATGACAGTGACAATATCGAGGTAAATGAGTAACGAAAACAAAGCTAAAGTTAAGCAAAAGTTTGTATAAGTTTAGTTTTATAAGCTTCAATCAGCTTCAATAAGCTTCAATAAGTTCTTTTTAAATAAATCTATAAATTATTTCGTTTTAGACAGCAAATATTGAGGGTTCTGGCGAGGAAGCTTGAAATTTGATTCTTTTTTAATGTAGATTTTCTTGATGTGTAGCTTTTTGTTGTCTTTTTTTCTAGTTGTCGAAAAAATCTTGCTCAATGTGTTCAGTCTGAATTCTTTTTTAAAAATAAATACAAAAAAACTTAGTTCACTTGGCCGATTTTGATGCCACCAAGTTCCCAAGCGACAATGCTGGTGAGGGGAAAGGGTTGGCCAGGTCGATCATCAATCGTTGCGCAGCTTCCGAGCACATCGTCGAATTGCGGCTGAATCATCATGATTCCACCGAAATTTGATTGTTTTACGTAGTGGACCTAAAACTGGGTTAAGTTAGTGAAAGAAAATGATCGATTCTTTAAGTTAAGTTAGCGAAAGAAAGTGAATGCAATTGAAACTATCTTCCTAAAGCAATTTCATTGATTTCGTTCAGCTTTGGTGTTCTATCCAACCAATCATCGGTATTCCTATTCTACCCAACCAACCACCGGATTCCAAAGAGTTCTTTTATGATTTATTGCTAGTGAAACATTATGCAAAACTTAGCTTTTTGATCAAAGATTCCGGCTGTGGAACAAAGAATTTAACAACAAACAAACAACAAACAAACGACAAACAAACGACAAACAAACGACAAACAACAGATAAACAACAAACAAACAACAAACAAACGACAAACAAACAACAGACAAACAACAGACAAAAAACAGACAAACAACAAACAAACGACAGACAAACGACAAACAAACGACAAACAAACAACAGATAAACAACAGACAAACAACAGACAAACAACAGACAAACAACAAACAAACAAACAATTAGATCCGAATGTTTTGCTAAAACAATGTTTGAAACTAGAAACTCGAATTTAAACGAATTCTTTAAATGCTTCTTTGTTCTGCTTGATACAAGAGAACAAAATTCATAAAAACTCAAAGTCAGAACAGTTCAGAAAGTTCGAAGTCTCCATGAGGAAAGTTCTGAGCTTTGTGATTTACAAAGCTCAGAACTTTCCTCATCGAGTGCTACGATTGGGATCAAGACGGGAAGTGGGCGGGAAAATCAAAAAGTTCAAGATTTGGGCTTATAAATTGTTTTAAAATCATCAGTTACTAACACTTATTGTATCTCTGTACCAGCTTTAAAATGTTTAGCAAGTTTTTAGCAAACAAAATTTTAGCAACCTCGAAAAACCACTTTTAAATGGGCCAAAGTCGGTACTTTGGCTTAAAAAGTTCTCATAAGGCTGAAATTTTTTTGGGCTCATTTTCTCCTTTCAATTTTCCTTTCAATCACTTTTCAATCTCCTTTCAATTTGCTTATCTTTGAATAGAGTTATGAATTTTGAACTTTGAACTTTGGAACTTTGAACTTTGGAACTTTGGAACTTTGGAAACTATAGAACTTTGGCTTAAAAGAACATCAAAGTTGAGTTGACTCCAATGCTCGAAAAGTTTCTCCAACATTTCATGTCGAATAAAGTCATGTCATTCATTCCTTTCATTCATGTCATTTCATTCATGTCATTTCATTCATGTCATTTCATTCATCATTCGTCATTCATTCATTTCATTCATGTCGCTGTAATTAGCTTAAGATTAACACTTTTCATTCTAACCAAATAGAAATTAGATAGGAAATTTACAGAAATTTACAAGAAAGAAGTAATTTGGCGAAGAAATGGTGGAGAATTTAAAATGAATTAGCCACTTCATTGACCCAATAGTTTATCTGGGTAGCTTGGATTGACAAAAAGTAGTTTAAAATTCGTTTGTAAGGTGCTAGATTTTATAAGACAAGCTGAAGAGCTTGAAAAAAATACGATAAACTTAACTTGGATCACAAGAAAATGTGTCACAAGCTCGACATTTTAGCTTCAAATTACCAAGGATGATAGAAATGCGTAAAAGTTCCTCTTCAGCTTACCATATTGATGATCGTAGTCTCATCCGTGTAGTAATGCTCCAAATCTTCATCGTTCATCGAAAAAGTGAGATCGATCTTTGCGTAGATTTCTGACAACGTGCGCTTCAGCAATGGGTGTAAAGTTGGGTTCAAGGGATTCTAGAAACAAAGCTGATTTGCTTACCGTATTTACTCGAATAGAAGACCGGCCTCGATTATAAGACCGTCTCGAATAAAAGACGGGGTCTAGGGCGTGATCGAAAAAATAGAAGACCGTCTCAAATATAAGATCGTCTCAAAAATAAGACCGGTCTTATATTCGAGGTACCCTGTTTTCTATTTCTAAAGTCGACGTACAGGAAAAGGAAAAGAATACAGGTAAATACAGGAAAAGAATGAGGGAATTTACCCAATAGGGTAAAAATATTATATTTTCATTCAATAGCACTATTTTTTTGGTACTTTTCCATTATACCTCCGCCATCTTCACATTTCCGTTAAACCCCCGCCATTTTGACTCTGTTTATTTTTAATTATTTGATTATCTGATCATTTTTTATCTAAAAACTGGCGGAGTATAACGGAAATGTGGAGTTGGCGGAGCTATAACGGAAAAGTAGCATTTTTTTTTGGGTGATGGGAGGCGCTACGAAACGGAAAGCCTACAGTGCCGCCTTTAAACCGGAGGCCATTCGTTTTTCAAAGAAAAACTCGAAAGAAGCGGCTGCTCGACAGTTTAACGTGACTCCAAAGATGATTCGAGACAATAAATTTCTACAAAAAAGAATAGAAGACGGGATCTAGGGGGTAGAATAGAAGATAGAATAGAAGATAGAGCAAAAAAAATAGAAGACCGGTCTTTTATTCGAGTAAATACGGTAAATGACAAAACCTTGGACATCAAATACGGAAAAGCGAAGTCGGTTTCCTGATTGCGCATGACAGTATAGGTGCCATTTTCAATCAAATCGCAGATCTAGAAAGCAGAGCTGTTATTTTTGAATGGCTCTTACTTCAGAGTATGAGGGAATCGTTGCACCAACATCTTTCGAAGTCGCATTTTCGATCTCACCACATTCCTAAAAGTTGTAGGGAGTTGTTTGTTTATTTTCTTTTTGTTTTTTTATTTCTTTTTGTTTTCTTTTTGTTCTATTCATTGTCATTGTTACTTTAACAGTGTGGCGAATAGCCACTAAAAGTTATCTAACTCTGACAGCCTAAAAATTGGAAAAATATTGAGGAAATCGGTGCGCCTTCATTTTATTTCGCGCCCCAAATCATTTATTGTTTTGTAGCTTGTTAGCTGAGTATCTTGTGTTAAAGCCTATATAAGGCAACTGTTGTTCATTTGTTTGTTGTTATCTTTCATTTTTCTTTCTGCTTTCCTCTCATTTTTGTGTGAAAGTTGTGTCCTAATTAGGACGAAATTGTTTCTGTTTTTATCGTCACTTTTAATTCAATTGTCGATCTTGTGTGAAAGTTGCTCAAGTGAGAGCCCAAAGATTCCGAGTCAGTCGGCTCTTGAATAAAGTGTTTTTTAGTTCAAGTGAGATCAGATATCTCAAAGCAAGAAATAACGTGTCTTGAGTGAAGAGTACCAAGCACGCAAAGAATATTTCTTTACAAACAGTCTTACGGAAATTTTCCATCCATAGCCAAAAGTAGCGGCACCAAAAACAAGTTTATTCGATAAGAAACCTTGCTCGATACAATATTGCGCCGCTTCCATCTAAAAGATCAATTCTTCAACATTTTAACTTCAACCTTCAAATTATTCAATCAATCCTGTATTCTGTCACTAACTTGACCCCAAATTGTCAAATCCTTTGACCACAAATTGGATATATTGAAAGGCATCAACACAGCAAAGGAAACACCTCTGAATTTGAGATGATTTATTGGATTGAAGTTCCCAAGTTTCCAACCCCCATAGATTTTTCATATCATATGCTTCAACTAGTGATTGTTTATCACCCGGAAGAATCAGAGCCATCTCAAAGGATTGTCCAGGAGTCAGAGTCTGCAGCTCGTCCATTGTGAACTTGAGTTCCTGAAATCGGCTTTGCATTCGGGAACATGTTTAAGAACACTCACCTGCACAAAAGAAGTGTAACTCTCTTTGTCCCAAACAGAATGATCCCAATCCAGGGCCAATCCATCCATTTTCCCTCCAATGTACCCCACAGCAGCATGAATGAACTCGGTTCTTCGCGTAGAATTCATCAACTCCTAAATTTCAGTTGAAATTTCATTTGATGACCAACCGAGAAACCAGAAAAACCCGCCTAACGACGGGCTTTTCTGGCGAATGTCTTTATGCCAGTTTCGTCGCCGTGGCGCAGTCGAGAGCGCGCTTGTCTACGGCCCACACTGTGGCGCAGTCAAGAGCGCGCTTGTCTACGGCCCACACTGTGGCGCAGTCGAGAGCGCGCTGGTCTACGGACCACACTGTGGTGCAGTCGAGAGCGCGCTTGTCTACGGCCCACACTGTGGCGCAGTCAAGAGCGCGCTTGTCTACGGCCCACACTGTGGCGCAGTCGAGAGCGCGCTTGTCTACGGCCCACACTGTGGCGCAGTCGAGAGCGCGCTTGTCTACGGCCCACACTGTGGCGCAGTCGAGAGCGCGCTTGTCTACGGACCACACTGTGGCGCAGTCGAGAGCGCGCTTGTCTACGGTCCACACGATCCGGGTTCGACCCCCCGTAGTGCCACTCAATCTTGACTTTTGAATTTTTTATTTTAAATGACATAACTATATTATATTTTGAAACTTTTTAAAAAGATTTCAGTTTTTTTTAGCCCAAAGACGGCTGAGAAAAATCTCGTACAAATGACGGACAGATGAACAAGCAATGCTCTTTTTATAAACAGGATTTCCCAAAAGTCCTTACACTTTTTTTTAAACGGACAGTTTGACTAGGAAAACACGATATTTTTGAAAAACTAACGGCAGATTATAAAAATTCAGGTATTTTTACCCCTAGTAAACTTTTTTTGCCCAAAATTTGCAACTCTAAAAAAACTTTTTGATCAAGTTGTTTTAAAATTCGTCAAAGCGCTTTTTTTTCTATGGCATATTGGGGTAAAAATTGAAGTATTAGGTTGAGGAAAAAGTAATGTCGGTTTTGAATTCCCGTTGTTGGCAATTTTCCAGTACTTTGCTTATGCGATTTTTTTCAAATAGATATCAGCTAGACACTCTATACTTTCATATTAAATTTGACAATCACAAATTTCTACAAATTTAACAATATTTTCAAGTATAAAATGCAAGACGAAAAGTTTCGGCTTCGAGCCGCTTTGTGGTATGATTTTAAACAAGGGAAATCGACGAGCTTGGTTGGAAACTTCTGCCCCGCGCACCTTATAGTCCGTACCTGGCCCTATCAGATTATTTTTTTTCCGTTGTTGAAGAGTTTTCTTATGGGAGAAAAGTTCGAGAATCATGCACAGATCAAAAAAGCAGTCGACAGTTTGGCTCGAAAACTCCCCATTTTTTTGAGGATGGGAACAAGTCATCAATAATAATGGAGAATATTTCATTGATTGATGTGCGTTTTTTTATGTTTTTAGCAATAAACAGTTTTGTGACAAAAACCGACATGACTTTTTCCTCAACCTAATAAATACCTGAATTTTTAGAATTCAACGTTAGTTTTTCGAAATTCACATGTTTTTCAAGTCAAAAAAACTACTGCTTCCCGAAAAAGTGTAAGAACTTTTGGGTAAATATTACATTGAAAATAAACGGTCCAAAAGTTCTTGGTGAGATCGAGAGCAAGACTTTCACTTCCGGATCGATCAATTTCAGCTTGCTGAGCTTTTCGATGAAATTTGTCGAAGCCCAGTTGTCTTTAGGGACTGTGGCAATGTTGGCGGTGCTAAATCAGAAAATTGTACAATTCGATAACGTTTCTACCATGACTTAACGACGCTCAACACCTCTCCACAAGTCATTCCATCAGTGAAAAGCTCGATAAATTCACAGTAATTACTGGTCCATGATTGCAGTTCGAGTAAGCCTGAAATTTTTTTGCAAATGTTTCAACTTTTGGAATCGAAAATCCTTACCAACGGTTGAAATCAATTTTCGAATCTTTTCACATTGAAGGCTTGTTGATTCAGGAGTCATTACTGGAGTTGGGCTTCTGAATCTCAAAATATTCGTGTTAGCTGACAAACTTAGTTTTTATGGTGCTTTTAGCTTCTCTACCTTCCTGTGATCTCATCTTGAAGCCATTCAAGCTCAAGGATGATATGAGTGCACATGCCCGGTTGATAGGTTTGTAAAGAGAAACCATTATTGTTTTGTTTTCTAAAGATTTCAAAGTTGTTCTGAAATTTCGCAGAATCAAAATGCTTACTTGAATTGTCCCCAAAAGTTCATCCAACACGGGCGAAGAAACTGTTGCCGAGGAGCTTGCATTCCTAAAAAGGCTGGTTTAACGTTTTTGAGCTTTGCCAAATCATGTGGTTGACTGTGGTTGACTAATAAGGTTTAAAGAATGATAATTTGCAATTTGCATACGATCTGTTGTAGCTGATTTCTATTTCGGTCAATTTGCTTTGAAAAATTTTCGCTAGTCGATTTGCTATGAAAACTAGCCAATTTGCCAATTAGATTTCCTCGGGATTTGTTTCAATTTTTAGGAACTGCTTCCAATTCCTTTGTTAAACTTTGCCCCGAGTGCGAGTTGAAGAAGGGGGACCACAAAGAAGGAACAGAGAGAGATTGTCAGTAAGCCAATTGTCACAAAGAAGCAGATTGTCACAAAGAAGAGCAATGCCAAGTCGATCTCATTGATCTACAATCCGTTTCCACTGGTGATTACAAGTTTGTTAAACAGTACAAGACCTATTGCCCTATATCTATATACTGATGTGTTCCTTGCGAGTCAGTACGAGTAAAATTTAGATGAGTAATTTAGATGAGAATTTTTACTCGCTTAATCGGCGTTTTTGGTTGAGTAACTACGAGCAATTCTCTTTACACGTGGAGGAAATCGAATATCTTTACATTTGAAGGGAATTTGCCACGAAACCAGTTAAAAGCCTGAATATCTTGACAAGGAGCCGTATATAAGGCGGCACTCGTCATTTTTTGAGCCAATTTTTTGCAATAATTTTCGCTAAAAGTGCAATAATTTCTGTTAATTTTTTCCAAGTTAATTTTTCGTAAATTTCCGTTTTAAAAAACGCATTACTCTCGAGGAACTCAGTTTATTCCCGATAGTGATTACAAGTTTCTTATGGTATATCAGGATCACTTCTTATGGTATATCAAGATAACGAAATTCGTCATTCTGAGACCAAACCCAAGACAGAGCCAATGGCAAATTGGCTAGCGAAAGTTTTTCAAAGCAAATCGACTAGCTGATTGGCTAGCAAATCAAAAGAAAATCGGTTTGAAATAGCAAATTTGCTATATCTATTGACTTACCATTGATTTACTTATCATATCTATTGACTTACTGAATCCAAATGGTTTGTATCCCATCTGAACAGAGGCAGTGATCTTTTCAATTGAAATCTTTGTAGAAGTAGTTGGTTTCATTGTGGATTTTTGAGAGATTTCAGTAGGAATTTCATTGGTTTCCGTAGTTTCCGTAGTTTCCATCATTTCCTCTGTTCCCATTGTCTCTTCTCCATAAGTCGCCGGAATATAAGCTGGCGGTGGTGGTGTATCAGAATCGAGTTCAAATTGAGCATTGATTAGTTTATTAGTTAAAAAGAGCAAAATTATTAACTTCATATTGTTGATTTGATGGTGAATATGCAAGTTTCTTTCCTTGAATAGCCCAAGATCTTATCTCTAGGTCATCGGATAAGATTGTCTTCTTTTCTTTCTTGTCTTTGTCTTTGTCTTTGTCTTTCTTCTATTTCTTGACCTTTGATCATGATTTTGAAAGTATTTCATTGAAAACTTTATTCACATTTGTACCAAAACACGTAAAGTTCGATAAATACCGGAAAATCTTCGCTTTTCGAAGATTTTCGATTGAGTACCAATATTTCAACCCTTTCCAAACTATTTGCTTATTTCACCGTGATCGAGGTAAAATTCGTGGATGATTGGAGACATAGAGAATTCTTTGGTGTCGTGGATGATTGGAGACATAGAGAATTCCGGAACAACATTTTTCCGAAGTGGTGCTGAAATTTGAAAAAGTTTAAATGCGAAGTGCAAAAGTTTACAGAGACAGCCCTTCTAAAACTCGAAACAAATGCAGACAATCTTTGAAATATTACATAGACACAAGACTTGTAGCAAAAACATCTGTCGACCCTCTTTTGCCGTTGGAAAGTCAAGATTTTCGTGTTTTTCTCAGCAACATCCTTTCGGTTCTGACCAATTTGACTATCATTTGATGCAGAATAAAATTGCGCGTCGAATGATATCAAAATTAACTCAAAATGTAATATCCATGGAAAGTTATGAGGCAAAAGGTTAAGTCCCACCCATAATGGGTGAGGTTTAGGTTTTTAGCCAACAACTTTGCGTGGATATTATATTTTGAGTTGATTTTGGTATCATTCGACGCGCAATTTTATTCTGCATCAAATGATAGTCAAAATGGTCCAAAGCAAAAGGTTGGTGCTCAGAAAAACACGAAAAACCTTGACTTGCCAACGGCAAAAGAGGATCGACAGATGTTTTTGCTACAAGTCTAATAGACACACAGAACAGGGTGAATCGATTACAGAATCGGAAAAAAGCACAAGCACACGTATAAACCCAGCACGCAACTACCTCTATATTTGAAAAGAACTTTGCTTGCCAGATTTCGAAGCGTATTGAATAGAGACTAAAAGCTTGAAGTTGAATTTCTTATTATCGAAGTAAAGGCTCAGATTTTATTAGGTTTCCCAAAACGAAGCAAAATTGAAAGCTTTGTTATCTAATTTCTTTTTCTTTGTTTTCTATTTTGCACTCTTCGTTTTAGTGAGTGAATTTTAATTAAAGGGGGGTATTAATCGCGGCCGGGTGACGATAAAAAATTTTTTACGGCAACCACCTGTTTTTTTATTTTAATATCGCTGATTTTATTATAAAAAGAATAAAAATCACCCGGCTAGAGTGATTTGATGGGTTTACAAATTTTTGGAGACACTGCAAGGCTTGGAGAAAAACAAGATCGTCACTCATCAGACACCTCAGCACAGTCTAGATCGATTGAATTTTAATTGCAGATAAATTTAAAAACAAAATAAAAAGCACAAAAAACAATAAAAATAAAATGTTAATCTATAATTCTTCCTCTTGCTCACTTTCATCTTCGCTCAAGTACAGCAGTTCCTCAAATCGGCTTCCTATCTTATCAATTTCCAGCGCATCTTCACCAGAAGTGACTGAATCTCCTCCACCGTAGGACATCTTCAGCGCTTTAATTGACACAATTAGATCTTTTTTCCATTTGTGGTCGCTTGTGGTTTTAGTTTTCTCAAATAGGTGCCTTTTAGCTGAGGTGTCTGATGAGTGACGATCTTGTTTTTCTCCAAGCCTTGCAGTGTCTCCAAAAATTTGTAAACCCATCAAATCACTCTAGCCGGGTGATTTTTATTCTTTTTATAATAAAATCAGCGATATTAAAATAAAAAAACAGGTGGTTGCCGTAAAAAAATTTTTATCGTCACCCGGCCGCGATTAATACCCCCCCTTTAACCAATTTCCAAATGAACAAATTTCCCAACCCACTTTTAATTTCCTCAAATCATTCCCAATGCACTGTCTAAATTTGTCCATTCGTAGCGTGTAAATGAATAGATTTGCCGCCATTTTCAGCACTACCTACAAAATGAATTATCGCATTATTGAAGTACTTTTCGCAAAATATTTACCAAAGTCTGAATTGATTGAGAAAGAATGGCCGCTGTACGAAAGCTGATTTCGGTGTAGGCTGTGATTGGGCAACCGGATTGGCAAACCTAGAAAAAAACAAAGCTACAGTTTTGCTTTCAGAGTTTAAAATGTTTCAATTCGAGTTTTTCCAAATCTTACCGTCACAAAGAAAATCGTTTGCGGACCCCATGAGAAGCAATATGAAGAAACGATGATCAGACTCGTCCACACGAGTTTCATCTTTTTCTGAGTCGTACTTTCCAAGCTACATTTCCGCGTGAGTGGATCGTCACTAAAATAGCTAGCTTTCGTTTAAATTTCTGTTTTACTTGCCTACTATGACCGCTTCGTACCATTCTTGTTTGAGCTTTCGTCAAGCAACGAACGATCACTGCGTACATTATCTGAAATGGATTTGAAAGTTCTGTCCAACAACTCTTAAGATTTAGCTAACCAGTAATGAGCACCTACTAGACTTGCTACTAAATCCGATCAAAATTCTGTCGGATTGGATTGGGTCGGATGCAATCCGATGAATGAGGTCATTGGATCGGATCGAATCGGATCGGATCATCGGATCGGATCGGATCGAATCGGATCGGATCATCGGATCGGATCGGATTATCGGATCGGATTATCGGATCGGATTATCGGATCGGGTTATCGGATCGGATCATCGCATCGGATTGGATCATCGGATCGGATTGGATCATCGCATCGGATCGGATTATCGGATCCGATTATAGGATCGAATCGGAGCATCATCCGAGGCAATCCGATCCGATGTAATCCGGATTCAATCCATCCAATAGCAAGTCTAACGCTAGTAAAAACTGATTTTAACTTAAATCTTCACTGAATTCACTGAATATTTCGCATTTGCTTAGATAATTTGTATGGTTTTGAAGTACCTTCTCCCAAGTGTCCCCATTGCCAGAGGCAAACTACGTTCTTTGTGCTTTTTTCCCCTCACCGATTTGTCTGCACTTGGTTTCATTCAATAGCCCTATTTAAAATCTATCTAATGAAACCAAATGTAGCCAAATCGGTCAAGTGAGCGGCGAGAAAAACACAAAAAACGTAGTTTGCCTCTGGCAATGGGGACACTTGGGAGAAGGTACCTCAAAAAAGTATAATATTTGCATTTTAAATGATACAAAATTTGCATTTTAAACCAAAAAATGAATGCTAAGTGCAAAAAGTATGATCTTGAGCTAATCCGATCCTTTCTGTCGGATGGATCGGATCATTATCCGAGACAATCCGAGCCGATGTAATCCGGATTCGATCTAAGTCTTTAGTACCTACTGGATATGATAAAATTCCAATCCGAACCTAATTCCACCCTCGTTTTTTTCGCCGTCTCTTATAGAATAGAATATAAAGATAGAAATCAACATTTTCAGCTTGTAGACAAAATTTCAGAGCAATCGTTCAAGAAACGATCAAGAAAACGAAGGTGAAATTCGGTTCGGATTAGAATTTCTCTATGTCTATGACCTACCACAGTTGAAGCCATTGGAATAAATGATAGCAAGAAAATTGTCAATCGAAATGGGAAAGCCAAATAAAAGCGCAGCTCACAATTCCCAATTTTAAACTCAGTTATTGATGACCACCAAAACCTAGAAATTTAGTGTAAGAGTTGCTCAATTTCGTTGAGTTTACCATGTGAAAACAACAAGATGTGGGATAAGCCATAGATTGATCAGAACATAGCGCATTCTTTTTGTAGTGACGAAAACCTGGAAAAAGAGTCAAACTGAATTTCGAGATAACTTTTTACACACCCACCTTGTGTCGGATTGGCCACAATGTGCCGACAAAATGATTCAAACCCAGCACGAAGAGATGCAAGTTTGAGCATAGCATGGAGGAGAGCTAAAAATGGGTACACTTGCTACAAGCTAGTTTTAGTGCCCTGGTGTTCAAAATCAAAAGAAAATATCAAGTTTGAAGGAATAGAGAAGAAGCTGGCTTAAAAGTATACTTTTGAACATAAACGGGAGCTGGCACAAGACACTCTAGTCCATATGATTGAATTGCTGGAAATGGAAACTTTTCAGTTTCCATCTAATCTCACTTAAATACAATAATTGGATACAATATAATAATCAGGTTCAAGTAACCGGTTCAAGTAACCGGTTCAAGTAACCGGTTCAAGTAACCGGTTCAAGTAACCGGTTCAAGTAACCGGTTCAAGTAACCGGTTCAAGTAACCGGTTCAAGTAACCGGTTCAAGTAACCGGTTCAAGTAACCGGTTCAAGTAACCGGTTCAAGTAACCGGTTCAAGTAACCGGTTCAAGTAACCGGTTCAAGTAACCGTTTGGGGTTAAATATTAGATTGGTGAATAAGTCTTTTCGTTCCTTTTCATACTTGCGTTGAAAAATAACAAATTCAGCAATTAATCTATGATTTGTTTATTGTACAATTATTCAAAAACAGTTTATTGCTCAATTTCCCATCTTTTTAAGTCAATTTTGGTTCACTTTCAAGCAAATTCGAGAGTGAAAATACGTTTAAATCAAAAGCAATTTAAATCATAAGGAGTCCATTCTATTTGGCTGTCCAGAAAGTCTTTTCGTGACTTTTTGGGAGTGTGAAGTTAAAAAAGAAGTCAACGGATAGTCAAAAAGGGCGGTCGATGATGCGGTTTAGACACTTTAACTAAGAAAACCCATCTTTATCTCCAAAAGGTAAAAGATAGAGCACAAAAAGTTAGGTATATAGCCAAATTTTCAGAGAAATTCATTCAGCCAATTTCTTCGTAGAGGTTTTTATAGATTTTTTCGGAAAAACACGTTTTCACTCTCGAACCTCCTTGAAAGTGAGCTAAAATTGACACTTCTTATTTAGAGCAAAGCATACCGTAAATACTGTAATAGTACCCCACCCCCATAAAGACGGTGCGGAGTGTTGCGTAGTCTAGCTTTGAACGAGTTTTTCTCGACACTGGTTTATGCTACAATGTTCGCTTAGGTATCAAAAAATAGCCCTGAATTTCAGCTATTTTTTGATATTAAAGACGCATTTTTTGAAAGTACAGGCGCTTTGAAAGAAATGAAATAATGAAATACTTGCGACTACGCGACTGTACGAGGGCGGTGGGGTACTATTACAGTATTTACGCTAGGTTAATTGCTGAATTTGTCATTTTTGAACTGAAATACGAAAAGCAACGAAAAGACTTATTCACCAACAGCAACGAGAACATCAAAGCTTTCACAAACCCGTAAAGATTCGTTGACAGCAAACATACACGGTGTGAAAAGTTTCATACCCATAGAAATGTTGATAAAAGAAAGAATACTTTCTGGAATGATGTGATATCAGTGTTTGATTTCCATGTCTTACTCCAAGACAAATGTAGAGAAGTTAAAAGGTCGGCAGCCGCCAGAGATACACATAGTTTTAGGTAAGGAGATACGGGAGCGGGAAGAGATCGAGATGAACCAACTAATAAGCCATTTCCGAGGACTGAGATCTGAAAAATTTACTGAAACAGTAAGGAGAATTGAAATTTAAAAGCAATGAGAACCAAAAATTTGCCCAGAACGCACCATTAATAACACGTTTTGAATGGGAGTCGCGTAGTTGAGAATCGTGCTCATTATGATGTTCGGATCATCCTGAATTCTCGTTTCAATGCGAATTTTTAGATTTTATTTTAACTCAGCTTGCATTGTATAACATTCTAGTCCTCTTTTTTGTAATTTTTAATCTAGTGCTTTTATCTACTCAATCTAGTGCTCAAGGAGAGATTCGTTTATCTCGAAAATTTCGCTTTTCTCCAATAACTTTGTGTCTAATTCTATCTTTTTATTATATTATTATTTTTATTATTATTTTTATATATTCTATTATATTACGAGATTGTGGAATTTACTACCAAACAACTCAAGAGAATGCAGCGATGAGTTCTTTAAAAAAATCAGTAGATAACCTAGATCTCTCTTCTCATGTGGGTATTGGATTTCATCCATTTTGTAGCCTTGCAATCCTTGTTTCCCATTAATTTCTATATTTCTTAAGGTGTAACTATTGGGTTGTCCAATTATGAACGCGCGTTTTTTTACTATTTTGTAAATTTCTCAAGTAACCGAAATCAAGAAAAAGATATATATGAGTATTGTTCGAAAGCTGAAGATCTCCTCTACATTTTTATATAAAAAGTTTTTGAATTTGTTCAGCTTTTGGGCAAATTGACTGCACAGAAGAAAAGGTGGCCAAAAAATGGAAGTGTGCCTTTGGATCAAGTTTTGACTCAGCTCAAATTGAGTTAACCTTTTGATGTTTGGCTAATAGATATATCAATACAACTTTTTTTCCAATATAACAATTTCAGAGCATCTTTGCTTTTCTTTTCTTTTCTGGGCGATTATTTTACACCATAAAACTTGAGGAATAGCTAAGCTGGAATGGGGTTTTTTTTGAAAACGACCTCTCTCTTTGTGCAGTCAATTTCCCAAAAAGTTGAATGAATTCAAAAACTTTTTTATTTCCAAATGTAGAGGAGATCTTCAGCTTTTTAATGATATATAACACTCATCTACATCTGTTCGATATCTTGAGAAATTTACAAAATAGTAAAAGCATTCATAATTGGACAACCCAATAATTCGAGTTTTAACCTGCCGTGAATGCTGTATTTGAACGACACCCTCTAATAGAACGACACTCATTTACATTTGAAATAGAATTTTTTAATTTACATTAAAAATTTTTATTCAAACTGGGCAGCTACGCAACGTTTCAAATTCATTTTCAAAAGCTCATTCTTTTCATTTTCGCGCCAAAGATTTATTACATTTATTACATTTATCTCTCTCAATTTTTGTTGTGATTATATTTCAATAATCTTTTCTTTTTAGGGATGGAATGAATCGACGAGTGATCTCTCGATGGATTTAAAGAATGTCGAGCTCAACGGGAAAACGATGAACGAGAAGAATTCTTCAAGAAGAAAGATGATAAACAAGTTGAGGGTCTACGAGGAACAGCCGAGAAGGACTCAACGGAGCGAAAGTGATAAGTGAAAATGAGGATAACGTGGAGTCACGTTCGTCAATCATCTATTGGAAAAAACAAGAAGGAAAGCTCGATGATCTCAACAAAAAGAGAAAACGACTTAATGGAGGTGGTCTACATCTTTTGGCGGCAGAAGTCGCATCGTTGATCTTTGATCGTTGATCGTTGATCGTTCATCATCGATCATCGATCGAATTTGATCTCAACGCGACGACAAGAAGCGAATCATTTGAAGTATTGTTCCGGACAAGTCAGCAATGGAATTTACAAGAGCAGGGGTCAATTTCAATAAAAGCCACGGATGGTTAGAGAGTTTCTTTCGAAGGCAATCTTTTTATGTGAGTTATGGGTTAAATTATAACGTTTTAATTTGTTAAAATTGATCTATTTAATAAAATACTTATTGAATGAAATACGCGTTTTTTGAAATGAATACTTTTTTTGTGATCAGCAGTGGCCATTCGAGTGAAAAATAGAACAACGTGTCGTTCTAATACAGCATTTACGGTAAATTGAATCGTTTAGATTCATGGTAGGACTCGCACCTCAACAATTGAAACATTTTTGAAGTAGTGACTTCTGGCCATTTGATGGTGTTGACTTGAGGCATTTGAATCGATCATTTAGACAATATTTAGATAATATTTAGACAATATTTAGACAATATTTAGATAATGTTTTGTTCTAAAATGGTTTGAATGAAAAGGAATGGCAATGGGAAAATTTAGAATAGCTCAAATTGATGAGAAAATGGGTAATTTATGAATTGTGAATGAATAAAATGAAGCAACAATGAAATGAAACAATTAAGCAGCAATGTTCTTAAAGAAGAAAGACAGCAATAGATTAGATTTATAAGTAATATTCAATGATAGATTTAGCTCTAACTCTAAATAACTAACTGTAGCTCTAACTACAGCTCTAACTGCAGCTCTAACTACAGCTCTAACTGCATCTCTAACTGCAGCTCTAACTGCAGCTCTAACTGCAGCTCTAGCTGTAGCTCTAACTACAGCTCTAACTACAGCTCTAACTGCAGCTCTAACTGCAGCTCTAACTGCAGCTCTAACTGCAGCTCTAACTGCAGCTCTAACTACAGCTCTAACTACAGCTCTAACTACAGCTCTAACTACAGCTCTAACTGCAGCTCTAACTGCAGCTCTAACTGCAGCTCTAACTGCAGCTCTAACTGCAGCTCTAGCTGTAGCTCTAACTGTAGCTCTAACTGCAGCTGGTTACTGCAAATTCTAGCTTTAAGTAAGCCCGAAACGTTGCTGATCAAAACTCCTCACTGACACATCATCATTTTTTGCAATTTAGCCATTTTTACAGCTAATTGTAAGCTCTAAAGATAAATTGGAACACTTTTGAATAGATATTTGAGATAAAGTTTTCTCTCCAAAGAGTAATTGAGTCAATTTTCGCTTTTCATTTTCATTCATGGGAAAATGAAAGGTTCTAGAGAGGAAAAATAAAGCAACTGACGCCATTAAAAAAATTGAGGCTAAAATAGAGGACCTTTGAACTTTTGGAATTGAAAGGAAACAATATATCAACATTTATGCTTTTTTTGGTGAGCTTTAAAACGAATGAGGACCACAAGAAACTGAAAAAAAGGTTTTAAAACCTCATTGTCGTTGCTCTTCTCATTTGAAAATCCCCAAGAGATCTCAAATTTCGTCAAACGACTTTTCTTTCATTGATTTTGTCATTCTTCTTTAACAATTTGGTCAATGAAAGAGTTTATTTCATTTAAAAAAAAAGACGAAAAATTCTTTTGGAAATTACTTGGCCTTCAATTTCCCTTCCTTCGCTCAACAAAAGAATTGGGAAATTGGGTTTGGGAACGTTTTTTTCTCACTAACTAATGTAAAGAAAAGAAAATAAATCAAATTTTAGCTTGTTTTAAAAGTTTAAAAACCAAGTTTCTCAAAAGTTTTGATTAATTTTTAAATGCTAAGCAAACCTGAAGCAAAACTTTCAGAAGTTCTGGGAAAGTGATCAAATCAAAGGGGAAAGTTTGCAGGCAGACTTTTGCAGGTTTTCTTGGAATAACCCTGTCCTCTTTTTGAAGGCACTGAACTGTGAAAAATGGAATTTTCGATAGAATTGTATCATCGAATAGTATTATTGAAAGATGAATACGCAAAAATTGTGAAACTTGTTGATTTAATGGCGCTTGTTTTCTTAAAATGCGTGCTTTTTTGTGTAACAGACTTACCTCTTTTTCTTTTCTCCTGTCAAATTGACATGTGTTAACGTGAGATTTTCCCAGTAAAGACAAATCATAAGTCACAAAAAAGTGACGGGACATAACGGGACAAAAAAGTGACATAACGTTTGGTGTTATTCATTTATCATCAGTAGCATTTGATGGCTTTAGTCATTCAGCAAAGTTAAGACTTTCCAAATCCAAATAAAAGATCTTTCTATTTGTGAATTGATAAACTTGCAAGTTTCCTTCAAGATTCAGGACTTTGTTCACATTTCACATTTTAGGTAATGATGGACGTATTGAAAATGTTTTATATAATAATCCCAATATATTAGGTACATGCATAAGAAATGCGGATTTCAACATTTTCATAAATTTCCAACGATAGAAACCTGATATCGATGAATGTTATAAACTATTTGAAAGCTGTAAATCTCCTCTACAAAATAGGCTAAAAGGTGTTTCAATTGATCGAGCCATTGAAGAAATTTCGAGGACGAAATGCGAGTGACCAAAAAAGGAATTGAGTCACTTTAGGGACAAGTTTAGTGTGCTCAAAATAGAGTTAGCTTCCCAAAATTGAAGATTTAAAAAAAGAAGGATAACTATATATCAATTCATTAAAAAAAGTCTAACCGAAATACATTTACAGAAATTTAGATAGAGCGTAAGTTTAAAACCCTCAAAATCGTCTAAAAAGCGGCTTTTTCACAAAAAAGAAAAATTATGGTAAACACAAAGTTTTTACAGTCACTTTAGGGACAAGTTTAGTGTGCTCAAAATAGAGTTAGCTTTCCAAGGGCACTTTTTGAAGACCCCACTTTCATAAGAGTTCGGTTCTGCCTATGAAAATGACCGCCCTAAAATTCAAAATAATTCACTAAACTTGTCCCTAAAGTGACTCGATTCCTTTTTTGGTCACTCGCATTTCGTCCTCGAAATTTCTTCAATGGCTCGATCAATTGAAACACCTTTTAGCCTATTTTGTAGAGGAGATTTACAGCTTTCAAATAGTTTATAACATTCATCGATATCAGGTTTCTATCGATATCAGGTTTCATTTCAATGGAGATTCGAGGAATCTTCATTGAATCATTGAAGAAATTTCGAAAGGGCACTTTTTGAAAACCCCACTTTCACAAGAGTTCGGTTTTGACTATATAGTGGGAAATGACGGCCCATTATCCTGTTTGATGAAATCATTATCCTAAAAATATCATTCAAAATAGCTAAGAGTTCGGATCATTTCATGAGAAAACTTTGTTTTTACAATAATTTTTTACAAAAGTCTTTTAACACTCAATTTTCTAAAAAGTTTCATCGATTTACTTTGATAAAGTTCATGGCGCTATTTAAGCTTTAATAGTTTTAGTTCCACAAATATATGTACAATTTATTTACACAATTAACATGAGTATGAGCTGAAAACTAAAAAATTTAGACAGTAAAGTATAGAAAATCAATTTATCAACGCTTTCATGACTCTGAGGAAACAAAATTGAAAGCGCTTCTTGAGAAATTTGCTGAAAATTCCATTTGCAAAGCGTTCATCTAATTTTGAATTCAAGAAATATCAAAGAAAAAAGTGAAAATGAAAAGAACGGGGTCAAAATTCATTTAAAATTCTTTCATTTTCAAAGAAAAGCCTTCACTGAAAAACCATTTTTCAGTGAGATTTTTTAGTTTTTTCCCTTTTGCACAGAAAACCCTACCAAATTTTTGTAATTAACTCAAAAAAATGTCCTTAGCCTTAAAGCGCAATCAAAGCTTAAGTTTTCATTCAACTGTACTTCTTGCCGTTCTCTTCATTTCTTGTAGATATCCAGAAAGGATTCCTTGACTATCTGTTGTCCAGAATTCTACTTACAGTACTGGACAATGAAGTATCATATTTGAAACACGATCGTCACTTTCGCGCGCCTGTAACTCCCTTGTCTTTGAGTTTAAACTATTAGTGTTATACATTTTCTGAAAGCTCTTTTCAAGGGCTACACAATGGTAATATTAATATTTAGAAATACGGTAAAGACAACGGAGTTACAGGCGCTCGAAAGTGAAGATCTTTTTTCAAATATGATATTTCATTGTTCAGTAGTGTACCTTTTTTCACTCTGAAGTTCTAAAGCAATCTTTCTTCTTTGAAAGTATTCTGAAAGTATTATTTGAAAGTATTCTGAAAGCATTCTTTGAAAGTATTCTTTGAAAGTATTCTTTGAAATTCAATCATTTACCTTGAAAAGAAGAATGTACACCAGTGCTTTTTAATCTTAAAATATCAATTTAGAAGAATTGTTCAACGAAAATGAAGGAAATCAAAAATCTGGCTACAATTGAGTCAATCCAGATTTTCGAGTCGAAAATCAAAGCATGGATTGACTCTAAATTTCAATCAAATTTAAATAAAGCTCAAAATTGCTCAAAATTACTCAAAATTTCAATAAATAAAACCATAAAACAATAAAACAATGCAAATTTGTCCCATTTCAGTTACAAAGATGCACTTTTGCCTTTTCAAAAGGTCTAGACGTTCATTTTTGACCTATAATAACAAAAATTGGAATAAATGGCGAAAATAGCGAAAATAGCAATTATTGGATCTTCGAAATTTGAGTAGTTCTTTATTTAAATTGAGTAGTTCTTTATTTATTCAAATTCTAGACACATTTAAAGTATTTCAAAATAAGCATGTATCTAAAAATCTAAATTTAGCTTTCAGAAGAAAGATTTAGCTTTCAGAAAGTAATGAGAATGAGAGAGAATGAGAGAGAATGAGTTTGAATCGGGGAGTTGTTTTGTCGCGAAAAGCAATAGACTTCACGTGGCATGAAGCTGAAAAGGAAAACTTTGATTTTATTTGGCGATTCGTTTCTGGTTAGGTTACTCTCCCGAAAGGATTTAGAGTGTAAATTGAATTCCATTTTTTCTGGATTCTCTTCGGTGACTAAAATAAAATGTTTCAAGTTTGTGAGATTAGAGATTTTACGTCATTCGGAAGATTCTCTATGAAGAAATTGCTAAAAATCTACTTTTAGTTGGATTATTTGAATTTATTTTAGATCAAATTTCGTATTCTGATAAGATAAAGTTGCCAAAAGTTGTCAAAAGAAAGCTGTCAAAAGCTTTTGAACAAATCTTGCAGTACTTTTCCGATTGGATTAGGGCTTGGATGGCGATTGGATCAAATTTATGATTGAAGAAACAAGAAAACACTCAAAAACAACAAAAAAATAGACTTAGCTTGATGATGTTTTGCCTTTTTAGCATTGAACTTTTGAAAAAGTGGCTCTTGTGTAGTTCTTGCGTAGTTCGTAGTTATTTTGAAAAAATCTGGGATTTTAAACGGATCGTCACGCTTTGAAGGCTTATAACTTT